TTACGGAACAACACACAGAAAAATTTCATCAAAAAGAAAGGAGTATCAGATTAAAATGGCATACCATGTACCAAGGGAAAAAATAAGAACAATTGATATTGAGACACAGATTGGTTAAGTTATTGAACTGGAAACATAAAGAATTCTTTCATCTAGTACAACAGAATCCATTCAAGTTTCATCAATTGTCTCAATGATGTCCTTAAGAGCAAAAGGATCCAGTCCAGACTGCTTGTTATTTATCACATGGCTTTGGGCTCCTTCAATCTGGAACAGTTTTTGTCTTTTATTTCAGGCTTGAGATTTTGAAGATCAGAGGCCAGTTCCTTTGTAGAATGTCCCTCAATTTACAGGAGACTTCCTCAGGATTGGATACAGATTATGCATCTTTGGCAAGAATATACTTGTAGTGAAGCTGTGTTCTTCTCATTGCATCCTATCAGGTAATACACGATTCCTATTTGTCCTGTTACTGGTGATGTTAACATTCATCGTTGGCATAAGGTGCTGTCTTGCCTGGTTTCCCCACTGTAAAGTTGCCACTTTTCCTTTTACAGTCACAGTCATGTTTGTGGGCAGGGACCTGAACCCTATTATAACCTGTTCCTTATCACCCATGGTTTCAGCGCCTGTGGTAAGGTCTGAATGACCGACCACCCAGAGAGCCAGGCACCTCCTGATTCCTGGAAAGTAGGACTGTTACCTTATATGGCAAAGAAAAGACCTCGTAGGTGTGATTAAGTTAAAGATTTAAATAGCATGATTATCCTAGATCACCTTAGGAACCCTAAAAGCGATCATGTTTCCTTAGAAGAGGGAGGCAGATGCAGATGCAGATTTGACAAAGGCAGAAGCAGCAGCGTGACCATGAGGCCGAGAACAGAGCGATGCAGCCCTAAGCCAATGCGAGCAATCGCCAGGAGCTGAGGAGGCAGAGAATGGATTCTCCCACACAGCCTCCAGAGTGCAGCGGACACTGCGATTTCGACCCAGTAAAACCAACGTCAACTTCTGACCTCCAGAAAGAATAACTCCCATTGTTTCAAACCTCCAAGTTTATGGCAATATGTCACAGCAGCCACAGGAAGTGTATACAACACCTGATGTTTCCTGAATTATTACTGCAATGGTTACCAAATGGTGTAATTTTAATTCCATGATTCCTTCTACATTTGTTAAACACCATCTATTGTACAAAAAAACTTTCTGGCCCTGACTGATGTGGCTCAGTGGATTGAGCGCTGCTCTGTGGACCAAAAGGTTGTGGGTTTGATTCCCGTTCAGGGGACATGCCTGGGTCGGGGGCCAGGTTCCGGAGCGGGGAGAGTGAGAGGCAGCCAATCGATGTTTCTTTCCCTCTCATTCCCCCTCCTTTCTCCTCTCTCTAAAAATAAATAAAATCTGAAAAAAAATATTTTGTTTCACCCATATATCCGTTTATTCAATACAGACTTAGGAATTCCTATATGATTTCAATAGGCTGTAATCTGTTACCATACTTTTTTTGGTTTTTAAAAATTGTCCTAGATTTGGCAAGTGTAAGACCCTGCAGGCTATTTTCTTTGTTCTTTTGACACAGCCCCATCTCCCTTTGAGCATTTCTTTACATCTTCCTAGAAGCCCTGATTCCTTTTTGTGTAAAATGACATTCAGAAACCAAGATCTGAGTGCCACGCAGGCTCTTAGTTAAGGGGGTGTTGCTGCTCCAAAGCCCTCTCAGTAGAGAGCTAGAGAATGCACGTGCACAACCTGCATGTGACACACACAGGCAAACTGTTTCTATATCTATCTATCTATCTGGAAAACTTTGAGCCCACTAACCCTCCAACTTCAATCCAACACCACAGATTTCTTCCTTGACTGGCTCCTATTGTCCTCTATGTTTATTAGATCAAATTGTCCGCATATGTAACCAACCTTGTCGCCATCACCGCCATTGCACACGTGGACGCTACCTTCCTCACAATGCTTGTGTTCTCATCCGTCGCGCTTGGCCACCAGCACCCGATTACAAACAAGCACCTTCCTCTCCGCACTTGGATTCTACGGTCTCAGGCTGGGCTGTCACCCCTCCCTGCAGACACCTTCCTTATCCTGCCCTGGGCTCCCTCCTCACCCCACTCAGTCTCTTAACAATCTGCTACTGCCCCTCCACTCCTGTACCCACAAATGTCCTCTTCACTTGCTCAGGGCTCAACGGCCACTCAGACTCTGGCCTACGCTACTCAGGCTCCGACAAGCCGTCCTGGGCTGCGCTCACCTTACCTGCTCGTACTCCCACATCCTGTGCCAGCCCACAGAGACACCCTCCTCGCTCTGTGCTGACACCTGGTTCCAGGCCACCACCACCACCCCTTCCCACGGACATCTACCTTGCTCGGCCCCACCTAAGGCTTTTGGACTGGATTACTGAGGAAGAAAGAGAGCAAGAACAGTAACAGTCACGGGCGGCTCATCCACGCGGTGTGTTCTGGGAAATGCATTCCTAGGTCATTCATCGCCGTGCCAACGCCACAGGGCGCACTTACACAAACCTAGACGGTGCAGCCTGCTGCACACCTGCCTCTTCTACTTTACAAAGTTAAAATATTTTTGTCTTACTTTTCAGTTCTATTTTGTAATAACACTTAGTTTAAAACACAAACACACTGTATAGTTGTACAAAACTATTTTTCTCATTATCATGTAATATTTATTATTCACTAGCACCACAGCAAAATATTTCTTAGACTACAATATAAAGATGACCGATTCATGAATATCTTTACAGGCTTAGAATTTTTAAAAAATACATATGCATTTTACATTATTAATGACTAGCAAGAAATGAGGGCAGAATTTATCTACAATCTCATCACTTAATCAAATCAGTGTCTCCACTTAACCCAGTCGCCTTTTGGTCCCTGTGCATATGGTCAGGTACATCATGGCTGAGGAGGGTTACATCACGCGTGGTTAATTCACACTGGGAAATGATTATCCCTTCATTAAGCAATCACCTCACTTTTAAAGAGAGCTAGGGAGCCATCATCATGCGAACAGAAATGCAGTAAGTAACAGATTTGGCAGATACATGCAGACTGGGACCTTATAATGAGCGTTGTCGTGTTGGCACGTTATGAAGTGCTGGCAGCAAGGCTCCATTTTCCCTTTATATATTAGGAAGGCATGTGGAAAATAGTTGAAACGGTGACATTTTAGAGCACTTAATGTATTATTTTTATATATTATTTTATTAACTTTATTGAGGCCCCATTGATTAATAAAATTATACAGGTTCGAGGTGTACATTCTGTAATCTATCATCTGTACGCTGTGCTCACCACTCCGACAGGTCTCCTTCCACCACCATCCATCTCCCCATGCCCTCTTCTACCTCCCCAACCCAGTATTTTCTTTCTTTATATTCTTATTCTATAAGGTTTTTTTTTCTATTTTAAAAGTATTATTATTAATACTTTTACTTTACACTTTTGGTTAAAAGACTCTGACACAGACACACGCAGTAGCCTAGGCCTACACAGGGTCAGGACCGTCTATATCACCGTCTTCCAGCTCCACGACGTAGCCCATCGAAAGGTCGGCGGGGCGGTAACACACGTGGAGCCTGTCATCTCCTGTGGTCACAAGGCCTTCTTCTAAAGTATCTCCTAACAGACCCGCCTGGGGCTCTTCTTCACGAGGAGTCGCTCTTTTCAGAAACATGTCCCTGGCGGTTTGCTTGGTTTGTTCTTTTTTTATCACGGAATTGTTGTAAGAAGATAATTCACCATGAACATTCTTTTCTAGTAAATAAAAACCTGTTGGTGTTGGAGTCTGTGTTTTCAAATTTTTAAAGGAGCTTGTTGAAATCTACAAAAGCTTCTGCTAAACCCTTCACTATATTTTTGGGGGGTGTTTTTCCTTTTCTTCTCCTGCAGTTTCCTTTCTCTTGCCTTTTCTTCAAGTACACATTTATGTTCCAACAACTTGTGATTCATCATCTCCTCAGGAACCATCTCCAGAAGTCCCTCAGAGGCAGCCTCACCCGCACCCAGGTGGAAGTTGTTCACCATCTCAGCCACAGTATCGTTGATTTTTGCAGCCTCCTCATCCTTGGCAAATTCTTTCAAGTCATGAATGAACCTCTTGTGTATCTTCTTCCATATGTCATTCATACACTTCTTGGTGCCATCACCCCAAGCAAGGCTCTTGATGCAGTCATGAGATGTTGCAATCAGTCCTTCTAAACTGCGTCAGTGTCTCCTCAGTGTCTTTCTTGGCTGCAGCAATAGCCAGAGCAAAAAGCCGTCCTCAGGTAGCAGGCCTTAGAAGCCACCGTAACTCCTTCATCCAGAAAAGTTATTTGGAAATGACAGATAATAATGTAACATACATTCATATACCCTTACTAAGAAGAGAATGCTTGCCACATTTGCTCCTTATGTGTTTTGGTTGTATTTTGAAATTAAAAACTAAAAAACTTGAGAAAATAGAATGTAAAGCCAGTCCTCAACAAAAAAGCCACACTTTAGCAATGGTTACCCACAAGTGAATAATAGTTCTGTTCATCACTGTATCTCTAGCATGTTGCATCTGTAGTTATTCAACATTCTCTCTATTGGCTGCATAAAGTATTTGCTATGAAAGATTCAAGAATGCAGAAAAAGGGATGCATTACATAATTTATTGTATCTTTTTTTGCTCTGATAAGTGACCCCTTTTTATTAAGCAACTTTGAGAGACAGTCCTAAAAACAGTGCTTCTGAAGAGATTAGAAACCAGAAATGTTCTACATTCTGCTTTAATCCCCTGCTCCGAAATTTCCACTATTTCCGTATCTTTCTCCCTTTGGTCCATGTTTTAGTCACCCGAGTAGGGAATTTAATACTGTGAATTCTTAACTGGAAGCTCACCACTGCCTTTTGGATTCCTAATTGAATTCTGGCATCCAAAGAATTGTTCAAAAATTAGCCCCCATTCTACAAGACAATAAAACAGAAAAAATAAAAACCACATACCTTCCATCTTTCAGCGTGTTAACAATAAATCGGTTAATCTGGCAAATACAGTTGCTAGACAATTGTTCTTTTTCAACAAGAGGGTTCAACTGTGTTGCCAACATGAAAGCTGAAAAACAGAGATTACTTTAGTCTTCAAAACATTTCAGCCATGACAATCTGAAAGCTGATCACACCTGTTCTAGCAAAGAAAAATATGCCTTAAATATGTTCCTGAAATTAAAACTAGTCAGACAGACTCTGCATAGTGAAAAACAGTGTAATTTTCTGTGCATTAAACATCTGCTACTACTCTGAAATACATGTATTTCTTAAAGCGCCTCAAACCATTTTTTCCATCATTCAAGTTTTATGACAAAGACTAAAAATCTTTTCTAGGTCTTTCACATTGTGACTAGAGATAGCAATCAGGTACTATACAACTCTCCTTCTTCCCAGGTAAAGCTTCCAACCCAGAAGTAAAACACCATAAAGGCAAGAATAAGACAGCTAACTCATCATAGTCACTAAATGTCGATATCATCCTGAGGGAAATTAATCAAAGAAAACATACAGCACCAGTTACGGAAAATTAATTAAGCCAAGTGGCAGCTTTCCACTAGATTCAGTCTACTGTTAAGAGTGCTCTCTGCCAACTGCAGTTCTGTCTGAATGAACTGCATGGCCAAGCAAATGCAGGATTCTAACATGCTCCAAACTACTGCAATCGAAATGTTGAGTATGATTTTAAATACAAATTCCTAGATTTATACATCATACTTACAGGACAGAGTGTTCAACCCATCACTCATAAGCAGTCGATAACGGGGTGGACTATTCCCTGTAGTAATGGGACGGATGTTCTAGAACAGAAAACTTGATTCATTAGCCAGGTTGTCTGCCCAGTCCCCAGAGATCAGAAAACCTAAGTGGCAGGAGAGTGGGCTTAACATTAGATCAGCACAAACTGAACTGCTTGCTCATTCTCTCAGCACCTAAATCCAAGTAAAAGGAAAGTAGATTTGATGCTTGTCCGACCAACCTCTTTCCACTAATATTATGAAATACAACATAGATGAGAATAAAATGTTGCCTATACTCTTGGGTTCTCTCTTCCTTAACGTGAATTTGGTTGAAAATAAATTCTAAAAAATATACATATAACAAGGTATCTAATATATGCAAGATACTGTGTAGGAAACATGCTAAAAATACAAAAAGGAAGAAAAAATTCTTCCCCGAAGGGGCTTACAATTAGAAAAAAGATGGAGGCAGAGAGACTAAGAGCAGTGTGCTCATAACGACATGGGTCAGAGCTGAGACATTTATCCCAACTGGAAGGAAATTAGAGGCAGCTTTAAGTGAAACATGTAAAGAGAACCTTACGGTGAAATAAGGCTTCAGATGACTGGCAGCTAGTTTGAGTAACAGAGACCATCAGGACTACTGACTGAGAATCTGCAGGTATAATCCATGATTCTGCTTCTGTTGTATTTTAAAATTCCCACTAAATTTGAGAACCCCGTATATGACAGAGTTAACAAAGAATTTTAAGCAGACAAGTTCTTTTTACAGAAAGGCCATATATGAGGCAGATTTGAGCAAGGCAAACCTAAGGGCAGAAAGACAAGGAGGTAGTTTTAACGATGTGTAGCACTATAGCATCCATTAACTGCGGAAAGAAACGAGAGGCAAAACCTCAGATCTCAGTCTCCGAAGGTCTACCTCTGGCTAACCTAATATGTATTTTTTAAAAGCCTGGTTCCTTTCTCAGGGTTGTAACATGAATGGGCCTATTTTTTGTGACGATGGAGGGCATTTCCTAAAATGAACAAATCTTTATGTTCTTCATTAAATGTAACTTATGATTACATGTAAGTTTAAAAACTGCTTGACATAAAATATATGTAGGTACTTACAATGACTTGGAGGATGGGTTTTATGGATGTATCTCCCTGTTGCATTATGGCCTAAAAGAGTAAAAACAGATTTTTGTGAGATATGCACTCATACCATGATTAAAATTTGGCATATTTGTACTGCTTAGTATTTGGAATAAACTAAAGATAACAATGTTAAAAGTGCTCCTTTGGAGCTTATCATTTGAAAATCTAGTTTAAGTTATGTCACTCGGGACAAATTATAAAATCATAATGAGATACATGCTTACAAACAAGGATACACTCATTCATCTAAAATGCTGGCATCCTGCCCTGACCGGTGTGGCTCAGGTAGCTGGGCACCGTTCCACGACACAAAGGGTCCCCTATTTGATTCCCAGTCAGGGCACATGCCTGGGTTGCATGTTCAGTCCACAGCTGGGCCACATGCAAGAGGCAACTGATTGACGTTTCTCTCTCACACCGATACTTCTCTCCCTCGCTTTCTCCCTCCCTTCCCCTCTCTCTAAAATTAAATAAAATCTTTTTAGAAAGTAAAATAAAATACTGGCATCACATATGCACTCATGCATAACAGCACATAAATTTCCCTATTGTGCCCATGATCAGGGAATTAAATAAGTATGGTAAATCCTTAAAACAGAATATTACACAGACTTGAAGAGCAGATATTATTTATATAATATTGGTTGCCTCCTGTAACAGGAACTAGATGAGCTGCGGAGACACACGTGAGAGGCAGACTGCACTACATCCTCTTCTGTACCTTCCGCATCTTAAATCTCATCGCTCTATCAGCGATTATAAAAATAATTTCTAAAGAAAAAAAAAAAAACCCTATTGATCAGGTTGTAATTTGTCTTTTAACAAGCCATCAGACAGCCCTGGCTGGTGTGGCTCACTGATTGAGCATCAGCCTGCAAACCAAAGGGTCGCTGGTTCAGCTCCCAGTCAGGGCACATGCCAGGGCTGTGGGCTGGGTCTCCAGTTGGGGGCATGTGAAGGGCTCCCAGTCGATGTTTCTCTCACACACTGATGTGATTCTTCCTCTCTTTCTCCCTCCCTTCCCCACTCTCTAAAAATAAATTTAAAAGCCCTGGCTGGTGTGGCTCAGTGGATTGCGTGCTGACCTGCTAACTGAAAGGTCACTCTTTTGATTCCCAGTCAGGGCACATGCCTGGGTTGCAGGCCAGGTCCCCAGCTGGGGATGTGTGAGAGGCAACCAATTGATGTATCTCTCACACACTGATGTTTCTCTCCCTCTCTTTCTCATTCACTTCCCCTTTCTCTAAAAGTTAATAAACAAAATTTTTAAAAAATAATACAAAATAAAAATTAAAAAGCCACCTCTCAAAGGTAACTGTCAGAAAAACTAACCGGCTGTCCAACCTCTGCCTCTGCCCACGCGGTAACAAATGATACCAGACGAGCTCTTCAAACATAAGCTAAAAAACTGGATAAAAACATGTGAACTGTTCTCAAATGCTGAAAACAGGTCAAGCAAAACTGATCCCTCAAAGCAGCAAGACAAATGAGGTGAGCCCTATGATCACTAGGGCTTGCTTTCTGCACTTTCTGGACCAGAATGCGGAAAAGGTAATCTAAGAAGTTCTGAGGTGCACAGATCAGAGATCAGGAAGGTGAGCCAGCTGGATTTTGTGGACGTGGAATACCAGAGGGAGGAGATACCCAGAGAAGCTACACACAGGTATTCCCTTGAGTTTTCTGCTGGATTCCAAGTTGTGCACATACAAAATGAGACTTCACAAGGCCAGGCAAAGAGTAAGTATTAAGAGAGCTATAACTTGAAAAATTACTGGTGCTCACACAGGCTATCATACATTTGTGTTTCAACCAGCCAGGGTAGAGAGAACTCAATAAACATGATGCATTCAGGACTTCTGGTCAAGATGGCAGCATAGGCAGACACGGCTCACCTCTTCACACAACCATAACAAAGTTACAACTAAAATACAGAACAACTGTCAACTCTGAACCATCAGAAATCAAGTTGAATGGAAGTCTGACAACTATGGAATTAAAGAAACCACAACCATCCAGACAGGCAGGAGGGGTGCAGATATGAACAGGCTGGTCCCTCACCCATGTGTAGTAGATAAAAATTTGGGAGGGATATCTCAGCAGAGAGGAGTCCCAGTGCCACACCAGGCCCCCCAGCCCAGGGTTCCAGTGCCAGGAAGGTAAGTCCCCACTTCTGGCTGCGAAAACCAGCAGGGACTGAGTCTGTGGAATAAGTTGCTAGAGCTTCAAGCAGTTCCTCTTAAAGAACCCACACATAGACTCACCTAAAGAGGCACCTATAGAGGCTCACTCCCTCTGAGCTCCAGCACTGGGGTAGTAGCTTGTAAGGCACCAGTGGTACTCAGGGAGGAACTGAGGCATCTGGCATCAAGGCAAGCAGAGGCCACTGTCCCTTTTCTAAACCTTCCTCCCGCAGCCATCAAGCTGATTTCATACCTGAGTCTTCATCAACTTGGCTAACACTGTTTGACCCGCATTGGAGACCCCCAGAGACTCCGCCCCACACAACTTACAGGCCCACCCAAGCAGCTTTTCCATAGGAATGGCTGGTCTTGGCTCTTGCTTCACAACTTCCCAAATCTTCTCAAACAAGCAACAGCTGGCCTCAGTGAGCCCCAGGCCCAGAACTGGCGGCCTAGATTCACAGTTTGGCTTTGCCTGGGGATCTCCAAGCCCAGTGTAAGTTGCAGCCATCTCAGCTTACTTTATAGCTCAGGCAGGGTGGCCCTGGGCAAAACACAGGTGGGGGCTGATCCTGGCCTGCACTACCCAGGAAACGCCCGGGCCAACGTACCCAGTGGACAGCTACAGACCATGTCAAAGTACCACCAACCTGCCCCTGCACAGCTGATACTCCACAGAGGCTGGAGGTGGTGGTTAGTGGTCACAGCCAATCCTTGCAGCTGACTGGCCTGAGTAAATCCCTCCCATTGACCTGCCAACAACAACAAAGGCTCAACTACAAGAAAAGGGTGTACTCAGTCCACACGAAGGGTGCACCCTGAGTACTCAGCTTGGGTGATGGGGGAAGCTGTGCCACTGGACCCTACAGGACACCTACTACATTAGGCCACGCTACCAAGATATGGAATCAAAGCAGCTCTACCTAATACATAGAAACAAAAACAGGGAGGCTGCCAAAATGAGGAGACAAAGAAACATGGCCCATATGAAAGACAAGACCAAAACTCCAGAAAAAGAACTAAACAAAACGGTGATAAGCAACCTATCAGATGCAGACTTACAAACACTGACTATAAGGATGCTCAAGAACTTAGTGAGGACCTCAACAGCTAAAAAAGATCCAGTCAGAAACAAAGTATACACTGACTGAAATAAAGAACAATTTACAAGGAATCAACAGTGGAGTGGATGAAGCCAAGAATCAAACCAATGATTTGGAATATAAGGAAGCAAAAAACAATTTGAAAAAATAATGAAAGAAAATTTCCCTTGATGAAGGAAATTGGCATGCAAGTCCAGGAAGCACAGAGTCCTAAACTAGATGGATACAAAGAGACCCACTCCAAAACCCATCATAATTAAAATGCCAAAGGTTAAAGATAAAGAGAGAATCTTAAAAGCATCAAGAGAAAGGCAGTTACCTACCTACAGGGGAGTTCCCATAACACTGTCAGCTGATTTCTCAAAAGGAACTTTGCAGGCCAGAAGGGATTGGCAAGACGTATTCAAGTCATGAGAAGCAGGGACCTCCAGCCAAGGTTGTCCCACCCAACAAAGGTATCATTTAGAATCAAAGGAAGAGTTCATCATCACCAAACAAAAGGATATTATACGAAATGTTAAAGGGACTTATTTAAGAAAAAGGTTGTCAGACAGGAAGGGGGTGTGGGGGAATGGGTGAGGAGATGAGGGGATTAAGTACAAATAGGTAGTTACAGAATAGCCATGGGGATGTAAAGTACAGTATAGGAAATGGAGTAACCAGAGAACTTATACCCATGAACATGAACAATGGTGTGGGGACTGCCTGAGGGACTGGGGGTGCTGGGTGAAGGGGGACAGAGGAGGAGGAAATCGAGACTGTAATAGCATAATCAGTAAAATATAATTTAAAATAAACAAATAACACATCATAAATACTGAATGTAGCCATGGCTGATGTGGATCAGTATATTGAGCTTCAGCTTACAAACCGAAAGGTATCTGGATCAATTCCCAGTCACGGCACAGGCCTGGGTTGTGGGCCAGGTCCTCAGCTGTGGGTGTGCAAGAGGCAACCGGTCCATGTTTCTCTTACACATCGATTCTCTCCCTCTCTTTCTCCCTCCCTCCCCTCTCTCTAAATATAAATAAATAAATCTTAAAAATAAATACTGAATATAACATTTTACTCTTTTCCAGGACATACAGCATGATATATACACTTAAGTAAAATTGCCATAAATTTTCCAAATTAACATTGCTAATAAAAATACAAGGTAAGTGAATGTAATAGTCAAAGGCGCATGGCTGTGACCACTCACTCCATGAACAATTTAACTCCGCTGTACTTTTTAATTCCTTCATCTGTAAAATGGGGGTAATGATAAAATCTACGTTACGGGATTACTGTAAGTAATGACTAATACAAAGTATGGGGTGCGTTGCAAACAGACAAAAATATCAGTTTCCTTCATGTTTCTTTTTATTACTCTATTACTTAAGCCAAAATTCTATTTATTTTATTTTCCACAATAGCTCCATGTATTATCTCTTATGATGTTAGCCCTTGGCTAAAATGCCTCTACTATTTGTTAGCTGCATACCCTTAAGGGCCTATCTTTTAAATTAATGTGATGCTACCTGCTTTAGCTACTAATCCAGCTGACAAAGGTTCTCCATATCTTGTCATCACAAACGTAAATACTTTACGTAACACTGGGAATATGTTTCTAAAATTTTGAATATAGCAAAAACTAACTGATCAAATGATTTATATTTACATAATCCCATGATCATTCTTTTTTAAAGGTGAAGAACTGTTCCTCTTTTTTTTTTTTCTATCCCCCTCATGTGTCTTAAAGGTGCAAGGTGGCAGCTATAAAGCAATTGAGGACTACAATTTGCAATCACTTCCCAGGTCTACTTATTTCTAACTTATTCAAATATTCACTAACTCCACCAAATGTTCTTCCCTTCCCTGTTTCCCCTACGCTCCCTTTCTTCCCCACTGATCTCTGTCCCTTTCTTTTCACTGCCTGATATGCAACTAGTAAACATGTATTGGGTACCTAAAGTTTGCTATCACTGCCTCAGGTGTTGATAGAAGTATTAGATACTATGTTGAGGGGGGAAAAAAGAAGCCCACAGGTATAAAAGAATGTACAGTCCAGTGTGGGAAACGGAGTGAGGTTAATCAAATCAAGAAATGTAAAAATAGCATCTGTGATTATCAATAATAGGTAACATGCTGGGCATTTACTATGTATCAGGCATAGGCCAAGCACTTTAAATGTAATAACTCACTTAATCTTCCCACTAAACTTAGGCAGTGGGTATTAGGTATCATTACCCTGATTTTACAGAAGAGGAAAAGCAGAATTTAGTATCTTGCCCAAAGTCACATAGCTAATAAGTGAGAAACAGAAATTCTGGTTTCAGAATAAAGGGGTGTAGCCTAATAAGGGAAAACAAAGCTTCTCTGAGGAAGTAACAACTGAGTTGAGATTTGAAGATTATGTTCATCAGTGAGAAAAACCACCTAGGCAACAGGTGGAGGAAAAAAAATGATTAAAGACCCAATGGAAAGCAAGAGTATGGAATTAAAATTTTTTTTTAAAAATGGCCCTTGCTGGTGTGGCTCAGTGGACTGAGCACCAGCCTGTGAACCAAAGGGTAGTGGGTTCGAATCCCAGTGTAGGACACATGCCTGGATTGCAAGCCAGGTCCACGTATTGATGTTTCTCTTCCTCTCTTTCCTTCTCTAAAAATAAATAAATAAAATGTTTAAAAAATAAAATAAATTTTTTAAAAAATGGATGGAAAAAAGGAAACAAGTTGGGAAGTTAGTATGGAAATGGCAAGAGGAGGGTACGCTGAATGGAGGTGAGTGACCCAGGCAAAAAATGGTGTCAGTGTGGATGGAGAGAACGATGGAGTTAAGAGATATACATAAAGTAAAATACATCTGACTTGGTCATTCAGGGTGACGTAGGAAGAATGATTCCTCAATTTCTGGCTTGCATAACGGAATGTATAATGGTGCAATTCATCCAGATAGCCCTGATTTAGGAAAACACCAGAGGCCCTGATTTAGGAAAACAAAGGATTTGCTTTGGGAAGTGCTGAATTTACAATGCCTTTGTGCCCTGGGTGGTGTGGCTCAGTGGAATGAGCGCCAGCCTGCGAACCCAAAGATCGCAAGTTCAGTTCCCAGTCAGGACACATGCCTGGGTTGTGGGCCAGGTCCCCAGTTCAGGGCGTGCGAGAGGCAACCGATCGATCCACGTTTCTCTTGCACAGACGTTTCTCTCCCGCTTTCTGCCTGCCTCCCTTCCCCTTTCTCTAAAAAATAAAATACCTTTGAGATACCAGGTAGATAGATAGAGGTTTGTGTTTCATAGTTAAAGGTCCTCCGGCAGAGAAATCTGTGAGCAATTTACATGAGACTGTCTTGTAAGAAAAGGGCATAGAGCTGAGCTTTGAGTCAATAAAAACTTACAAAGAGTTGCAAATAAGATGGGAAAAGACCAGCCACGCTGAGCCAAGAGTGTCACCAGAAGGAAGCAATGTTCAACGGACTCAAACGCTGACGAGGACGCTGGTAAATTGAAAACTGAAAAGTGTCCGCTGGATTTAACGATTTGATGGCACTCCTTAATGTCAGCCACAGTTATTTCTACAGTGATGGGGGCGGTAAGTGATTGGAGTGGGTTCAAGGATTGATTGAAGGTCAGGAAATGAAATAGCTAAAAACAACTCTGGAGAAGTTTGGTTGTGCATGGAAGGAGGAGAGGGGGCACAGTGGCCGTGGGTGGGAGATGGAGGGGAAAAAAATCAAGTTTATTTTATTTCGTATTCTTAAGCAGGAAGGCAGGAAAATGTAAGCATGTTTAAAAGACAACGGAAAGAATTCTTGCAAGAAAGGCTGATGATTCCGGGGAATGACCCGGCAGTTCCCCTCTGTCCCTCCTATCTTGTCCTACTGCGTTCTCTCCCCATCGCCCCCAGCTCCTCTCTCGCCTTCTCCACTCCGCACACCTCTAAGGCCCACAGCCAACCCTGGGCGCCCGGCTCGACTCGCCGGCGTCGCCTTACCGCAATGGCCCCTTCGCTCAGGTGGCCCACCATGGCTCCGCCGCGCCAACTCCCGCGTTTCCGATCCCGAAGTCACGGGCTTCACTGCCGAGGTCCGGCGCGCTCTAAAGCAATTGGTCCGAAGAGCCGCGTACGCCATTTCCGCCTCCTGACGTACGCAGGGCGCGGAGGCGGGCCTAGGGGCTGAGTAGCCACCGCATTGGCCGAGGTGGCGAGGGCGGCCCACAGATCCCTCCCGAATCCAGGTTCGCGGCGCAGTCGCGGGATGGGTGGGCTGGAACGCGGGGAGCTAAACCGTGGGGCGCGTCAAGGGTGACGCGAACGCAGTTACGGGTCGTGCAGAACCAGTTCCGGGATCCTTGCTTGCAGGCTGTTGCAAACATGCCCAGCTCGGCCTTTAGGAGGCAGGCAGAGTAGTAACCCAGAATTAGAGCTAATAGCCCTGCTGCTAAGTGTAGTAAAAGCAGTGACTCCATCCCATCCTGAGTTTAGCACAGCGGGGGTTTCTGAATGTAAATAAAACCCGTTTCCTGACCTCAGAAGAGAGCACAGCCTGTCGAGGGAGTTTCCACTGTAAGTAGCCCTACCTCAAGGTAGACATGGTACGGACCCCAAGAGAAAGATAGGTGTGCTAGAATCACACGTGGGAAATCAGGGAAGGCTTCCCGTAGGACGTGCCATTTGAACGGAGTCCGGAAGGATATGTGACAGTTTGCTCTGTGGACTCCAAGTGAGCGTAGGGATGCCCCCAGAAGAATGAGGAGCCTTTGCAAAAACTAAAGAGATGAATAGCCTGGCAAGCTGGGCATAGCTTTGAGTAGCTTAGGATAGTAGATTACAGAGGAAAAGTGATACTTGAACATTAGAAAGTAAGCCAAAGGTCAAATGATAACGGGTTTGCACTGGGCTTCCCTAAATGCTAGGTGGAGTGCTGATTAATTTAAGGCAGAGGACTGACAAATGTCTCAATGTGGAGGATGGATTAAATTGGGGGATGGGGAGGAGGACTGAGGGCATGAAGTCCAGTTACGACACTCTGGAAACACTGCCAGACAGGAGACTGTGGGGGCTTCAACTAAAGGGTATTGAAAGAGAAAAAATAACTATGTAAGAGAGATAAATTTGGTAACTTAATAGTTGCTGGGGAGAGTGAGAAAGAAAAATCTGGAATGTCCTGCAGTTTTCTGACTTGGGCAACTGGGATAGATGGAGGTACAAGAGGATAGAGATGGTCGCTGTCTAGTCACCGGCCATGGTTCCTGGAACAGAGTAGGCTTTCAATAAATATTTCTGAGTAAAAAGACGGTTGAGTAAATTGGTGTGAGAGAATATAGCTCCTTCAGAATATAAACAACTGTTGAAAAGGACCACAAGAATTGATTTTGTTTTTTCATGCTTCCTGTAATGAAATCTCAATTTTCTAGAATTATACATTTGTAGAAATCTGACCTACTTATTTTCTTATTCACTTTATAGATATAAAGTAGCATGGATCTGCCTGTGAATGAGTGGAAATCATATATACTTCAGAAGTGGTCTTTGCTCCCAAAGTCCATTCAGGTCACAATTTGTACAGCAGAAACTTTGAGTGATATCTTTCTTCACTGCTCTTCACTTCTTCAGTAAGTGAATGGAAGGTTTAACCAGGGAAATTTTGATCTGGAAAATATTTTGTCATTTGCTCTTAAGTTATATCTCTTTTTGATGGAAGGATGAAACTTAGATTTTTATTTTGTATTTTGGGGCATTCAGCAGTTCTTGTTATTTTCATTACCTCCTAAGCTACTATTATAGAAGAGATTAAAGACACTATTTAGCTTTTTCAATGTAAATATGATGCTTCAATAATCGGTGCCTTGCTTTAGTCACTAGGCTGTAAACTTTGCCATCTCCCAAAGACTGTAGTGGAAGTTTACTAGCTGCACATAGAAATTCCTATGTGCTCAAATTTGGAAAGGACCTTAGAGGTTTAACCCAGTGTTTTCAAACTCTTGTGACTATGCTCTCCTCTAAGAAATATTTCACATCACAACATAGTATACATACACAGACATAGAAAACCAAAACAAGAGTTTCCCACAGCTTCATTTAGTGAATTTTTATTGATCACTTGTTTTGAGCCATAAAAGTGTCCATCCACAGATACCAGAAGCTTAGCAAATCCCAAACAATGTAAATAAATGAAATCACACCTAGGGACAGCAGACTCAAATTGCCAAAAATTAAGGAAAAAAAGAGGAAATCTTAAAAACAAAGAAAAAAGATGTTATTCTTACTAGAATAAAAATAATGGCCAATTTTTTCAATGAAACTATGGAAGCCAGAAGACAATTGAATGGCACATTTAAAGTACTGAAAGGAAAACAAAGCAAAACAAAACTTGCCAGTCTAGAACTCTATGCCAAATGAAAATATCTTTCAAAACTGAGTGGAAACTAAAACATTTAGAAGTGAGATGTGACAAAAATGGTGCAAAAGGGAAGATGGGTAAATGGAGTTAAGTTGTAAGATTCTGGTATTGTTTGGGAAATGGTAAAAGTACTAACTGAAGATAGTGAGAAATCACTAAAAAGGTTACTTTGTAACCTTTTACTCTGTAACTTTACTTTGTAGGGTAATCGCAAAAAAAATATATATAAAAATTTATAATCAAGTCAATTCTCCCCCTTTTCCCATATGTTAGGCAGAATAATACATCCCAAGATGTCTATGTCCTGATTTCAGGAAATTGTGACTATGTTATATAGTAAAGGAAAATTAAGGTTGCAGGTGTAACTAAGGTTTCTGATTTGCCGATTTTAAGATAGAGTAGCCTAGATTATGTAGGTGAGCCCAGTGTAATCACAAGAGTCCATAAAGGTGGAAAAAGGAGGAAGGTGAGAAGAGTCAGAGGAAGACATGACTATGGAAGAATAGTCAGAGAGAGGCAACATTGCTGGCTTTGAAGAAAGAGAAAGGAAGTCACAAGCCAAAGAATGTAGGCAGCCTCTAGAAACTGGAAAATGCAAGGAAACTGCTTCTCCCCAGAACCTCCAGAAAACAATGCATTCCTATCAACACCTTGATTTTTAGCTCTTTGAGACCCATGTTAGACTCCTGCCCTTCAAACTGTAAGATAAATGTTTGTTTATTTTAAGCCACTCATTTTGTGGTAATTTATTACGGCAACATCAAAACAAAAACAAAAACTAATACAATTCTTTTACTTCCCTAATCCAAATTACTATCAGTAGCTAGACCATTACAATAGCTTCCTAACTGGTTTCCCATATCCATCCTTGCCTCACTGCAAACTACTTTCTATACCACAACTGGAATCATTTTTCAAAACAAGCCAATTTTATTGATCTTACTTAAAACCTTTCAGGAGTTTTTTTCTTTTTCCCTCGTGATAAAGACTAAAATTCTAAACATAGGTAGCCAGTCAGACATTGTAATCTGACCACTGCCTGTCTCTTGACCTCCTCTTTGACCACACTCTCCTTTTAGGCATATTGGCCTTCTTTCGATTCTTTTTTTTTTTCTTTTTAAGATTTATTTATTTTTAGAGAGAGGGAAAAGGAGGGAGGAAAAAAGAGAGAAACACCGACGTGTGATAAATACATTCATCGGTTTCCTCTCGCACACCCCCAACTGGGGACCCGGCTGGCAACCCAGGCATGTGCTGTGAGTCGGAATTGAACCAGCAACCTTTCAGGTCACAGGCCAGCACTCAGTCCACTGAGCCACACCAGCCGGGGTGGCCGTCTTTCGATACCTGATATGCACTGTGCTTCTTCACTCCACATGGCCTTCACTTTTTTCTTCTGTCTGAAATGTTTTTGCTATGTTCTCTCTACTCCATCACGCCCTAAGAACTAATTAATGTCTGCTCATCTTTCAGGATCAGCCAGATCTTTCCTAAAGAGAGCTTTCCTGAACCCCAGCTGAGTCATCTTCATTTTTTATACATTTACAACACTGCATACCTTTCCTTTCATATTTGTGTAATCATTTGATTAATGTCTGTATTCACTTCTAGACTATAAACTCCTAAAGACAAGCACCTTGTCAATATTTGTTTGTCTTTCTGTAGACAAGAACAGTGCAGTGTCAAAAAAAAACAGATACTCAGTTTGATAATGTGTAGAAAGCTGTTAGTTCAGTGACTGGTGCATATTAATGCTAAATATGACAAATAAATGAGAGCCTCATCTATACCCAGATACATAAACACATACTTTTCAAGTTCAAGCTGGACATTTTATCTTTGTGCCAGCAATTAATGCAGTGTCTAATTCTTTTTATATATTCTTATTTATTTGTAGAAAAATATGCACATATCTGTTTTATTTTCTGTTAAATTATATTATGTGCTTTGTTCTGTGAGGTTTTTTCCAATATCACACCTTAATCTTTTTAGCAACCACATGATATTGCTAGTGTAATATGCCACACTTTAATTATTATCTTTTCACTGTTGATAGGCAATTTGGGTTTTTAAAAAATACTTTATTTATTTTTAGAGAGGGGAAGGGAGGGAGAAAGAGAGGGAGAAAAACATCAATGTATGGTTGCCTCTCACATGCCCCCTACTGGAGACCTGGCCTGCAACCCAGGCATGTGCCCTAGATTGGGAATCAAAGCGGTGACCGTTTGGTTCACAGGTCAGTGCTCAGTCCACGGAGCCATGCCGGCCAGAACACAATTAGTTATTTTGATGTTGGTTTGTTTTATTTTAATTGTCACCAAGAGTGTTGCAGTGAACAGCTCTTACGTTTTTTGTATACACAGTTAGAACTTAGCACAGGTTCTTAGAAGAGGAATTGTTGCATCAATGGTTACGAGCTTTTAAAACAATAAATACTATGGGAGAGAGGGGTAGGTCAGAGTGGAAGAGGGTATAGGGAGGATAAATGGAAATGGAAAAATAAATAAATGAAAAAAGTAAATAATTTAATAAACACTGCAAAATTGTCTTCAAAGAGGCTTTACCAGCTGACCATGAATAGCATACGAAAACCATTTTCCTATGTCCTCACCAACATTAGAAAGCAAATTGTCTTTAATTTTGCCAACCATAAGGACAAACTAATCTTGTTTACTTTGCATTTTTCTGATTACTAGTAAAGTCATGCACCATTTCTAATGTTACAGCCCATTTATATATCAACTGTGTGAATTGTTCATTTCTGTTCTTTGATCATTTTTCTAGTGGACTCTATTTCTCTTAATTTATAAATCTGGCTGTATAATTCTTTGTTATATCTGTTACTAATTTTGCTCTTACTCTATTGTTTATCTTTTTTACTTACGGTGTCTTGCATTGTATATAAATGTATATATATGTTTTAACTTTTATACAGCTAAATACCTGTCACTTTCTTGTGTGGCTTCTGGGTTATATGTCTGTCTTAGAATAGTCTACTGTACTCAAAGATTATAAAAATATTCTTTATTTTCTTCTTTTTTTGTAGTTTTGTGTTTTTGTTTTAGTTCTCTAATCCATCTGGAACTTATTTTTGTGTATTACATGAAAAGAGTATATAAAGTTTTTTTCCCCTAATAATTTTTCACAGCATTTATTGAATAGTCCATCCTTCCCCTATTGCTTCAAAATGCTACGTTTATTAAAAATTAAATTCCTCCCTGGCTGGTGTGGTTCAGTGGATTGAGTGCTGGCCTGTGAACTGAAAGGTCACCGCTTCAATTCCCAGTCAGGGCACATGCCTGGGTTGTGGGCCAGGTTCCCAGGTAGGGGCATGCAAGAGGCAATTGATTGATGTATCTCTTGCACATCGATGTTTCTCTCCCTCTCTTTCTCTCTCCCATCCCCTTTCTCTAAAAATAAATAAATAAAATCTTTTTAAAAAAATTAAATTCCCCCACTGGCTGGTGTGGCTCTTGGTTGGAGCATCCCCTGTAAACCAAAAAGTCATGGGCTAGATTCCCAGTCAGGGCACGTGCTCTGAAACAAGTTCGTATTCAGTAAATCTGCTGTTGTAAACCCCACATTAACAAACCAAAGGAGAAAGAAAATCACTCCTCCCAAAATACATTTTAAGAAATTGATAAAATTCAACACCTATTTATGACAGAATATTGGGAACCTTCCTTAAACTGAAAAAGCGAATGCACCATAAACTTATGGCAAATGTTCTGAATGGCTGTTCGTCTTCAACGTTGCTCTGGAGGTCTAACTAATGATTGATAACTAAAAACTAAAATAAGAGGTACAAATATTGGGAAGAAAAATTACCATTTGCAGATATATACTTACCTAAAAATTCTGAGTGGATTGGCATAAAAATGATGAAATAATGTGAAAGTGAAGTTAGGTGACTAATTATAAGATGATAAAAAAGTTCTTGGCTTTTGTGTTTATATCACCAATCATCAGTTAAAGAATGTAATTGGGGGGACAGGGTCTTATTTACAGTAAAAACAAAAATCTTAACAACAAGTAAAAATAAATCTAAGAGGAAATGTGTAAGACCTATATAAAGAAAACGACAAAGCTTTACTTAAGGGCACAAAAGAAACCCTAAAAAAGTGGCAAGACATAATGCCTACTGAGATGAGGAAATTCAGTGTTTTGTAAAGATGTCAAGTCTCCTTAAATGAATCTATAAATCCAACACAATCCCAATCAAAAGCCGAACATTTTTTATGGAACTTAACATCTAATTCTAAAGTTCACAAGAGAATAATGTCTATAAAAGAGCCAAGATACTTTTGAAAATCATGAAAAGGAATAATGACTGTGTGTGTGTGGTGGTTCCTCAAAAAATTAATAATGGGAGAACACATTTGCCGATATATCTGATAAGGGGTTAATATCCAAAATTTATAAATAACTTACAAAACTCACACACACAAAAAAACCCAATTAAAAAATGGGCAAAGAACCTGAATAGACACTTCATACAAGATGTACTGATGGCCAATAGACATATGAAAAGATGCTCAATGTCACTGATCATCAGAGAAATGCAAATTAAAAGCACAATAAGATATCACCTCACATCTGTCAGAATGGCTATCATTAATAAATCAATAAACAGCAAGTGCTGCGAGGATGTGGAGAAGGAAAACCTTTTTGCACCGCTGGTAGAAATGCAGACTGGGGCAGCCACCGTGGAAAGTAGTATGGAGATATCTCAAAAAATTAAAAATGGATCTGCCTTTGACCCAGCTCTTCTACTTCTGGGAATATATCCAAAGGAATGGAAAACACTATTCAAAAGCACATAAGCACCCCTAAGTACATTGAGGCACTATTTACAATCACCAAGCTAGGAAGCAGCCCAAGTGTCCATCAGTAGATGAGTGGATAAAACAACTATGGGACATTTACACAATGGAATACTACTTGGCCACTCCCACTTCCGGGTTTACAGAATAATTGAAAATGGGACTTGAACAGATGTTTGTACACCAATGTTCGTAGCAGTATTATTCACAAATGCCTAAAGTGGAAACAACCCAAATGTCCACTGACAGATGAATGGTGAACAAAATGTGGTGTATAAATACAATAGAATATTATTCAGCCATAAGAAGGAATGAAATTCTGGTACATGCTACAATGTGGGTGAACCTTGAAAACATTATGCTAAATGATATAAGCCAGACATAAAAGGATGATTCCACTTATATGAAGTACCAAGAATAGACAAATTCACAGAAACAGAAAGTAGAATAGAGGTTTCCAGGGGCGGGGGAGAGCGAAGAATGGGGAGTTATCGTTAATGTGTCTATACTAGTTTGGGATGGTAAAATTGTTCTGGAAGTGGATAGTGGTGATGATTGTACAATATTGTGTATGTACTTAATGTCACTGAACTGTATACTTAAAAATGGTTAAAATGATAAATTTATATTTTACCACAGTAAAAAAATTAATTAGAAAAATTGTTCTACGTAACTTCCTCAAAGAAAAGAATGAATTATTGTAGTTCAGGTCTTAATTACACTGACCAACAATTACAAAACTTTGAGTTTATCATTATTTTGTATTAAGATTAAAGAATATCCATTGCTGGGCAAGAAGAGTCTTGATATTATTACCGTTCACACAAAACCATTTTGTTTGAATAGGATTTTTCAAGTTAACCTAATTTAAAACAACAGAAAAACAAATAAAACAAAGAACAGGTTCTATGGTACACCAGATGTGCATGGGGCATTGTCCTCATGTATTCTGGACTAGAATTAATTTAGAACAGGCAAGCACACCTTTTGAGCTAAATAAAATATTTGCTAATTTTTATATATGTCACTTATTTTGAGATTTTTTTCTATATTGTATTTAAATATTAAATATTTGATATACATAGCAAAGATAAATAATGTTTTGTGAACGTCTAATATATGCATACACAGATGCATCATACTTAATTACAGTATAAAAGGTACTTCTTATTAAGGATCTTTGTAAACAAAAATTTGAAAAACATTTTCTATTCATTCTGCAGTTTTGGTTTTGATTTCTTCTTTGACCCAAGAGTTTAAGATAATTTTTAGCTCCCATTTTATTCATAGTCTATTTGCTTCATTGCATTGTAGTCAAAGAGTATTGTCTAGGGTATTCTATATCAGTTTTCCTTATTGGAAAAAAGGTATGTTTTCTATTGCCAGTGTGCATGTATATTTGTGTATTATATGTTAAATCAACTTTATTAATTTTACTATATAGAGCATTTGCATGTTTCTCACATTGATGTTTCTCTTCCTCTCTTCCCCTCTTTCTCTAAAAAAAATCAATAATCATGTCCTTGGGTGAGGATTAAGGGGGAAAAAAATTATCCAAATGTTAAGATTTCACTGCTTTTACTTTATTGTTTGCTTGCCTTCCCTCCCTTTCTCCTTCCTTTCCTCTGGCAGCCATTCAACTCAGGTGTTTTCAACAGGGCTTAAGCTGAGAATATGCCTTGGTGCAAAGACTCTGTATTATGTCATTCTCCACACCCAAGCTTCTATGTAATGTATTATTCAAGGGATGGTTCATTGACCAGGAATTCTGAGATAAAGAATAAAAAAATTAGCCCTGGCTGGTGTGGCTCAGTGTATTGAGCACCAGCCTGAGAACTGAAAGTTTGCCAGTTCAATTCCCAGTCAAGGCACATGCCTGGCGTGAGGGCCAGGTCACCGGTTAGGGGCGTGCGAGAGGCAGCTGATGGATATTTCTCTCACACATCGATGTATTTCTCCTTTTCTTTCTCCCTCCCTTCCCCTCTTTCTGAAAATTAATAAATAAAATCTTTTTAAAAAAGGAATAAAAAATTAGCGCTCCATCCTCTAAATAGAAATTCCAGTCCCTGCGTTTCCGAACCACAAGATCCCCACCTCCTGCCACTCCCACCATTTTACATAATAGAACCTCATGTGTCCCAATGTTGTGCAGACCATTGGTTTCTAGTGCAATGGTTAAGAGCTTTCCTTAAAATAACATTTATGCTTTTTTTTTATTTGTTTCTTTCTCCCTAAAGACCTGAAGATGAGATGGTTTTAAAAAAGCTTTCTAGCGCTTACCTTGTGGGAAAGGACCCCGATGCCCCCCTTTTTTACAGAGGAGAAGGGAACAAAAAATTTCAGAAGAAGGATTATATGGGAGCCACGTTGCTATATTCTAAGGTAGGACACTCCCAGCTCTGCTGGAGGGGCTATTTTAACAATTTAACAAAGCATCTTTCTTCAAAAGAGAGAGCCTTAAGGCTGAATCGTGTAGCCAGTGGTAGCTTTGTAATTTGTGAATTGGATTTGAAAAAGAAAACTGGGAAAAATTCCACTGTAGGTTATATTCTGAAACAAAGGGTAATTTGTGTTATATGTCCTGAACTTCATCAAGAACTTCTATTCCCATATTCTTTCAGACACGTTGTAGTAATAGTATCGGATCCCTTAGCCTGCTTTGTTCGTGTCTGTCAGCTTTCATTGAGTTGTGTGCCATTTTTGTCTAAATGACTGATGAGGTATTAGTTTGATAGTCCCAATTTAGAGAGCAGGTAGATTTCTGGTTAGTCACAGTATTAGCTACAATCAGTATGACTTAGATGGAGTTAGAAATAAGCTTAATGCACAGCCCAGCTGAACTACATTTTGAAGGTTGTCAACAACTATTTAAAATTACCTAACCATCAATGATCTAGATTTTGAGAAGGAATACTGGCTTTTATCAGCCTATTGCTCTTGTCCTGCTTCCATAGTAAGAAGTGGAACAAGATCCCCGAGACTCTTCCTTCTATAACCTTTGAAAGATAAATATAGATTTAAAGCAAGATGTAGCACTCCTTTGCACCAGGTTGATGAGCTTGTATATTAAAAGGATGAGTGTAGCCCTGGCTGGTGTGGCTCAGTGGGTTGAGTGCTGATCTGCAAACTGAAAGGTTGCTGGTTCGATTCCCAGTCAGGGCACATGCCTGGGTTATGGATCCCTCCTCAGAAGGGAGTGTGCAAGAAGCAACCAATCAATCTTTCTCTCACACATCAGTGTTTCTCTCCCTCTCTTTCTCCCTCCTTTACACCCTCTCTAAGAAGTAAATAAAGTCTTTAAAAGAAAAAAAAGAATGAGTGTGAATTTGAAAGTGCACCCCTACTGTGAATCTTTAACATGCCTGTGCTTAAAGTTTGGAATTATTTTTCCAAAAACTATCAGACCTATAATAGCAGATTCTATAAATGATTAAAAAAACCCACTTGTATTTGGCTGAATAATGTATTAGTTATTGCTGAAGAATTAAAATCCATTAGATGTAATGATCCACTGATAAATGGCTTGGTTCTTCTTCAGAGCTAATCTCTTCCACTTTATGAGTGTGTATCATAAATGCAGTCACATAGGAAGTTGTTCAAAAAAAAACAAGTAAAATCAGACAAAAAAATTAAGGTTTGCTCTGCTTGTGGAGGGGGATGAGCCTCCCTGTTGTAACCAAACAAACTTAGGTTGGGCTGCCCACCACAACAAAAGCCAGACTCGCGAGTCAGATGCTGGTGCAAAAGGAAAAAGGTTTTATTCAGGTGCCACGCAACCTGGGAGAATGGTGGACTCCTGTCTCAAAGATCATCTCCCCTTCCTGCTCAAACGCACAGTTATTACAGGGATGGGAGGGGAGGGCTTCGTTTTCTATCCAATTAATCTTGCTAACGTTTGCTGTGCTCACATCCTACGCATTGATATTTCTAGCTTATGGGACACTCGGTGTAAGAGCCTTCCCCACTGCCATCTTGGCCAATGGGAGAGGCTTGCTGGCACTCTGACCGACTGTCTACAATGACCTCCTTCCGAACTCTGGACACTTGTAATCTCAAAAGGGTAAATGGATGAAGGTCTCACCTTCTGTAGTTTCTTCCTGCTGTCTAGTCTTACCTATCCCCGGGTCCAGAGATTCTTACTATCTACTTAAGGAAGAGGGGGTCAGGAATGGAGGGAAGTGTTTATGTGAGGAAGGATTGCTTTCTTCAGAAGGCGGCACACACGGTATTCAGAGGATGGCACTGCTGAACAAGCGTAGCGGGTAGACTGCTTCACATTTCAAGAGACGGTGCAGCAGAGGGCTGCCAAAGGGAGACCCGCCTCAGCCGGTGTGGCTCAGTGGGTTGGGCACCGTCCCGCAAACTGAAAGGTCACTGGTTTGGTTCTGGTTGGGGCACATACCTTGGTTGTGAGCTCCGTCCCTGGTTGGTGTGCGTGCAAAGGGCACCTAGTCAGTGTTTTTCTCATCAATGTTTCTCTACCTCTCTCTCTCTCCCTTCTCCTCTCTAAAATAAGAAATTAAAAAAATGCAAAGTGGTACCTACTGTGCAGACAGACAATCAAGCGTTTCCTGAAGGGTATGCCTGGCAGTGCAGGGGGAATTGTAGTGAAATCCGACTCTGGAGAGACGGAGGGATCCCTGTGATCTAACCCTTAGCAGGGCTTTGGGTGGCACACCCAACAGCAGGATAAATTTGCCAAGGAAGCTACTCTCTGGGAAATGCAGAATAAAATAAAAAGTAACATTGACACTTAGCTTTGGGAGGCGCTGTCCCTTTCCAAAGTAGGAATTGTAAACCCTCAGGAGCTCAGGTCCAGCCTTCCCTTGCAGCATCGATGGCAGCGGCAAGCTCTGAGTCCCCCTCGGGCAGTGCCCGCCTCATCCGTGTACGGTGGATGAAAGGCCTGATTCCCGTGAGGTTTGGGGAAGAGTGTGTTGTCAGCAGGATGTCATAAGGACCAGTCCGTTACTCGGCTAAATGCTCTTCAGGACCTTGCGTCTTCCAGCTCTTTAGTAAGACTCGGTCTCCTGGCTGGAACAGGTACAAGGGCTCATCAGATGGGTAGATAGACCTGCAAACTTGAGCAAAATTGTTAGCATTTGCCCTCGATGTTGTACAAATTGTTTGATTTTTGATTCATGTTCTAAATCTAAAGCGGGTGTTCCTAAAGCAGAAACTTGGAAGGGTCTCTCATAAACTATTTTTAAATGGTTTAATTTAAGCCTGCTTTGGGACGCTACTCTAATCTGGAGCAAGGCAGTAGGGAGTGCCAGGTCCCATTTCAAGTGTGTTTTCTGGCATATTTTTGCCAGAATCTTTTTTATTGTGTGGCTCATTTTTTTTCATTTATGGCCATAAGATCCTATAGAAATCAATATTTATGAGAGTGAGGTTTTTTGACTAGCAAATGGGGGTGTTATAAGGAAACTGGCATGGCTGAATTAATGCTGATTTTAAGAATTTCTGCAATACTGGTTACATTCCCTCTGAAGTTTGTTTCTTCTGTAGCATCCACACCCATTCTTTGTAGGTTAATATTTATGGGTTGGATGCTAACCTCCGTACTGGGGTTCCGTCAGCCCAAATGGCTTGAAGATTAACCCGCTCATAGATCTCAGGTGGGAAGAGTTCACTACCAGGTTCTTCCTAGCAAGTCAGGAGCACCTGGAGCTGGAGAGCATGTTCAAGCAGGACTTCCACACGTAGTTGCTGCTTCTCAGAGGAAAAAGTAATTTGTGCATGCAGTTTACAAAGTAAATCTCAGTCCAACAATGGAATGGGGCAGTCTGGCATGTAGAGAAAACTGTATGTAAGTTTTTGACACCCGAGCTGGCATTCTAGATGTGGAAGGAACACCTGTTTTTGTGATTGTCTGGTCACTCCAGTAACCATCACTGCAGCTGACCCTTTCTTAGTTTTGTATTTAGCGCTGAATATTAACTCCTCTATCTATGAGGAAGTCAACTAGCTCATTCCCCACTGTCAGTTGTACCTGGGGCTCCTGTGGGGAAATAGTAATAGGTCAGGAGATGTCTATGGGATTCCCTGGGCCTCCTCATTCATCATCAGATTTGTCATTCTAACATTTCTTGACAAGGATTCCTATTCTTTTTATTTTTCTCTTTGAGTTCTGGGTAGTCCTTTCTCCCAAAACTCAAGCCCTTCAAATACGCACCTTCTGTAATATTCTGGGAAGGCTAGGTCCCTGCCATTTGGGTCCCAGTTGTGCTCTGTCAAGGGAATTGCCCCAGCTGGGTCTCTTGATGGAGGTGATGAGCGTCTGCATAAGCCTTATTTATCACTAGTCACCTTTCAACTCTTGTTAGCAGGATGTTAAGGAGAGCTGGTACGTCTGCTCAGTTTGGATGGTGAATGGCAAAATTGGAGGTGGTAAGATCTGCCATTTTCTAAGAATCCTTCCTATATATGGGATGGAATTCTTCCAGTTTAGTAAATCTAAAGTGAAAATGGCATATGGGCCCAATAGTAGCCAGTGGTCTGGTCCACCTGTAGGGTATTGCCTCAAAGTGATAGGGAGGCTCCCTGGCCAAATTGGGTGCCCTGCTAGGTCTCCTAGGGGGAGATCATTCTTTCCTCATAAAGGGGTGGGGCTACCTCCCCCCAGCGCTCTATTTCAGGGGTATCTAGCAGCAGGGGAATATTTCCTGCTGCTAATCCTGCATTCCCTGGGTTCAGGGCATTAAAGAGGCTCATCTCCTCCTTTTCCTTTTCTTCCTGTGTCTTACTATCAGGCAGGGGTTTTGAAGCCAGTTCCCTTCTGTGTCTCATTAGTTTGTTTTCCTTTCTTTGTCGAATCCTTATAGAGACATAAGTGCCTGGACATAAGGGATTTTGTCCCATTTCTTTGACCATCAGCAAAACAATTACAATTGTATGACTGTGTACTAATTTAGGGAACCATTAAGAGGACATTTTTCCCCATAGTCTAAAGCAGCAGTCCCCAACCTTTTTGGCACAGGGACCAGTTTTGTAGAAAACAATTTTTCCACCAACTGTGATTGGGTGGGGAAGGGGGAGAAAAGTGGAGCTCAAGTGGTAATTAGAGCGGCATTTATGGACAGGGAGGAGGGAGGCTGGGGATGCCTGGTCTAGAGTATACGTAGACCAAGCAGTATTACAATGCAAAACTTATTCCTTCTTAGCCATTGGATCATAGCTGTACATGGACCAATCTGTTACAATTTAGCCCAGTGGGCTACCTGTAGGAGTTGAAACAACAACTCTTGATGGCACAAAAGTATAAACCTAAAACCATAACTGTAACAAGAGCCCAAAGTGGGAACATATAAACAAAATTTGGATCCATAATTTCATTATTCCAAATGAGTGCTCACAAGCAAGTCTTAGTGTCTCATCTCTTGCCAACCAATATGGCAAGAGGTCCTAAAAGGACCCAAGTAACACAAAGCCCAAGTAGCAAGGATAGCCTGCCAACTGGTACCTCAAGTGGTCCTAACTAGGCCCAAGTGCCACAAAGCCCAAGGGACACAAAGCCAGAGTGGCACAAATCTCAAGTGGTACACAGCCCAAGTGGCAGGGATAGAGGACACCCGGTGTGCATGCCAGTTCGACTTAACACAGTTTTGGAGCCTGTCTGATCCCCCAAAACCTGTTTCCTTTCACCAGAGAAGTGTTTGAAACAGCTGATGCCTTGAGAAGGCGGGCAGGGAAATTCCCACAGACCTGCTTTTCCATGGTTGGCCTGCTACAGGCAGCAGTACCCCAGCCTGGGCCCTCTGGGACTTACCAAGGTCCATGCTCTCCCACCAGAGTCACCAAAAGCTGTAACTGAGCACATGGAGGTTTGGCTGCCTGCCGCAATAAAAGCCAAACTCGTGAGGCCGGTGCTGGTACAAAGGAGAAGAGGTTTTATTCAGGTGCCGTATGACCTGAAAGAATGGTGGACTCCTGTCTCAAAGACCATCTCCCCTTCCTTTAAGCCCACAGTTCTTAAAAGGATAGGGAGGGGAGGACTTCTTTTTCTATCCAATTATCTTGCTATCTTTTGGTGCACTTAGGAGCCCTATCCATTCATCTTTCTAGCTTTTGTCACGTTCAGTGTAAGAACGTCCCCTGTCGCCATCTTGGCCAATGGGAGGAGCTCCCGGGCACACCAACTGACTGTCCAGCAGGGGTGTCCAAGCTTTTGGCGTCTCTGGGCCACACATTAAATACACAAACAGTAATGAAAACTGATAAGCAAAAAAAGGTTTTAAGTAAATTTACAATTTTGTGTTGGGCTGCATTCATAGCCATCCTGGGCCACGTGGGGCCTGTAGACCACAGGTGAGACACACCTGGTCCAGTAATACTATTTGATGGAGCTAATATTTTGATGATTGTGGTACTTTGCAAATTGTATAAAGCAGTTTTCTTTCTTTTTTATAATAATATTTGTTTTTGTCCAATTGCAAATACAATATATGTTTACTTGGAAAATATAGAGAAGCATAAAGAATAAAAAAAGTCCCATAGCCAATGATAGGCACTGTTAACATTTTTACTTATACCATTCAGCCACTTTTTCCTCTGAAAATATGTTTTTCTTTTACAAAATTGAGATAATGCTGTACTTACTGTTTTGTAACCTGCTTTCTTCCCTCAACAATTTATTGTGACCCTTTTCTCGTGTTATTAAATTTTCCACTAGAACATGATTTTTTACGGCTGGCTTAGTGTTCCATTACAGAGCACTGTACTTGATTTAACATCTAATGTTGGCAGATTTTTTTTTGTATCATAAAGCTGCAAGGAACATCTTTCTATGTAAATATTTGTACACATCTGCTTATTTCCTTAGGATTAAATTTTTAGAAGAGCAATTTCTGGGCCTATTGAATGTATGTTTTTAAGGCCTTTGGTACATGATGCTGAATTGTTTTTCAGGAAAAAACTGGTAACCTCCCTTCTAGCAGAGTATGGGAATGTTCCTATCTCTATAGCCTAAGCAATACTGGTTATTATAGTATTGTTATTTTTATTTTATCTATTTATTTTGAATAGGAAGTGTGTTTATATAGTTAGCATTCAAAAATTACAAGATTATACAGTGTATTCTACTTCCTCTGTCCCCTAGCCACTTTGTTTCCCATACCCAGAAGATACACGATTAAACGTGTCTTTCTTGAGATACTTTGGCATCTATAAATAAATACAAGTAACCTCCCATTCCCTCACACACTTTTTACATAAATAATATTCTATATACACTCTTTAGTACTGCACTTTTTCCACTTAATATCTTTTTTTTTAAATATTGTATTTATTTATAGACAGAGGGGAAGGGAGGGAGAAAGAGAGGGAGAGGAACATCAATGATTGGTTGCCTCTTGTGCGCCCCTTACTGGGGACCTGGCCTGCAACCCAGGCATGTGCCCTGACTGGGAATCGAACCGTGACTCTTTGATTCGCAGGCCGGCACTCAATCCACTGAGCCATACCAGCCAGGGCTTCACTTAATGTCTTAATGTTATTTTTACATTTAATTATTGTCTTATAGATGAACATTTGTTGTGTCCTATCTTTTGCTATTTCAAACAATGCTGTGAAGAGGAACTTTACATGTATGTTATTTTGCACATATATGTAATATAAATGATTATATCTGTAGAATAAATTCCTAGAAGAGAAATTGCTGGGTCAATGGAAATATATGTATGTATGTGTGTGTGTGTGTGTGTCTGTGTGTATAAATATACATATTTTTTTATATATCTCTCTAAATATATATATATCTCTCTCTAAATTGCCGCAATATTCCTAAGACCAATTTACCCTCCCACTAGCAACATAAGAGAATTATTCCATTATCCCCCTCCTTTGCCACCTCAGTGTGCTATCAATTTTATTTTTCTTTGCCAAACTGATAGGTAAAAAATGAGTCTCAGTAAATTTTTTTTTCAGTAGTTTTAATTTGTATTTTGCTGATTATGAATGAGGTTGAGCATTTTTTTCATATGTTTAAGAACGATTTATATTTCCCATTACAACTATTCATATCATTTGCTTATTTTCCAATTGAATTATTGGTTGCCATCTTATTGATCTGTAAGAATTGTTCATAAAGTAAAGAAATGAACCCTTTCCTTGTGATATGAGTTGCAGATATTTTTTCAGTTCAGTGTTTGTCTTTTGATATTGCTTTTATTGGTTTTTGCTGTAGAGAAATTTCTTATTTTTATGTGGTCAAATTTATTAACCTTTTATGACTTCTGCATTTTGTGTTGTAATTAGAAAGGTATTCCTCACTCCAACATCACATTAGACTATTTCTATAGTTTCTTTTAGCGCTCTTATAGTTTCATTTTTTTTACATTAAGATTTTGATTCATTTGGAATTTATCCTAATGAAAGTTTTATCATATATAGAGAACCAACTTTATTTTTCCTCAGTGGCTACCTATTTTTCCCAATACTTTCATTGAATAATTCCCATCTTTTCACCAGTGATTTGAGATACCACCTTTATGATTATCATTAATCCTTGGTGGTAGGAAAAAAGTAGTCCTTCTCCACTTTCCTTTTCACCCTATTTGGCTATCTATATATGAATCAACCATTTGCTTCCCATATACCATTAGTTTTTCTTCTTTTGCGAATTTCTGTTTGTGCTATTCATCCTTTGTTATGTGTAGGATTATGCTTCCCCATTTTCATTTACCTTTAGTATTGTTTGTGGCTGAAGCTGTCTGTGTCTGATGCTGTTATCTTCAAAGTGCTTTGAATATTTATTTCTGTCCTTGATCTTCACAGCTTTGCTCTAAGGTAGTTTAAAATGAAGCTGAAGCAGGTGAAGCACAAAGAAATCCAGTAAATTTCCTCATTCAGTCTTTAGTAGCAGAGCCCTTATTATCTGAAAAAATACTTTAAAGATGCTGGTCTCCATTTATGCCTGTAACTGGTTCATTGTTTTGCAGGGCATATCACATTCAAGACCAAATACTGAAGACATTTCATTGTGTTATGCCAATCGCTCCGCAGCCCTCTTCCACCTGGGTCAGTACGAAGTGAGTATCAGGATGCCGGGCGCGACCAGAGAGGACCGGAAGAGGGGTGCTGGAGGGCTGGACCCTTGTCTCTGCCTCTGCCTTAGAACACGAGAATTGAGCCATGCTGCAGGCTGAGTTGGAAGCAAATTGATATCCTCCCAAACTTGTTCTTTCTCCTGAAACATTTTTTTCCTATCAGAAGTGGTTATGTGGGGCAGCGTTGGTTGATAAGAGAGTCATGGCACATTCCACGGGGCATTGGATTATGTCCAGTGGGTCGGCAGTTCTCAGTGTCGAGATCAGCTGTGAGATACATTGCTAATAATACTTCAGGTTCCAAGTGTTTGCAAACTATATACTTGCTTGCTTTTTAAATAAGTAGAGCATGTTCAAGATGACCCCTGCGATAATAGAGCTCACCCTCAATATGCATTTTAAATGGGAAGGTAAAACTGGCACCAGAAGGCCTGTGTGTGCCCGTCGGGGGCGGGTTTCGGAGGGGAGGCTTTCTTCTCACTCCCCGCTTGCGTTCCGAGGATAGGCTCTAAAGTGCCATTTTGGTACATCGGTTTTAGAATTCCACAGAAATTTAAATTATGCTCTAGAAGTAAGAACTATAATATTTCAGTACTCACAAGTTCACACTTACTGCCCTTTGGACTAAAAAAGAACAGGGCTCTAACTCTAGGTCCTAAGCAGGAAAGTCCCAGACTACTGAAGGCAATGACTGGGAAACTTGTAAAACATTTAACCCTTTATAACTTTCCTGTATTTGTTATTTCTACTTCCCTTCTAATAATAATGGTCACCATCCATTGAGCACATACTATGTTCCAGGTACTTCTTTCGGCACTTTAGATACATGACCTTATTTTCATCCTTATTTCAACCCTATGAGAAAGATATGACTATCCCTGTTTTTCAGGTGAGAAAGGTAAGACACCGAGAAGTTAAGTCCCTTGTACAAAGTCATACAATAAGAGGCAGAGGCAGTATTGGAATGCAGGTCCTGCCCTCTTAGTCACCATACTATAATTCTTCTATCTGTAGGAGTATTTTCCTTAAAAACAGAAATATTTAATAAGATAGTTAAATACAATCTCTTTAGATGGATTTCTAATCACTCAGCTAAAAGATTGCATGGTAGCCCTGGTGGGTGGCTTAGTTGGCTGAAGTGTCATCTCGTACACCAAAGGGAACGGGTTCGATCCCTGATTTGGGCATGTACTGGAGGCAATCAGTCGATGTTTCTCTCTCACAACAGTGTTTCTCTCGTTCTCTCCCTTCCTCGCTCTCTAAAATCAATAAATATATCCTCGGGTGAGGATTAAAAAAAGATCATGTGGTAGAATATGATTGTTTTAAGATAATCGTGATTGTAGTTGCTCCATTTTTAATAATCCTTAACTTTCCTATAGATTTTTGTTCAGACTTTCAGTAGCTATTGAAGAGCAGGGACCAAGGATCACTTTGGGATTTCCTTTCTGTTTTCAGGCATGTCTCAAAGACACCATCAGAGCACAGATGCATGGGTATCCAGAAAGATTGCAACCCAAGATGATGTTGCGTAGGGCAGAGTGTCTGGTGAATCTGGGGAGACTACAGGAGGCAAGGCAGATCATCAGTGATCTTGAAAGTGACTTCGCTGCCACACAAACCCTAGCAGCTTCCCAGTTTCTAATTCTGCAGAGAACCCTCTGCCGCCTGAAAATGAAGGTACAAGAAAAGGAGACTCTCACAGAAACCTTCCCAGCAGCTCTAACCAACGCCTTCGAGGATATGAACCTAAGGGAAGAGAATGAACAAATTTCCAGTGCATCAGCATCTGTCGGCTTATGCACAGACCCTTTAAAAGGTCGCTGTCTGATTGCCACAAAAGATATTCTCCCAGGAGAGCTCCTGGTGAAGGAGGATGCTTTCGTGAGTGTCCTTAACCCAGGAGAAATGCCACCACTACAGAATGGCCCAGAGAGCAAGTGGGATACCAGGGTTGCCAACGGGGATCTCTACTGCCACCGGTGTTTGAAGCACACTTTGGCCACAGTTCCCTGTGATGGATGCAGCTATGCCAAGTATTGCAGCCAGGAGTGTATGCAGCAGGCCTGGGATCTCTACCACAGTACTGAGTGTTCTCTAGGGGGCCTACTTCTCACGCTGGGAGTCTTTTGCCATGTTGCCCTGAGGTCAACTCTTTTAGCTAGATTTGAGGATATTGGCAAAGTCATGAGGACGCTTTGGGCTGAGATTAATAACAAGGACATCAGTTTACCTGAAAGCAAGAATCTGGCGCAAACACTCAGTAAGGACCTGGTAGCGGAGAGTGAGAAAAATGGCAAAACACTTGAGCCCCCAATTCCTGGATGCGATACTAATGGGAAGTACGAAAGTAATTATAATGCTGTCTTCAGCCTTTTGCCCCATACTAAAAACCATAGCCCAGAACACAAATTCCTCTGTGCTCTGAGTGTCTCTGCACTGTGCAGGCAGCTGGAAGCAGCCAGTTTATTCACCCTCAAGACAAGTCTGAAATCCCCTCAGCCGAGAGCAGCAGCGGTCCCTGCGCCGTGTCAGGAGCTGCACGCCTGGGGAGTGGCCATGCTGCGACACGTGTTACAGCTGCATTGTAATGCTCAGGCAATAACTACCGTACAGCAAACGGGTAAGAGGGAGACTTTCTGCCTTACAGCATTGTTCCCGGTGTGGCTAATGTTTGGGGAGAGAGAACCGTAAAGAAACAGGTTAGGTGGTTCTATGGGAAGACACAGTTGTCATGTATTGTCATGATTATGCCACTGAGAAGCTATGTGACCTTAGCGAAGTGTTTGACCCCACTCTGCCTCAGTTTACTCATCCTTGAAGTGGGTCGTTGAATTCCGTACAACTTTTCAGAGTTGTGAAGATGATATATTTGTTTGTAAAAATACTGTAAAGTTAAAACCCCTACTAATGTTTTATTGTGAGGGAAAACTGAAAGTCTAGCTAAACAAGACTGCAGAAGGAACAGCATCTGTAGTTAGGCTATCAGACTCTTAGCCCACCCGTGTGGCTCAGGCACCCTATCTCTTCTCTTTCCAGCTGACAAACTTTTCCCATTCTTCTGTTCTAAATTTGCAAGCGAGGAATCTGGCCGAGCACAGCTCTTCACACAAGGCCAACATGTGGGCTTAGCCTGTGTTTGTGCTGTGCACTGATCAGGTGGCTAACAATCAGGGGCCACTTCTACACACAGACCAGCCCTGCCCTGCGTTTCTCAAACAGCGTAGACAAGGCTGTTTAAGGTACATGGGGAGGTTGGATGTGCCCAGCATCACGAATGACATCACTAATATGAACATACTGAGAACAGAACTGTTATTAGAAAAGAAATGGTATGTGTAGTATTTCTATCATATGATCTGCATTTTAGCAGATAATGTCTTTTGAGTCAATCAGTTCATTATATTTTCCTGAATTTTCTGATTAACTATTGGGGGGGAAATTAGGTATTAACCAAACCTAGGATTTACAGACAGATTAATGTTAAATGTGGCTTGGTTAAGCTAAATGTGCTGAGCTCTTTGGTTTTCTTATATTAGGTAATGTCGAATTTTGTCAACCTTTTGTTTACAGATTTTTATCTTTAATTTTAATTCAAGTTATATGGTATATAGGTACTTCACTAGAGGAGTCTTGGGGCAAGACTGTCTTCCTTGTCCTGTGGCACATGAACATCCAATCATAGCACTGGCTTCATCCCAGGGTACTACAGAGTCACACTGCAAGCTAGTCTCTATTTTATTCTCTGCCTTCTTTTGCCTCCTTGAGCCATTGCTACCTTCTAAAATACATCCGTTGAGTGCTTTCCCAGAATTATGTTTCCCTTTGAGTACATTTGCTAACATTTTAAAAAAATATGGTTTTCATTTTGTTTTGTTTTTCTGAATGTAAAAAATAGATATGGGCTTCCAGATTATAATGGCAGAAAGTAACCGACTCTTGATTCCATTTTGTCTTGCCTAGAAACTACTTAATAGAATAAACAAAAAAGATACAAATGTCAGTAGCTCTGAAAACTATAGAAACTATTGTCTGGGTAAACAATAGCAGTGTCCACTAACTATCGCTGAATCCCTGAGGCAGAACGATAGAGCCACTGGACAAAAAAGGTGTTTTCCTTCTGCTTTCCTCCATTGGCCTACACCTTACAGTCCAAAAAAATGTTTTTGCTTAATATGCATGACATTTCATTACACTCAACTTTTTCTTTGCATAGTAAGTTTGGGGTAAAATTTTTTACAAGCTGTTAAGAGGGAATTTTTAGCCCTGGCTGGTATGGCTCAGCAGATTGAGTGCTGGCCTATGAACCGAAGGATCGCTGGTTCGATTCCCAGTCAGGGCACATGCCTAGGTTGCAGGCCAGGTCCCTGGTAGGGAGCTCACAGGAGGCAACTACATGTTGATGTTTCTCTCCCTCTCTTTCTCACTTCCTTCCTCTCTCTCTAAAAATAAGAGAATTTTTTTAAGAAAAAAGGGAATTTTTGGATAGTAAGAGTATGTATATAGCCAGGAATACCTGTATTTTCTATGGGTAATAAGGACTAGAGAAATAGATAGGTAGTATAATACTGGCCACTTGCAGTGATAGAAAGAGGACTGAGGACTCTGGCTTCATCTATAAGGCTCTAATATTTTATGCATCATTTATTCTTATTCATATGATGTTTTAAATATATATACACACATAGAAAAAAATACTAGAAGCAAAAATACCAAAATCTTAATTAACAGCGATTAATTTTGAGAGTGGAAATAAGAGTGATTGCTACTTTCTCCTTTGAACTTTTCTATATTTTTAAAATTAAAAATTCACATAGTGGTAATATTATTCTAGGAAATGTAAAATGAGTTGTATACCTTTCCCATCAGTCTAGAAAAGGCATTTTAAAAAAACAGTTCACAGAGCAAAAGATAGGAAGATAATAAAAATAAGTCTATAGTAATAAATATAAACGGGCTAAACTCTATTAAATAAGTCTTTCAGAATGCATCAAAAAATTAAGATCCAATTATATTCTGTTTACAAAGGTGACACCTATAACAAAATAACACAGAGTGTTTGGGCAAGACTTGTCAGGAATCATAAACTACTCAGGGTATTAGTATCGTGGGGGTCATTATTAATAACTTTCCTCCCACTTATCTAAGTTCTTCTTGGCTGGGCTAATAATCAAATTAACATGAGACAGGTTAACAGGAGAAAATGTCTAAAATTTGTTGTGGATGCACGTGCAGGGGTGCCGTCAGAATATGAGACCCGGGGAGACCAGTGGACAGTTGCAGCTGATTTGCTGTTCTGGACCCGAGAAGGAGGAGCTTGTGGTTTGGGGCCTGGGAGGTCAAGGGGCAATTTACACGGAGATGGAAAAGCAAATGTTTGGTAAAAAAATGTTTGCTGGGCCATCTTTAACAATGGGACACAGAAAAGACTTCGAACAAAGGCTACATTCCTTTCTATTACACACTAGTTCATGTTAGTCTACAGTTATCTGTGATAACTCCCTTCCTGAAGCAGATCCTCTGTCTAAATTCCCTTTAGGCATATTTTGGGGTGGCAAACTCTGCTCCCCTTCAATATGAAATAGTAGAACTCAAGGCAAGATATCTAGTGAAGTAAAGAAGGCATTTTATCTTTATAAAACTCTCCACAGTGAAATACATCATCAACTTAGCTCTCAAACAGATATTGTGTCTATAAAAAAAAATAAGTATACAAGAAGAAACTGGCAAAATTCCATAGTTGTGAGAAACTTTGATATATCACTCTGACTTCGATCAACAGTATTAAAAATAATCTAGAAACCAAACTAACGTAATAGTCTAGGGGATTCAGTGGAGACATCCCTCAAAACTTGTATCCTATAGACCAGGGATTGGCAGGCTTTTTCTGTGAAGGGCCAGATAGTAAATATTTGGGGCCTTGCAGGCCATACCGTCTCTTCTGAAACTACTCAACTGCCACTGTAGCTTGAACACAACCGTAGACAATGCATAGATCAATGAGCATGGCTGGATTCCCATAAAACTTTACTATGGACACTGGAATTTGAATTTCTTGCAATTTTTCATGTCATGAGAATTATTTTCATTTTTTTTAACCACTTAAAAATGTAAAAACCATTCTTAGACCACATCTGTACAAAAATAGGCAGCAGGCAGGATTTGGCCCGCAGGCTACAATTTACAGATTCCTGCTATGGACGAAGATTTGGCAAATGTAATTAAGAAATCCAGGAAAAGAAAACTCCACAAAATTAGAAACAACGAGGGGGTATAGCCAATAATATAAGTTTATTTTTAAATATTAAGCAAATATTCATACAACTTTAACCTGCTGAATTTGAAAATATTAAGTAGACAACTCTGTAGAAAAATATATATCGCCTAAATTTTCCCAGAAGGAGAAAACACTTCAAAAATCCAGGAATTGTGAAAGAAATCGAAAGTTACCAAAATATTTCCATAAAAACAAGCCAGACCCATTCTTTTCTGTGTGAGTTCTCTAAAACTTTTAAGGAACATACTTAGTCACATTTACAAAAATTAAAAAAAAAAAATCTTTCAAGGAACAGATGGTTTTTATTCAATATAAATTATGCCAGGACATGCGGGAGCCTAAAACCCTTTCCCATTTATTTTGCAAAGTTAAAAATAAAAATTATAGACCAGTCTCACTTGTGAATATAGATGTAGAAACCCTGAATAAATCACTGCCATATCATATCCAGCAGTTTATTAAAGGAATATTAATATATGACCAAGTAGGGTTTCTTCCAGAAATGCAAGAATATTTTAACTTGGAAGGATATAAAAGAAGACTTGGATAAATGCAAAGACATGCTTAGTTGGAAAAAATGAAAACCGTAAATATGGCCCTGGCCTAGGTGACTTAGTGGGTTGGGGTATTGTCTGGTAAACAGAGGGGTCACAAGTTCAATTCCTGGTCAGAACACATGCCTAGGTTGCAGGTTCAGTCCCATTCAGGGCGTATATGAGAGGCAACTGATTGACGTTTCTCTCTCACATCGATGTTTCTCTCCCTTTCTCTCCTTCCCTTACCCTTTCTCTATAACCAATGAGCATATCCTTGAGTGAGGAATAATAAAAAAAACGGTATAAAAGTGGCAGTTTTCCACATTAATCTAATCAGTCTAATGCAGTTTCAAACAAAATCACAATTAGGTTTTTCTTGGAATTTGACAATGATGCTAAAGTTCACCTTGAATAAGTGGATCAAAACAGCCTTCTTGTTTTAAAGAGGATCAAAGGGGATTGATACTATCAGATTTCATATCAACATTGAGCTACAATAATTAAAAACAGTATGGTTCTGATATACTGTTACATCCTTCAAATCATTACAAAGTTAAATATTTTAAATTAAACAAAAAAATACGTAGAAAAAGTTCAGTAAGCATGCACATAGTCTTAGGGTGAGAGACTTTCTGAAGTATGTAATACTAAATGTAGGAATTTAAAAGATAGCTAGACTTAACCTAAATACCAAACATCGAAAACAGTGCCCTGGCTGGTGTGGCTCCGTGGACTGAGTGCCAGCCTACAAAGGAAAGGGCTGCCTTTTCCACTCCCAGTCAGGGCACTTGCAGGCCAGGTCCCCAGGTGGGGGCGTGCCAGAGGCAACGGATCAGTGTATCTCTTGCACATCAATGTTTCTCTTCCTCTCTTCCTCCCTCCCGTCCCCTCTCTCAAGAAAAATTTATTTTTTTCAATAAACACTATAATCAGTAAAGAAGATAGAGAGTATAGGTGAAAAAAGAGATCCTTGAAGAAATTAAAACTTTGGATGGGGAGGCAGCAGACCTGAGGTCCCATTCTGGATGTTCCACTGACTCTCAGGAGGAACTTGGTCAGGTTACTTGAACTCTGTGTATCTCAGTATTCTCATATGGATAAAGAAAGGACTGGATGAACCTCCAGGCCTCTGGGAAAGATTGTTTACAAAAATGGCCCCAACAATTTTTTCCATCCCTGTATGTTTGTCCTTTTGCAATTTGACATTGCCTTTTCTCCCATCAAGACGTGGTGTCCGTTTCCCTTGCCCTTGAATCTGGTCCAGCCCTTTAACTTGCTTTGACCAATGGAATGCAGTAGAAGTGAGTGACCTTATGTGACTTTTGAATCTAAGCCTTAAGAGACCTTGCAGCTTCTGTTGTCACCTTCTTAAAAATGTTGATGTAGCCATGAGAACAAGCCTGAGCCAGCCTCCTTGGGGAATAAAAGACCATGTGCCAGATGGATGCAATCATGTGAGTGATCCAGGCCAGACCAGCAGAAACAGCGCCTCGTGGAGCTCTGGGAGACTTGCTGGCAGACAGCATTGTAAGCAAATAAAATTGTTGTTGTCTTAACACTCCCTACCTCCAAAAACTCATAATCAAAAATTAAAATGAGAGAACATTGCTAGCAGCTATACATCTCTTAAAATCAACTTTTTAAAATATGCACAGTGATGAAAATGTTCTAAAACTGGATTGTGATAATGGTTGCGCAACTTTTGGAAATGTAAGTTTCCAAAAAAATCATTAAATTTGCACACTTAAAATGGGTGAACCTTATGGTAAATTATATTTTAATAGAGCTGTTAAAAATATACATAAGCAAGCACTTACCAAAGTAGTAGTAAAGGTGGTCTTGTCTAACCTCTCTCTAGTAATTAGAAGATACCATTTTTGCCTAGCAGATTGGCGAAGTTTTGTTGGTTTGGTGGTGGTGGTGGTGGTGGTTATTATTATTATTATTATTATTATTATACACATTTACGCTAGGGCATAAGGAAATGGCCACCCTAGTGAAAAGAAGTAGCACCATGTTGCCAAGTATGTTAAGAATTCCATAGGTATTTGATGGCTGTTCCTCTGACTGCTTGGAGCCTCAGGTAGTGGGATTTTAGTCCATCATCCATCTAAACTGACTTGTCCTCACGCCGAGCACTATGAGACGGGTTGGCTGTCCACTAGCGCCTTCTGATTTGCATGAAGTCAAACAATTACAAAGCAGGTGGTAATGCTGGAATAAGAAAATTTACCTGTGATAAGAAAAACTAAACTAATTTTAAAACATGAGGTTATTGGTTTTTAAACATTTTTATTTATCTTTAGAGAGAGGGGAAGGGAAGGGAGAAAGAAACGGTGGGTTTCCTTCCATATGCTCCCAGCTGGGGACAAGGCCTGCAACCCAGGCATGTGCTCTGACTGAGAGTCAAACCGGCAACCTTCTGGTTTGCACGCCAGCGCTCAGTCCACTGAGCCACACTAGCCAGGGTGACATGAAGATATAGTTTACAGAGAACCCTTTGATTGCAATAGTATTTGAATAGCACTGATCTAGGGCTATGTAAGAAAGGGCTCTAGTGAACTACTGAAGTCATTCATGTTTAAATTTTAAATGGTTTACTCAGTTTTCTACTAAGTGATTATTCACATATTCAGGGCAATATTAAAAATACTTTTTCTTTGCAGAATAAATAAATACATTCATAAACAAATAAATAAATTACATGGGTAAGGCTAGAGAGAAGACTGCAAGGAAATGCACCAAAATGTTATGCCTGGCTGATCGGATTATAGTTGACTTTATTTTCTCTGTAATTTTCAGGTTTTTAAACATTTTTCTGAGCACCATGTATTCCTTTTTTTGATTAGTTTTAAAATAATAACAATAATCCAAATGACTTAAATACTTTTTATATCAACATTTTTAAGGCTCTTGATACATATTTCCTAATTGCCCTTCAGGAAAGTCGTACCAGTTACGCCCCACCAGCAACGTTCACTTTCATTTTTGAATTCCATCAGATTTTGTTTTTGTCTGCTCTATTTCTAATCTTGTTATATCCCTTTTTATTATTTCTTTGGGTTTCCAGCACCTCCCAATTTAGTGTTCTCATTGAATTTCATTAGCAGCTGTTTCATTAGTAGCACAGAAGGATTAGGGATTACAGTGTTAACTAGGATAGACTTTGACAAAAAGCTATAAAAATGTATATTTTTATCTTAGCATAAAGCCTATTTGATCAAAGTTCCTCAGAAACCTCTCTTTGGTGCTTAAGGGTGATAACTGACCAGTGATGATATTCTAGACCTTGGTACCTGTGGGTCCATCCCAGTGGGAACGGCACATTCGTAGCGTAGCTGAATTCCTGTTGTAGCAAAGGCTCAGGGAGCTTCTTCGTTGGTCCAGATCAGTTCACTGCCCTTCGCTTCACTCTTCAACGACCAAGGGATCTACCATCAGTGTGGGTCCTTGATTACTTGATATACACACAGATTTCTTGTTTTGTAAAATATCTACCAGAATAGGTACATACTGGAAGTATTGTGAATGAATCTTTTTTCTTTTACTTGAATCCAATTTTAAATGCACTAGGGATATTAACAAGATGCACTTCGGTAAAATAAAGAACCGTTCTCTTTTTTTGTTGTTCTTTTATGCACAAAATGTCACATATTAAATTTGGTAGGTAAAGTACATAAATATTCTCATTTTCTATTATCTACTAATAGGTGACTAATGCAAAATATTGAGTATTTTTTAATCAATACTTAATTTTTTAGAAATAATTAGAGAGAGACTCAACTCTGACATAAATACTCACCCCACTCAGTTCCTGAGCCTGCTTCTGTTAGAGGATAACCTATAAATAATTCATGAAGCTGACATTACTCACTGTATTGTGATCATTTTTTCTGGGAAAATCTTAGCAGCTGTTCTAATATAGATTGCCAGTTATCAGTATTTGGGAATGCAAGTCAACTTTTAATTATGCAGAGGCTGATTATTCAGACCACAAGCTGTTCGTGCCCGGTGCTGCTCCTTCCAGCTGCCCACCTTGTAGCATTTTCCCTGCTCATTAGCACAGGTAGCAGAAGGGAGACATTGGGCAAGGGAAATGAGGAGAAACTAGAGTCTGCTAAGTATTCAGGAGAAGCTCTGATGAAAGATTTCAATACAATTTGTAGAATTGTTGACTAAAATTGAATCATTTGGATTCTCTGTGAATTTTATTTGTTCTAGTCTTGTCCTCCATAGCAACAGATAATAGAATGGTCTTCAGAGAAACAACATTATTTCTGTATTTCATGTTTTCCTTTCTAGAACATTTTCACGTGATGGTTCATGATATTTCCTTTATTCATTACATTTGTACCTAGACTACTTTATTTCTTTGGAGATTGGTGTATTATGATTCCTGGCATATACAGTGATACCACAATTATCTGATGGTTTCTCAGTTTTCCAGAGAACTGAAAGTTTCCCTTTAAGTACTAATATCTTTTACATTTCAAAGAGTTTTGTTCTAAGTGCAATTTCCCCATATTTAAACCAATGCCACGAACATAATGTAAGCCTTTTAGGGTGCCCCAGCTTATCGGTGTATGTGCCTGTTCCTGAGACACGTACGACTGTTACAGAACCCGCGCAGGTGGGCCGTCAGTCCAGGAGCCGCTGGTTAAGTGAAACGTTGCAGTGTGGCAAAGCTCAAGTGGTAGTGTCTTTGTTTGCTCTAAGGCTCTTATTCTCTTTCTCTTTTTTTTAAGACTTTATTTCTTTGTTTGTTTATTTTTTTAGAGAGAGGAGAAGGGATAGAACAAGAGAGGGAGAGAAACATCAATCGATTGCCTCTTGCACCCCCCGAACGGGGGTGCTTTGCCCACAACCCAGGCATGTGCCCTGACCGGCAATCGAACACGCCCTGAACCAGTGACCTTTCAGTCTGCAGGATGACACCCAGCCCACTGAGCCACACCAATAAGGGCAGGCTGTTATTCTTGTATGAGTTTTCTGCCTCCTTCTCTATTCTGTCACCTGTCACTTTGGTCATTGTCAAAACCTGCCTCTTATGAGTTCTCTGTTTCTGAACTGTTGTGGGCTGAGAAACTGCATAACTAAGCCAGTTAGAACTGTGGCTAAAATAAGAACAAGGAGGCCTGCTCGAGAGGACAAAGACCTCACAAATATAAGTGCATGAGCGTGGGTGCAGACATAACCTCACTGCTTAGAGGCCTTTTTCTTCCTTCCTAATTTTCAGCCATGTAGTTAAATTGCTAGTTAATGGTGTTTCAGCATAGTTTGAAAAAAAAGAAGACAATTTGGGACACAGGATTTATCTTTAATAGAGTTAGTTCAGAATTTATTTCAGTGAGAACTACTGCTGACTGATTTCCCATAAAGTTGGAACAAAGGGCAGAATGAACAAGTGAGCACAGGGACTATTGATTTTTAAAAATATATTAGAAGCCTGTTTAGTTTCGGAGGGTAATTAGGTTCCTTGTTCTATTAACCAACCAAAGACCAGTTAAACAAAAGCAATAAGACTATAAAAATTTTGGAGAAATAACAGATACTCTAGCTTCTGTGTCCTTGTGAACGTTATGAAGGTATCTACCTAGAAAGCTCTCTACTGATAATTCCTTTATTATTTTTTTATAAATTCTAATCTTTGGTGGGGGGGTGTGGGGGGGGTATTGAGTCACAAAGGTTAGGTTTCAGGATTCTGGTGGACTTTTCATGTGTTCATTTGCTTTGCTTCCTGGGGACCGGAGCTCGCTGTGAGTCATGTTCCATCTGATTTATATTGGATCCGGCTGTGGAGCTGTGACTCAGATGGGCATCAGGCCCGACTGCCCAGCTCGTCTTCTGAGGGATGGATGGCGAGGCCAGAACTAATGTCCTGACACATTTTTTTTCATCTTGGACTTTCAGGATCTAAAGAGAACATCATTACCGACAGCAGGCAGGTGCGCCTTGCCACAGGCATCTTCCCTGTCGTCAGCCTCCTGAACCATTCCTGCAGCCCCAACACCAGCGTGTCCTTCATTAGCACTGTCGCCACCATTCGGGCGTCACAGCAGATTGGAAAAGGACAGGAGATTCTCCACTGCTACGGTGAGCCACCTCTCCTCGCTACCGTCTACCTCGTCCAGCAGAAAAGGAACTACAGTTAGCAAACCACTGGGCAGGTGTCTTCACCTGTCCGGCGATCATTTCCTGGAAGAAACAGTGCATACTTAGGCGGGAGGGGGGCCTTTGTCCTGGGCACTGTTGGCTCTAAACTATCATGTGTGTCACTGCTTCATCCCCATAAACTTCCTGTTCTAAAAATGGGCTAGAAACAACGCTTTGGCTTTTTCTTCCTGTTCCCGCAACTTGGATGCTCATTTCCATGTCTGGTTCCACAAATGTTTAAGTAAAGTGTACCTGTCACATGATGAATGATGGACCGGACCGTCGCTCTGTTAAGCTGAAGTTTTTCAAGTAGGGCCTGACTCTCTCTTTCTTTAAATATTGACCAAGTGTGATCTCTCTGCAGGGCCTCATGAGAGCAGGATGGGTGTGGCTGAAAGGCAGAAGAAGCTGAGGTCTCAGTATTTCTTTGACTGCAGCTGCCTGGCTTGTCAAAACGAAAAGCACAGCGCGGCGGCAGGGCCCCGGTGGGAAGCGTTCTGTTGCGCCCGTTGCGGAGAGCTCATGCAGGTGAACCTCTTCTCCCTCTCCTGTCAGCGGCTCCTGGAGGTTGGTTACGCAGCCTGGGGGCCATAAACCTCTAAGGGGGAGCCCTGAGGGCGTGCAGGTGCCCAGAGCGGTGCTCTCTCTTCCCTTGCAGCCCATCTGCCACACAGTTGATTACCCCTCCGCAGGAACCACAGTGGAAGGTCGAATTTAGTAATCCTACAAGAAAAAGATTTGCAAGAACAAATAACAGAAAATCCCACCTAAACTGTCTTAAGGGAGTGGGGAGGAAAACTGGGAATTTATTTGCTCAACCAAATCACTAAAAAGTCCCAGGATAGAGGCACTTCCGATACTTCTTGATGCAGGGGCTTAGGTAATGTCACCGAGACCCAATTTTTCTCTCTACCTCCCTCAGCTCCATTTTCTCCGTTAGACTCATTCCCAGACAGACGTCCCTCTTAAGGGGGCAAGATGACCAAAAACACGTGCTGGCCTAACGGTCCGGGCCAAAATTTTTTCAGTTTAATTGATCCAATTCCTGTGGCTGGAGGAAAATCAGAGTCAAATAATTTTCCTCCAGCCATTTGGCCAGAGGAATGGGCAGACCTGAGCCACATGGGCAGACCCAAGCCACACGCACATCCCCACAGCTGCCAGGCACTGGCTGTGGGCGGGTGGGCGAGGATCCTCAGGAGAAGTCGGGCTGCTGTTGCCGAGTGAGGGCATAGACAGCAATGTCTAAAACAGCAGATGTTCACCTCAGAGGCTCTCCCCTCCACCCGAGGATCCAGTATTGTGAGGGGAACCAGAAGTGGAATGGAGAGTTGGTTGTGTCTGTCGGAAAGCTAGTTATATGCCCAAGGTCGAATGTAGGGGACCTCACCTAGCACCTTTTCCTACTGGTTTTCTTACGGCTTTTTCATAACTACTAGAAATGTGTTTGTCATCTAAAGTGCTGGCCCCATTTGAGATGGAAAGAAATTGTGGAATGTGCCAGTTTAATTATGGTTATAAAACTTAAATCTTAGTGGGGAGGGGAATTGGTTAGTGCTTCTGTTAGAAGTGCTGCTGTCAATCCGGATTCTGTCAGGCTTCGGCCGTGGTGTGCTAGTGCGGGAGCCTCCTTCCCCCTCAGGGTCAGAAGCTACGGAGTGATCTGTAACACGAGCACATGTGGTCTCTCTAACCAACTCTGGAAATAAAGACCCAACTGACTTCCACAGGGAGATGACGTGCTGAGCTGTGGCGATGCGTCTTGCACGGGATCGGTCAGCAGGGATCTCCTAGTCTCTCGGTTACGGGACCTTCGGGAGCAGGTTGGGGTGGCCCGAAAGCTTCTCAGAAACGGTAAACTAGGTGAGGCTGGGTCCCTGCTTCGGTCCTCCGGCCCCTCCTTTTTATTCATTGTGAGATCATCTCAGATCAGGGATACTCAGTCATGACTGAAGAACTGAATTTAATTATCCCCATGCCAGCCACAAGATGGCTGTGTAGGCCAAGGACACGAGACCCTCAAAAGCTCAGTTTGTGTGGTGTTTGGAGAGCAACCAGGTGATTTAAGCTGTAGCTGTCTTATGCGTCAGATGGCTAAGTTAAAGTATCCCATGACAACTATGTATCCTATGTCATTTATTTTAATTCCAGGCCCTAATGACCTAATTTCCTAGAGAGATTGTTCTGCCCTGGTCAGAACCTCATCTCTCTTCTAGAGCCAGCGGGGCAGTGCCCAGTGGACAAAGGCCCCCCGCTTTTCCTCAGAGAGGCAGCTGTGGAAGTCCTCATTACCCTTTGAAAACTCGGCCTTCGAGCTCGATGTCATGGCAATTTATTTTCCCTACTTTATGAGACTGACCTTTAACTCAGATTTCTGAGTCAAGAGAAATAATGAGCATAAGTGGAATGTGACGTTCCACCTCAAACCAAAGTTGGAAACCCAGAGTAAATACGAGGAGACCTCTCCCAGCACCTCCTTTCTATCGAAAGAGGAAACATAAGAGAACAACAGCCTTATTGGAACAAACGCAGTGGGTTGGTCACAACCCAGCGAGGCAGTGTGGGGTTTCCACATGTAGCCCAGCTGGCCGAGAATTTGAGAGCTGGGTTGTCATTTCTAAGGCTGTGTCTGTAATGAGGCCACTTTGCTTTGACTTGACAGAGCGAGCCATTCAGCTGTTGTTGGGGTGCCAGCAGGACGCTGAGGGCTTCCTGTCGGCGGAACACGGCGTCGTAGGGGAAGTCGAGGATGACCTGGCCCAGGCCTATGCTGCTTTAGGTATGGCGTGCGTCTTGATTTTCTGCTGCAGGGAATGAGTTGCCTTGTGTGTTTGGTCATGACCCTAGTCTTGTCTGGGTCGTCATCTCTTAGTCTTTCAGCTGAGGCTGCTTTCCCTGCCATGTAGCTTTTCCCTCCACAGAAATGTTCATCCACAGTTGATTGTGGTTCTTTTCTGGAACCAGATTTGTATTTCCGTACAGGGGACTGGCACAAGTCAGCTACTCATTTGCAGAAGAGTCTCCAAGCAGTCGAGGCTCGCTATGGGCCATCCAGCGTTGAAATGGGCCATGAGCTCTTCAAACTGGCCCAGATCTTTTTCAACGGGTAAGTCTTGCTCTCCTTCCCCAGTGCTGCGCCAGCCACGCACTGTGCTCTTTTATTTGGCTCTTCCATGTGAGGCTTTTTTCTGCAGTGCTTTTCAGCATGTTGAAACTTCTTTATTTCCTCTTTAGGGAAGATTCTTTTCCTTCTGTTTTGCTAAGTTGAAGCTTTAGAATTTTCTCCTGAGGGATATAGGGAGAGCTCTCAGCTCTGAGGCCGTTGCCTACGGAGAACCGCCAGGCAGCCCACTGTCCACCGACAGCGACAGCGACAGCGCCGCCCTCAGTCCTTCCCGGTCACTCCCACCTGCCTCGCGCTCTCATTCTCAGCGCCCACAGCTCCAGGGGCTCTTCCTTTTCTCTGGTCCTGTTCTTCTTAAAGCAGTTGTTCTCGACCAGCAGTCGTTTCCCAAGGAGCATATGGCAATGCCTGTAGCCCTTCCAGATTGTCATGACTCAGAGTGGAGGCCAGAGTTGCTGCTAAACGTCCAGCTGAGAACTGTCCAGCTCATGAAGAACGGTGGGTGGAATGGTGGACTTGATTCATAGAGGTGGTCCATTTGGTCAGAGAGAGAGAAACAGGCCTCAGACTTAACATCAGGAGTGGGCGTGGTTACCCTCAGAGGAAGACTTTGGAGTAAACCTTGGGGTAAATATCAGATTAATGCTTTGAGATTTGCCTTTTTCCCAGGGTCTTAGATTCCTTATACTTTTTTTTTTTCCAACTCTGACTTGCAGTGTGTTTGTGAAAGTTGTCTTATCTGCCCTTCTAGATTGTAAGATCCTTAAGGACAAAAGTGATCTTTATATTCTTTGCAGGGTGTCAGTAGGCCCCCAGTTAATGTTTGCTTGACTGAATGAGTGACTTCGCTCCCCTCACCTCCTTTGGTTCAGGTGTGCGGTACCCGAAGCTCTGGACGCAATACAAAAGGCAGAAAAGATCCTGCTGGTGCACTGCGGCCCTGGGAACGACGAGGTCCAGGAGCTGCAGGACATGAAATCCTGTTTATTGGACTTGCCGCCCCTCCCTGTGGGGCCTTCCGTGTAGGGCCCCCGGGGGACTGGGAGCCACAAGAAGGGAGCCATGGAGGAAGAGTTAAAGGAATTCTGTTGCCACGGAGCTGTCACCAGGAAGCACAGGTCTTGCCTGACAGCCATGAGCTGACTGAGCTGGGGGGGCGGGGGGGGCCAGGGGGTGGCTTGGAAAGCCTTGCAGCTGGACAGATGCTCACCTATTTTGATGAATGTTTCTTGAAATAGTTAATGGCCCTCCAGTAAAAACTCCCAGTTCCCAGAAAAGACTTAAAATTAGTATCTGGAGAGCGTAAGCCCTTTAAAAGGATTCTAGCTGATCTGCAGGCATCTGGACATGAGCCTGGAGTTTTGGCTGGATGCCACCTCACTAAATGATGGTAGTCTGTTTCCTTGGAACATTCCTATGGTTTCCAGTAGTAATGAAATTTAGTGTACCCCTCCAGTGGGAACCGAAACTCTCAGTAGTTGTATTGTAATTGAAAAATAATTACAAAGCAAGAAATCCATGAGGCTCCTTACCGCTGGAAACGCAGTTTCATTTATGGTATCCAGCTTCCTCAAATCTTTTGTTAAAACTGGCGGAGTATAAATTGTGAACAGAGAAATAAATAGGGGGCCATTTTACTGTCGGGCAGTTTCCTCCTAGGATGGCAACTCTAAATTTATTTTCTACCAATTTTCTAGTCCTTATTATCTGGCTTTCATTCTATACTCTTGGCAGACTCACTGACCAAATACTAATAAAGTCAGGCTTGTAGCAATGACTTTACATCATACATGCCTTCTGTCTGAATTCTGTTTATTAGCAAGCCTGAAGAGATGACCTTTTTTCTACCAGACCTCCCCAGGCTGGCAAATGAAATTGCAGGCTACATGAGTACTGAGAAGAGCGGTGGGGAGGGGACTTCAGAAGATGCTGAGGGTTCGGGCATCATTACCACTTGTGATTTGAAACTTAAGAGACGGAGGTGAGGGGTGATAACTCTCTCCTGCCTCGATATGTAGCAGCAGTCCAGCCCTGGCCTGGTCGGAAGGTGGGGAGACTCCCGGGGTCTGAACCCTGGCAGCTGCATCGCCCCCGACGACCAAGTGGTTCAGATGAATTAGTGGAAAAGAACGCCAGGCCCACGCTGCTTCGAGAGCTCACTCCCCCCGGCCAGGCCCGAGAAGAGCCCGCTGGCTGCCCCACAGCCTTACAACCAGGGAATGAGAAGCCCCGAGGATGCCTGGCGGAACGTACTCAGGAAGGGCAGGCAGAATTTATTTATTTTCTTCACGACTGACTGACTCTGGCACAGCAGTGGCTAGTGAAATTTTTTGGTTGAGCTAACTTTTTGAAGAAGAAATATTTCATCCTATATACAATGTTTCAGACACTTGGCACCTTTCATGTTCCTGGAAAAGGTCCTGTTGTACTTTGTGAAATAGGCATCGTTCCTCAATCAGAACATGTTTAGTGTTTTTACATGTCAGGTCCTATTTTATGGGTACCTGAGAGCTCCCTTTAAATGCTTTATCACCTAAAGAATTATTTTCTGACGTTACAAATTACCTCCCTCATCTATCCGTGTTGTCCCATGTTGCCACGTGACATTAACTTGACTGGAGGTCTGTGCTGGCATTCAAGTCTGCTGTATTTAAGATTGTGGAGCCAGGAAACACCCTCCGGGGGGCATGAGTGGTCCTCGTCTGTAAATGTCCCAGAGCAGAGAATCAGTTCCTGCCTTACACAGTGCAGGTAACTACAAGTTCTGATAAATGGTGTCTTTCTGCAGAGTTTAGATAGACCCAGGCTATAAGTGCGGGATCAGAACCTTCCTAAAGGGCTATTTATCTTCATATTAAACTTAATGTAGCTCAGAATAGGAGAAGGAACAAGGTAACAAGTCAAGGATAAAGCACTTTTATTGCAAAGTATACACTGAACCATGATAGGGGCAGCCTTCCTGGAATGTGTAGTCTGCCACCCCTCCAGCGTATCTGAACGTTGAACTGGAGCATTAAGTGCCCCTGGGGTCCAGAATTTTGCCGATGAAGAGAAGGGCCCCTGTGTCTGTGTCCCGCAGCACGAAGATGAACGGTTGGTTGAGGTGATAGTCCAGGGGGAAGGTGAGGTGGGCGGGCTGGAGCTCTGGGCTGGGGGTGGGGCCCGCCCCCTCCTCGTTCCACTCGAAGCCAGCTCGGTGTTCCACTTGAGAAAGTTTGAGAGCTTTGCCTGTGATCTTGCTAAAGTCTGGTGACTCAAACAGGGATTGCAGCTCTGCAGAGATTGAGAGGGATTTCCATTAAAGTCCTGTCTTCTCCAACACCCCGAGGAAGAACACAACCCTAATTCCTAAATCCTGATTCAAGGAGGTAAGCAAGCTGGGAGTGGAACGCCGCTTTCGACCTTAGGTGAGTTACGCAGGGTTCTGGTTAAGGGTTACAGTAAGTGACTTGCCCAAGAACACACAGCAATTGCAGTTAAGATTAGAAACCAGGTCACAAGACTTGTTTTTAGAGGCAGTGTTCTGAGTTCCTGTCATAGGATACATGGTCACGGGGCTAAGGAATGGGTCTGATAAGGAAGGCATTTCAGTCTTCCCCTCTAGCACTATGTATTAGAATTAAAGAATCATCCCTGGTCTCCCTACCAAGTCATGGAGCCTCTGAGTTCTGTGTAGCAAGGTGGAAGGCCCAAAGACTCAACCCACCCACCCCCAGAGTAAAGGAGCCTTGCGGACATACTCATCTCTTGCAGGGACTTGGTGACTTCACCATCGTAACTCAGCTTCAGCTTGGGGACAGTCAGGACTGCTTGAACAGTCTTCAGTTCTCGGTCTATGTCATGAATGAACTCGGAGGTGAGGCTCTCTTCTATCATGGTCAAGTTCTGGGTCACTTTCGTAGGCAGGAAGAAGATGATACTCATGCTTCCGGTCAGAGGCAGCTGGGCAATCTGGAACAGCAGGGAGAAGCCACATGGGCTCGTCCTTTGGAGCCTAGGAGCCTAGGCCTAGACACATGCACACACCAGTCGCCGCCTCTTCCCCTGCAGCGGGGCCCTGGCCCTGCTCTCCCCAGCCCCTCATTTGTTCAGCTATCGTCCCTTTAGGCTGTTGTTTTCTGGCAGCAAGATGTTTACTAGTGCTCCTTCAAAAAGTTGACTTGTCTTTTCTTTACCTGGACCTAATACCAACTGAAATGATCTGCTGAAAGAATTTTCCCCTGTGGTTCCAGGTCTCTGTTTTCTCCCCAGGTTTATCTGCCAGCAGGTACAGATCACCTGTTACATAGAGAGCCCTGGAGTAGAAACGGGGACCTTGTACACAGCCACACGGAAGCAGCAATAAAATGGGTCCTCTGAGCGGAGGTTCTTAACCTAGGGTGTCTGGGACACATGGCATCACGGGCCTCAATAACCCCTGAAATGATACGCAGAAATGTGCCTGTGCGTATGCACGGCATTTCTTTCCAGTATTTCAGGGGCTTCGTCAGATTCCCAAAGAAAAAGATTAAGAACTACTGAGTTAGATTTAAAAGAAGTCAGGTATCTGTAAAAGACGAAAGAATGTCAGCAGTTTAGAGTTTGGGACAGTTTTTGAAAGTTTGGCTTTGAATTCTAGAAATAAAAGCTCTCTCCACCCCCACAAAAATAAAAAGAAAGAAGGAAGGAAAGGAAATATAAGAAAACACCAACATTTGAATACCCAGCCTCGAGGGCCCTTATTTCATAGTAAAGTCATTTCACGCTGCATTTCTCATTCTTACAAGCAACTCTGAGAGTAAGCTGCTATCCACCTTTGTTTTAAGAAAAAAAGGTGTAGAGAAGCTATGAACTTGCTGAAAGTCACACAGTAGTAAAATTGAAACCACTGTCATTCTGTCTCCACCCCCCGTCAGTGTGTGGCTTCTCCCCACAGCCGCCACCACCCTCCCCCAACGCCTACCGACCTTGCAGCTGAGATCAGAATCCAAGCCATAGCGTAAGACAGCCTTAGGGTCTGACATCATGGGGACTTTCACAGTCCTGTCCTCATCCAAGTGGAAATCCCGGAGGGAAGTCTTTCTGGAGTCAAACTTTATTGCCCACTGCCCTGGAATGAGACACATGGGGTCGGTCCCCTAAGCCCCAGGACACCGGACAGGCATCGGGACCGTGCTGAGACCGAAGCATAGTGTTGAAAACGGCCCGGCTAAAGGGATCTTATCTGTCAGAGGCCCGGACACATCAGGGAGTGAGTAAACTCAGAAGGAAATACATTGATTTTACTGATTTGACTGTCTGGACTATACAAGTTGATGATCGTCTGGGAGAAAAATGGCGTACGCTCCTACTGTGGCATGTCTGGGAGACAGCGTCAAAGGAGGTCCAAGCTGGCAGGGACCTGGACATCATCCTATCACCCCTCTCAGAGCCGAGACATCACCGAAGCCCAGAGAGGGGAAGCCACTTGTCACCACTCACTCAGCAAGTTGATGATCAAGCTCCCTTTGTTTAATGTTGCCTTTTCATGTCTAACTGCTTCTTTCGCTTCCTGAGGATCAGTGCTTCAAGTAGAGCTTTTCTCCAGGAATTTAGGGGTCCATTCTTACTACTGCCTAATAGATGGTTACAAAGCATTTGAAGGGGAGGTTGCCCAGAATGCCACCCAAGGCTTATCCAAACGGACTGGCCCCACAGCGGGCCTGTGGAGCAGTCTTGGGCACATCACAGAGCACAGAGGAATGTTGTCAGAGAGCCAGCCATGGTTTAGTGAGCGCCTGCTGTGTCCGGGGCCTCGTGCTAGGCTTGATGTGCAAATGGGAGGTGACGTGGAGCACCTCTGAAGTAAGCGAATGCTCCCCGGATTAGAGGTGAGAAAACAGGCCCAGAAGGGCTGCGAAGCTTGTGCAAGGCTGGGCTTTGATCCTCGTCTGACTCCAGCCAGAAATCAAAGAGCACCCACCCCAGACAGGCACAAGAGTAGCTGTACATTCTTCTCCCTGCTCGTCTTTCCACAAGCCTCTTACACTTCCTCGGTCTTGGATTCGATGGCAAGCAGATAGCACTCGAGCAAGTGCATTTCTCAGGCCTTTCTCTGGTTTTGCGTCTCAGGTGATGTTGAACTAGGTCTTTGACTCCCCACCATTCCTGGCCCTGTCTTACCCCCACCATCCACCCTTGGCCAAAACAAAAAGTGGAGAAGCCCTCACCCTTGAAGTAAGCCACACCCAGAAGGAGAATGCTGATTTCACTGGGCACTTCCCTTGTGGACTTAGCAAGTTTCCCTTTCATCTGGGCCTGCACCCAGTTGTTGATCTCCTGAAGGTCCACACGAGAGTTGCCAGTCAGGATTCTGGGCCTAGTCCCGTATGACTTTTCCAGTGGTGCGACAAAGCTGGCTTTTATCCGCAGCTCTGGGAATAGATGGAGCAGGGTTAGTGTGGTGTGAGAGCTGAACCAGCATACCCTCTTTGAAAGCATGCCAGGCTTAGGTTCTGGTTTACACTCAGCAGGCCCTGACTTCCTGCCTAGTGTCTTCCTGTGACTTGCTGGGCCTTGGGGCCAGCTTCCCCAGGCGGCACTGGACAGGGAACTACAGATTTTGCTCATTGCTGTTTCTCTTCATGTTACTGTCTGCCACTGACCCTCCCATTGTCTCCCTCAGCCCACTTACTTCCTCTTTCGGATCCCCTTTGGGCTTGCAAGTCCCCTTCCTGCCTACCAGGGCTAGGCCTGGCCTGGGCAGACATGATTGTCATTCAGAAAGAACCGCCCAGCCCTCCCGGTGGGGAGCACAGAGCCCCAGGCCCCTCAGGCGGCTGGGCCAGCCCACTCACTCTTCTCAAAGATGATCCGGGAAGCACTCTTGAAGTTTTTTGCGGGGGCAGTGACGGAGGCAAGGAGCTCCTTGTAGGTGCCATGGATGTCTGGGTTGGTGATCAGGTCATAGTAGAGAGCCCGGTGGATGCTGGATTCTGTCCGCTGTTCAGCTCCTGCCAGAAAGAGAGGATATGGGCCTCGCTAACTGTTCACCAGGCCCTGACTCTGGCCAGCGTCCGTGGCAGGACAGGGACACTACACCCTTAGTCTTTTTGTCTTCTGACACTGGACACATTCTAGGTAGGAAGGAACTCGAAGGCAACAGAAGAAATAGAGATTTTCCTAAAGCAGGCTAAGGGCCTCGGGCCTAGAGAGAGACAAGAATGGGAACGAGGCGTCCAAGGCCTGTGCTTCTCCCGCCGCCGCGCTCAGCAGACTGTTCTGTAGTTACCTGTCTGTCAGTTTCCCCATGAACTCAGCTGTGACCCGGGTGAAACTCTGCCCACTCGTGTGCTGTTCTGTCCCCAGAACCCAGCCGAATGGCTGGCACGTAGTAGAAGCTCATTTGAGGAATTATGAGTGTAAAAGTCACCATGGCAGTTAAGTGGTCCTGAAGTGACACACCTGTGTCGGCAGTGCCCCGCACCCTCCTGCGGTGTGAGGGAGCCGTGTGCGCACAGCCTTGAAGGCCCCCTCGCGTGCCGGGGCCGGTCTTAGCGCCTCTCCGGCCCTCCCTGGGGCGAAGTGTCTCTAGGGCTTGGAGCACCAGAGATGTGCGGTGGCCGAATGTCAGCTCTAGGATTCTAGGGCTTTTGCATCAGAGAACTCACCCAGCGAGAGGGCAGAGAGCGCAGTGGCCACACTGAGTGGAGACAGGAGCACATTGGCAGTGGGGCTCGTGCTGGATTTCGCGCGGTACAGGTCATAGCCGAAGTTGGAGACGGCCGCTGCCAGCTTGTTCACTGGGACCTTGAAGAAGGGATCCTCCTCCTCCACTGACACCCCTGTGGTTTCGGGGGCTGGGGAGCCCTGGATTCGAGTACAAGGACCAGTGGGGGTGAGCAGCGGATGACTGGCTTCCTCACTGCTTTGAGCGGGATCATGGTTCTGGCTCCCCGCCCGAGTACTGTGTGTTCAGCCTGACGCTGAATGAGCCTGTGTTCCCCGACCAAGCAGGGGCTCTCTGCTGGGGACAGGCAGCCCCGAGGAGAGATGAGCTGGCCAGGTTCAAATACCAGTGACCTGTGAGCTTCAGGCCTGTGACATACTTAAAAAATTGTTTTTAGTTCTGGCTAAAACAATTTAGCCAGATGTGGCTCAGTGGATTGAGCACCAACCTGCAAACCAAAAGGTCACCGGTTCAATTCCTAGTCAGGGCACATGCCTGGGTTGCAGGCCAGGTCCCCAGTAGGAGGCACATGAGAAGCAACCACACATTGATGTTTCTCTCCCTCTCTCTCTCCCTTCCCCTCTCTCTAAAAATAAAATAAAATAAATCTTTTTAAGAAATGTTTTTAAAACCCTGCTCTCAGGCCAGAACAGATTCCTGTCTGCTCACCCTCACTTACTGCTCCCAGGTCCCTACCTATCAAAGCCTCTCTGTGTTTCCTAGCCTTGATCAGATATCACCTCCTCCCCCTCAAACTTCTCCACCACAAACTTCCTCCGCCACAGACTTCCCCAGCTGGCTCCAATCTGAAGGTACTTTTTAGTTTTCTGATCTTTTTTAGAGACAAAGAGCGCTTACGTATTAACCACCTACCACGTACTGACTGGGTTCTGTGCTAGATCTTTTCATTTGAATTACTTCGTCTCGTAGTTGTTGATGTCTTTGATATCCCCAAGGTCCTTAAAGGCAAGAAACTGCGTCTTTCATGTTTCCACCCATCCCCAGCACCTACGGAGTAGGTGTTCAGTAGATGAAATATAAGCGACTGGCCACGTGGTCCTATAAGAATGGGTATTTTGAATCCCATTTTATAGATAAGAAAATAGACTCAGGTAAAAGCAACTTGTCTAAGATCACAAAGCTAGTGAGAGGTAGAGCCAGAATTTAAACTCGGAACTCACAACAAAGTCCAGGGTTCCAGTCAGTGTGCCCTGGCTGCCCTGGACCATGGTGTGACAGTCACCCCCCATGGTCACGCAGCATAGGCCTCTTCGCGCCTGCCTTTGGAGCCCCAGCGTGCTCCTGCCGCATAGGAAGGAGGCCTTTCTACGTTCTTACGTCAGAACAAACATCCAGGAATGCCACCCACCCCATGAGACCCACTGTAACACAAGATAATGAGAACAGGTCTTCCCTGAAGGGACAGCCCTGGCTTGTGAGAGTGCTTTTGCTTTTCACTTTTTTGGATCTTATTTTTGTCCCACTATGTTCTCCGAAAGGCAAAGCAAGACATTTTCTCTTTTGCTGATGTCTATCTGGGCGTGGAGGCCAGACCCTGGCCTGGGAGCTGGGTGTCCCCTGAAGAGAAGCCGGGCTTGCTCATACCCTCACAACCCGCCCCCACCACTGACCTCCGGGCTGCCAGCGCTGTTCTGGCAGCCGCCGCCCCCGAGGAGGGCTCCAATCCAGAGGAGTAGCATGAGGGCCTGCATCCCGGGGCCTGCAAGAAAGCGAGAGGTGGCAGGCTGCTTCCCCCACCCACCACCCTGCACTGCCCACCCCGGGCAGGGGGCAGGGGCTTGGCAGGACTAGGCACCTTCCCTCCAGCCTCCCCTGGCCGGAAGTGGACCCTCCACTAGATCCCTCCCTCTGAGCAACTCCCCACCCCTCCACCTGCCTCAAGGCCCACAGCCATAGCAGGTGAGCTTGAGCTTCCATCCCACTGTCTGTGGCAGGAGACCCACCTTCAAACCCAGAGCTCCAGGACAGTGGAGATCCAGCAGTAGGCTCCTGTGTGTGGATATGGTCAAGCAATTGCATGCCAAGGCTTTGCCCTGGGCATGCCTGACCAGCTTAGGATATAGGATTTGGGGCAAAGTCTAGTCACAGAATGGGGGCGGCATGTAGGTCTCATGTGTAGAATCACAGTGTCCAGAGAACGCAGGCATCCGGTCGTGCCCCTGCTGTCCCCAAGAGGCTCTCAAACTCTCTCCTTGCGTTCCTCTGGCCTGGACGCTGTGACCTCCTTCGGGACCCATTCCCTTCTCAGACAGTTCTGTGCCAAGGGCTGTTCTTTTCATGGTTAGGACTGCCGGGTCTAGAGTCAGACAGCCTGGGTTCAAATCTCAATCCCATATCTTAATAGCTTTCTAAATCATAATACCTTCTGTTGTAAGATGGAAGTCAAGTAGTTCCTCACTGTGACAAGGAGGGCTGCACTGGATCGTGCCTGATGCCCTAACAGCGCTTACCGCCGCCGCAGACCCACGAGCTTTCCAACGGTCTCTGAGTCAACGTGTGTCCCTAAAGCAGGAACCCCAGAGCACCTTCTCCCCCGGGGAGCCAGGGCTTCCTCCGTCATCAGCTCAAAAATAACTCCTACACCTCCGCAGCCTTCTTTCCTTCAGGTTAAACAACCCCACTTCTCAGGAAGACCACCCAAGCCCCTTCAACTCCCCGGCCATGGTCTCTTCTGAGCCAGCTTTGGTCTGGCTCCTGGACCACAAGGGAAGAGGGAGGTCTGGGCCCAGGGCTCTATATACCCCGCCGTCCCTCACCCTCCTGCATTCACTGCACCTGTGGGCTCACCCCTGGGTCATATGGGGAGCGACGAGGCGCCTGGGGGGTGGTTCACAGATCGGATCTTACAAGAGGCCTTCTGGTTAGAGAGTGGGACAAAGTCTCAGCAACCAGGACCTTTGTCTGTCCCATGCGCTTCCTCCATACACATTGCCAAGTCGAGAATTTATAATCTGTCTTCCCTGCCCCTCTCCTCTCCCGCAACACACACACGCACACACGCACACACATGCGTGCACACACGCGCCAAGGCTCTCAAGCTCTTTCATTATCCTTTTATGTACCAAATAACACCCCACGCACACACAACACATACTTTTCTGACTTCTCAGAATAAAGACAAAAGTTGGGAGCGCAGTGTGTTATTTTTGGCCAAAGTCCTTAAAATTAAGTCTGATAATCCACTCAGCAACACTGTAGAGCATGAAAGGCAACAAAAAGCAGATCACCTCCTGAGTTTGCTTGGCTTATGGCTGGACCGCGGGGGCAACGAGCCCGCTTTCCTTGTGAACCCCGCTGTGGAGATCAGGCCTCAGAGCCAGGAGCCCCGCGTGCTCCTCCAGCTGCCCTTCCACGCGGCTGCCCCTGCAGCGCAGGGAGAAATCCTCCATCGAGATACCAGTGCAAAAAGCTTTCTGCAGCGCAAGATAGAGACCTCAACACCATCCAGGCTCACAGCTGCTGTCTCCACCCAGCCAGCCCCACCCAGAGCTGGCAGGAGCCATGCTTGCCTGAGCCTCAGGAGACTGGTTTATTGGATATTGAAAACTCAGTGAGATCCACAGGCGATAAGACTAGAGGAAAAGTTGTTAGCTCTAGTCACTCTCGCCAAAGTAGGGAGTTGAGATGGGAGCGAGGGGGTAGGGTCATCTTGGGACAGTCAGCAAACTACGTTCACAGTTCCAATACCCTTGAGAGCGGGACCTTCTCTGTGGGAGCCCCTACAGAGGCTGCGCCCACGCCTCAGGTCCTGCGATCACCGTCACCGTGTGGGTGGGCTGAGGACTGAAGATGCATGAGGGACCCTGTCAGGGAAAGGCACCCGGCTCTGCAACGGACCCCGAGCCAGTCACTGGGACACGTAGTGTTAACAGCACCTCTTGATGCCCCCACCTTAAACCCTGGGGGTGAGGGCAGGGATTATGGAAAGCCCCCTGCAAAGGCAGTAAGAGGGCGGAGAGGAAGGAAGATTCTGCGCGGGGGCCCCTCTGAGCACTCAAAGCCCTGTCCAAGGTGGCTGTCCCATGGGCTGGGGCAGGCAGCCACTGCCTGGCCTGGGGCATAGGGACAACGATGCCATCCTGTCCAGAGGGCAGTATCCCAGCCGGGCTCCTGTCCTGCCAGCTGGGGGAGGGCACAGGAGGAGGTAGGTATCCTCCCTGTTGGGCCAAGATCAGGCCTTACTTTCTGCCACATCGCCCAAGTCAAAGGCATAAGGAACTGGGGTTTCGTGACCTTGCCTTCAAGCTTGGAGGATGCATTTGAGCCAATACATGTGTTTCAGATTAAACCCAATTGTGAGACAAACATCATCCCCCCCCTCCTCCTCTTCCTCCTCCTCCTCCTCTTCCCCCTCCTCCTCCCCGAACCACACAGATTTCACGCCACATGGCACTGGACCCCGTGGGCAGTGCAAGGAAGGGCACCGCCCTTCCCCTGACTCTGGGAGGGAGATTCTGAGGGTCCCCTCCCAGCCCACCCCACCTGTGGTGGCTCCGCCAGGCCCCGGCAGTGCTTCCCCTGAAGACCAAAGTTGGGCCAGGGTGCCCGTGAGTTTCGCCTCCCTGCACCCCAGAAGGACCAGCCCCAGGAGCAGAAAGCGCTGGCGCCCTCCCTGTCCCACCCGCAGCCTGGGGATTGAACTCCCAGTGGATGGGCATGGGCCAGGCAGCGATGGGGTTTCTGGGAAGCCTGCAGCTTTTCTTTGGCCCGGGCCGCTCCTTGCTGTGGCTTGCCTCGGGGAGTGGAAAGGATGCGGGCAGCGTTCTCTCCAGCACTGGCAGCTGAGCCCCCAAACCCCAAACACTGGCTGGGCTAAATACCAGCCGTCTTTTGTGAGAGGCCACTAACCCCATCGACCTCCCAGCTTTTGCTGGCTGCTAGTTTGGCCAAGGGAAAAGGGCGGGCACTGGGAGAAGGACCCAGCGGCCCTCCATCCCAGCCCTCCAGCATGGCTCCACAGGCCAGCCTGGCGGTGTTGGGAAGTTACAGTTGAAATCCACACCGGTCGACTCTGGAAGAGCAGCAGAGAGCTGAGCTCAGGCTAAGGCTGGGCTGCAGGGTGGGCTGCCTCCCCACCTGCCCTGGCGGGAGCACAGCCCCCTGGCAGCCCCCTACCCTTGGATGCTTTGAGATGCTGCTCAGACCTGCCCAGGAGTTGAGCTCCCTGCTTCCTCGCCTCCAGCCTCCACCCCCCCCCCCATTGCTTCCCACCCACTTCATTCAAGTTTTTCCAGCCTCTCCTAGTGGTGCAGCAGATTTTGGGGATGACTGGGTTGCCACCTTCTGACCCCCAACCCCCTCTGTCCCCTCTCATCCACTCACTCTGAGTCCCAAACTGCAAAGACTACTCTTTCCCCACCTTCTCTTCCTTGCACCCCTCTTTCCCGCTCCCTTGGGTACCCTGCCTCTCCCCAGTCCCCAAAGCCCCCGGGAGCCTGTCCCGTCTTCCCCTGACACCAAGACCAGGCAGGGAGCCGCTTTACCTGTGGGTGCACTGCAGCTCAGCTCCCAGCTTAGGTCTGCACACTGAGGGGGCTCCCGCAAGCACAAGAGCTTTTTCTGCTGCCTCCCTATCCAGCTTCCAGCAGGCTTCAGATTACAGCTACTCCTGTCTTAAAGCGACCTACACTCAAATTCGGATTCTGTGATTGCATCATTGCCTAGTGTTAACTTTAACCCACTGCTGCCCTTCCTTCACGCACCCCCCAGACACACGCATTCCCACACCCTACTCCTGCACCACACCTTCCTTCAGGCCCCGGCCTTCCTCACTGCCTGCGGTTCCACTCCCAGAGGGCACGCTGGCCAGCCCAGGTGGGAGACGGGACAGAGGGAGAGTCTTGCAGGAGGAGCCCCAGGGGCAGGCTGGTGGAGTGGAGAACACCTGGCCCAGTCCTGGGACTCTGGGTTGCTCCTGGCCCTTGGCTCTGACGCTAACTGGGATTTGGGGCAAGACCACTCTCATGGATCCTCCCTTTCCCGGCTCAGGTATCTGTGCGCTTTTTCAGACCTGAAGTTCTATGATTTCAGAAGGACAGTGGGGGAAAATATGTGACCAAAGGAAGAAATGAGATGTATCAGTCCTGAGGGGAGGATATGTCCCTGGCTCCCACCTAGACACAATCGATGTCGCCTGCGCAGAATACCTAGGCCCTGCCCACCTTGGGGTCTTTAGGAACTTGCAATGTGGTTGTGAAACTAAAATATTGACCGGGGATGTAATTAGAAAATGTAACAAAATGTTTTCTTGGCAGGTATGAGCCCTGGTCAGGGGAGGAAAGGAAATTGCTCTGTGCTATTTAGCCTGAGGAAGAGAAAATTTAGGGGAACCTCACCTCCTGTGAGGTCCCAGGGAGCAAAGCAAGGGCCCCGGGTAGAACTTTTCAGTGGGCAAAGTTCAGCTTTATATAAAGAAGAGTGGGTCAACAGTCAGAGGTCACTCCATTCTACAAAAAGCAGCGCGCCCCAACACGGGCCGGGCTCACGCAGCGGAAAGAGGACATGGACGAAGCGACTCAGCGCCCGCGCTCCAGAAACCTGCTGGCTGATCGCAGAGGGTGATATGGGAGCAGATCATTTCAATACAATGTGACACCTTCTGGGATGGCAGTGTTTATAGCCGCGCTGCCCGATACAACAGCCACTAGCCAAGAGTGACCATGAGCACTTCAAGTGTGCTAGTCTGAGCTGCTGTCCACTGTAAGTGTGACGTTCACACTAGATTTTGAATATCTAGTATGAAAACACAATGTAAACCATCTCAGTCATGTGACACTGATTACACGTATTGGGTTATATAAAATACGTCATTAAAAGTAATTTGACGTCTTTCTTTTTTACTGTGTCTGCTACAAAATCTTAAATTACATACGTGGTTCGCACTGTCTTTCTACTGGACAGCACTGCTCTGGGAGGTACTGCGGCAGCGCAGCTGGGGCACAGGAGTCTAAGCTGAATCCTGAAGGGAGAATGAGCTAAGCATGGACAGGTAGGAAGGGCACGGCCGTCCACATGGACAAATTAAAACTGGATTCCTGTCTCACACCATATACAAAACTGAACTCCAGCCCCAGCTGGCGTGGCTCAGTGCATGGGGCGTCAGCCTGCAGACCGAAAGGTCACCGGTTTGATTCTAGTCAGGACACCTGCCTGGGTCTCAAGCCCGGTCCCTGGATGGGGACATGAAACGGGCAGCTGGTTAATGTTTCTCCCCCTTTCTTTTTCCCTCCCTTCCCCTTTCTCTAAAAGTAAATAAATAAATAAAAATCTTTAAAAATGAAAAAAAGGAGAGCTCCAGACACATTAGCAATTGAAATGTGAAAAATCATTTCTGTTTTTGCAGAACCTTTAAAATGACTCTTTATTTAAATTATTTACTTATTTTTTAATAGGGTCTTGTGTTCACATGGTTCAAAATGCAAAAGCAACAAAAGATATACAGTAAGAAATTTTCCTCTCGCTCTGTTCTCCAGTTACTGGACTCCACTGCCTGAAGACAGTTGATGTTAATCTCTCTCCTATGCATATCCTTCCAGAGATATTTTTAGTGCTTTAAAAAGCAAACACACATATACAACAGGAAAAATTGTAAGTGTTTAAGAAAAAGAAATTATAGATGGATATCTTTGTGATCCCTGGGTAGGAAAGACTTTTTTTTAAGACAATACACCAAACGAAGCATGAATTGTAAGAGATTGATAGATTTGGCTCTAAAATTAAAAACTTGTTTTGGTGAAAATATACCATAAAACAAAATGAAAAACAAGTCGCACACTGAGAGAAAATATTTGTAACAGAGATAACGGACAAAAAGAAATCACTAACTGTGATACGGAAAGAACTACAAATCAATAAGAAAGAAAAACCAATGCAGAAAAACAGGGCCAGGTAATTCACAGAAGACAAATCCTAAATGACTAATAAACTTAAGCAACCAGGGGAATGCAAATTAAAATCCTAATTTTTTTAATTTTTTAATTTATTGATTTGAGAATGAGATTTGTTGTTGCACTTATTTATGCATTCATTGGTTGATTCTTGTATGTGCTCTGACCAAAGATCAAACCCGTAACCTCGGTGTAGCGGGACTATGCTCTAACCAACTGAGCTACCCAGCCAGGGCTTAATACCATCACTGATGAGTGTATTTCACACTCATCAGCTGGGCAAAATTTAAACGTGTGACAAAACCAGATGTTGGCGAGTATGTGAACAGCCAGGATCTCCTATGCCCTGCTGACGAGAATGTAAACTAATACAACCAGTTGGAGGAGCGGTCTGGCAAAAGGTGGCAAAGTTGTGCGTAACTGTATATGGGAGCCCTGGCGGTTAAAGGTGGATAAATCCAAACCCACAACGCAGTAATTCCACTCCTAAGCATGTGAGCTGAAAAGGTTCCATGTGTGTGCACAAGGAAGCATGTAAAGAATGTTCTAGAACCACAATTTGTAGTGGCAAAACAATGGGAGCTCTCCGCTCGTCCATCAACAGGAGACTAAACAAAAACTGGAAAAGTATACAGCCTGAGAAATAATGGAGGGAAGCCATTAAAATAGACACAGATTTATGTCACAACGCAGAGTGATACAAGTTGCAGCAGAATACAAGTAGGATGCTACATTTATGTAAGGCTTAAAAACCCAAAATGACACCATATAGCACTTAGAGATAAAAACTCGCCTGGTAAAAATAAAAGAAATGCATAAAAATAAAACCAAATTCCGGATGATGGTTATGGGGGCAGGGGAAGGGGCAGGGGAGGGGAGGTAGGGCTGTCACGATCCTGAGAATGTTTTTAAACTGGGCAGCGGCACTATGCAATTCACTACTCCCTTTGGTATGTCCCAATTATTTGATAATAACAATTTTTTTAAAAATGGCCCTGGCTGGTGTGGCTCAGTGTGGATTGAGCGTTGTCCCACAAAGCAAAAAGGTCGCAGTTTCAATTCCCAGTCAGGACACGCGCCTGGGCTGTGGGCCAGGTCCCCTGTCAGGGGTGTGTGAGAGGCAACAGACCTATATGTCTCTCCCTCCCTTCCCCTCTTTCTAAAAATAGATAAATAAATAAAATCCTTTTTTTTAAAGAGGAAGATTTCTCTTTCCTTAAAGGAGTGTGGCCCCCTCCCCCACCCCACAACCCCCCCATTGGTGGGGCTCGGTGGTGCTTCGGGGTCAGGGCAGGTGCCTGGGGTGCGGGCCAGGTCCCCAGTGGGGGGCGCGTGTGAGGGGCAACCCATTGATGTTCATCTCGCACATTGATGTTTTTCTCCCTCTCTCCCATCCCCCCCTCTCTAAAAATAAATAAATAAAATCTAAAAAAAGAAGAAGAAGAAGTGTTTCCCCTCCTGCTGCAGAAGAGGCCTCCGCTGGTGCTCTTCAAAGCCCGGCTTCCTTAGGCAGCCCCCTGCTGAGGGGTCATTCCACAGCCTTTATGAAAGTGTGGGGCGTGTTTCATTTTGTTGCAGGGTATTTTCTTCATGAAAACAAGTTTTGAAGTTTAATGCCTAGTCGGTCAACCTTTTATAATTCAAACATCCTCTACGCCCGCTCTTTAAAAACACTCCCTCTCTGCCACGTCCCCAGCGCTGCTGCCTGTGTCTCTGTTCCCTCTCACAGCCGCGCGGGAAAGAGCTGTTTATCCTTGCGTCCGCACTGCCGTCCCCAACCTCAGACTTGCTTCTGTGTCCGCCTTTACAACTGCTGTTGCCACGTTCACGGGTGAGCTCTGCATCGCCCACCAAGCGGGCATCTCCACCCCGGCAGCAGGCAGCAGAGCAGGCTGTTCCTCCTTCTGGAAACCTGGACTCCTCGAACATCCCGTTTTCCTCCCACCTTGCATTGCTGCATCTTTCCTGTGCCCTGTGGTGGCTTGATCCTGGGACCTCTTTCTTTCTCCCTCTGCACCTCCTCTTAGGTGACTTCTGCCAGTTCTGTGACTTTAAACGCATCGGCACGCTCCCAGATACACATTTCCAGCCCTGACTGAGATATCCAGATGCCTGTTTGACATATCCACATGGGTGCCCAGTAGGTGGAACATAACTTGTTATCCAAACACTTCTCTAAGAGCGCAAATGAGTGCAATGAATTAAGCTGGAACTACAGACATAACTGGAACTGCCCCAGGCAGCCTGGGACATATGTATGCTTACCTTGTATTAGTGTGACACTTAAAATGGAAATCTCCCATCAATCCTAAAATCTGTCTCTCGCTGATTCCCATCTCAGCAAAAGCCATTTCATCAAGACAAAACTCCAGGCACGGGAACGATGAACCCCGCCACCCTTGAGCCTTTCATTTCCCTCCTCTCCCACACAATCCATCCACAGACGCCACAACGTTTACCTGCAAAGCATACCTGAGCTCTGACCACGTCCCTTCCCCGCCAGCGCTCCTGCTGGCTGCCCAGCCTCCCCAGTCCCGCATTTGTCCCCCGTGGGCTGGTCTCCACAGAGCAGCCCACGGAGCCTTCTCGAGCTTCAATCAGACCATGGCACCCTCATTTAAAAGCCTCCCCCAGTGAATGAATCCCTGTCCTCCGCAATGACACAGGTGAACTTCACAAACATGAGGTTGAACAAAAGAAGCAGGACACAAGAGACCACAGGCTGTATGATTACTTTACATAAAGTTCAAAACAAGGAAAAACAAGTTTGTTAGAAGTCAGAAGAGTGAGCACTGCTTCTTGATCTGGCTGCTCGCTGCAATAGGGGTATTTGCTTCATGAAAAAAAATTCATTAATCCTGAGTGGTGTGGCTCAATTGGTTGAGCACCATCCCACAAAGAGAAAGGTCGCAGTTTCGATTTCCAGTCAGAGCATGCGCCTGGGTTGTGGGCCAGGTCCCCAGTTGGGGCGTGTGTGAGAGGCAAGTGATCCATGTTTCTCTCTCACATCGATGGCTTTCTCCCTCTCGTTCTCCCTTCCTTCCCCTCTCTCTAAAAATAAGTAAGATCTTTTTAAAAAGAGAAAAAAATTATTAAGCTTATGCGCAGCTATGACTTGTGTACTTCGCATACTATATTTCCACACAAAATGTTTTCTTGTTTATTGGCTAAAACACTCTACCACCACAGGTTTAGGCTTCAGGAGCGGGGATCTTGTCTTCTTGTTCACTGCCGCATCCCCAGAGCTGGGTGGGCCGCTGGGCACACAGGAGGTGCCTGATTAGGGACGCAATGAAAGCAGCCAGGCCAGCTGCGGGGAGCACCTAGGAGGCAATGGCAGTGACACTCAGAGAGATGACTCGATTGAAGCCATGACTTGAGCCAGAAAAAAGATGAGAGCTAAGAAAGACTTAGGAGGTAAAGTTAAGGCGGTGGGCTTACTGATTTAACTTTCCAATTACTTCTTACCTCCCCGAAGATTAAAACCAGCCTTTTCAGTGGCCCTAAAACCCCACGCGATCTGTCCCCACTTCTTCTCTGACCCCGGCCTACTCCTTCTCCCTCACCCCACTCCAGCCCCTCGGATCTCCTCATTCTGAACCTTCCAACTACACTCCCACCTCAGGGACTCTGCGTTTGCTAGTCCACTGCCTAGGTTTCCACGGTGCCCCCTCACCTCCTTCAAGTCTCACCTCCCCGCTTTATTTCTCGTCATAGCTCTGATCCCCCTCCCCTTCCATGTGTTTCCCTTGTTTAGTTATCACCTATCTCCCCACGCTGCTAGTTTGTGAGAAGCAGGATTCCGCCCCTTGATTTGAATCACCGCACTTCAGGCTTCAGGTGGCATGGACACCCTGCACTACCAACAAGGGCCCACCCACGCGGACACCCCCTGTGGCCCCAGCCCGGTGCCAAGGTGCCCCCGACCACTTCCTCCAAACCCTCCGGCGCTGACGGCCTCCAGCTGGAGCCAGCCCCCCGGCTGGCGGGCGCCAGCTCCTGGCAGAGGGGCCAGCGTGTAATTAGAAACCCTTCAAGCTCCCTAATTGCCAGTTCTTCTCCCAAAACAGGAGGCCGGTGCTATTCTGAGCAGCCCTTGTTGCCGGCTGCCGAGGCCTGTAGTGAGGAGCAGGCTGAGAACAGAGCCAGGCTGGCGTGGAGGTGGCCCTGGAGGGGCCCGGAGAGGTCAGAGGGGACTGCACGGGGGAGGAGGGCTGGCGAGTAGCCAGGGATCAAACGTGGCACAGAGAGGGCTGCTGCTCCTCAGGGTCCAGCCCGACCCTCAGCCCAGGCTGCTCTGCGGCCTCCTCTCCACCTTCCGCCGGCCCCCCGCTCCCACGTGTGCCCGGAACAACGACATCGAACAGCCCATTCATTCTTTATTCAGGTAGCATAAAAATCACTACAAAAACTTTACAAAAGAGCCTTAAGGAGCTAATGCCACCCCCCACCCCTCAGCCCCCGAGACCCCAGGCAGAGGAGGAGGAGGAGAGAGGAAGGAAAGGGAGTCCTGGCAGTGTCGGCACCTCTGAGGGTCAGCAGGGAGGCCAAGGTGACGCGTGGAGGCGGAGGCCGGTGGGCCTCGGGCCGGTAACGACAGAGGCCGCGCGGGATGCTCAGCCTCCACCCAGAGGGCAGGCCAAGGCTGACCCCAGCGTCTGACCCCAGGACAGGGCTCTGCCCCCCTCACCCCCAGGGCCTGTCTCTCCTCTCCCCAGCCAGGGCATCCCGTCCCTCCTGTCCGCCCCCCTCCGGTAAACAAACGGGGAAGCACCCCAGCTGATCAAGGGAATACCCACCTACCTTCCTGACAAAAGTGGGTCCACAGCTGCCCCTCCTCCCGGCCCCACCCCACCCCACACTCCCCAAGAGGAGACAGAGAGAAAGACCCTACCCCCTCAGAATGCCTCCTCCGGCCCCGCCCCTTACCCCACAAAGCAGTTTGGAAAGAGTCACAGGAATTGAGAGGCCGGTCCAGGCAGGGACTCAGGATGCGGGAGCCCGCGGCCCCTCACTTGGGGCTGCTAGGCTGGGGATAATCCTCCTCCGAAGGGGGCGCCAGTTTCAAGTCAGGGCCCAAGAGCTTGTCTCCGTGGGGGAAGGCTTTCAGCTTCCAGAAGGAGTCCCTGTTGTCCGGGGAATCCTGCTGCTCCTTGTGCTCTGGCTGCGCACCAGGGCTGGGGTTCCTCACGCTGCCCACAAAGAGGGGCAGGCTCGTGGTGTCCTCAAGGATGAAGAAGAGGAAGGGGCGGTTCACGCTGAAGGAGGAAAGGGACATGCGGGACATGGCAGCGCTGGTTGCCGCAGCCGCTTCCACACCCGCCTCGCTGAGCTCCAGAGTGGACTGATGCTGTACGCTGGATACCACCAAACTCTGGTCAGAGATCCCACGCAGGTCTGGGGTCTGAAACAGCTCCTGCAGGCCTGCCCGGGGCAACAGGTGGCTGGTCAGAGCTGCCCGCTGCCCCACAGGCTGCCTGCACCTGCCGGGGAGGTTGTCTGGCCTCCTGGCCAGGGAACAGCTGGAACCCACAGATCCCTGGCTAACTCCTATTTAATCTCCAAGTACCAACTTAAAGGTTACTTCCTCCAGGAAGCCTTCCCTGATCCTCTGCTCCAAAGTCCCAACAGGTGCCTTTTCAATGTTCTTCTGGATGAACTGGAGAGAAGCCCTGTGTCTTATCACTTACGCTGAATCGTAAATATTGATTCCTCATCTGCCCAGTCCATTAAACTGAGCTCTTTGTACACACAAGGAGTACAATGCCCCTTACCGGAGAGCCAGCGAGGCTTGCACACCACCCCTGGCTCTTCCCCTGGAGACCAGGTCCTCGGGCAGAGCAGGTCCTCATTCCCTAGACCGCCCAGCACACACCAAGACAGAGGGCCCAGAGCCTCACATCAAACCCTCTCACCTTCTTAAGCCTCAGAAAAGGTGAGGACACAAGGCTAGCTTTGCCTCTGACCTCCTGCCAGCTGGGGGCTCCCTCCTCATCCACCCTGCTCAGCCTGACCTAGGTGGCGGTCCCACTCCCAGCCTCCTTACCCAGCTGGCTGAGGGTGGCCACCAGGTCCAGCTGATATTTCAGATGTAGCTTAGGCAGCTGGACCTTGGTGGGCCTCTCCCGCTGCAAGGGCTGATGCAAGACGTCCCAGCTCAGGTTGGCCAGCACCTGGGACACATTCCACTCAAAGTAGGTGGGCACAATGACCACGAAGCTCATGTTGTTCTTAAAGGGGAAATGAGCCACCTACAGAAAAAGGAAGGAGACAACGTGAGGACCAGGAGGCACCCACCCAGACCTAGCTGGGGTCTGGGCCAGCATGTGCTTCTGAGAGCAATGAATCGGGGCTTTTGTCCAGCCTTCTTAGGTATAATCTCAGCCTCCCCGAGCCTCCAACTCCTCACCTGTCAAATGGAGTAACGCTACCTGCCCACCTTGCAGGTTGACTTGTGACCAAAGAGATAGCCTTTTTCAAAGCTTCTAGCAGAATGTCTGTGCATAGACTGCATCAATAAACGGCATTTCTCTCTCTCTCCATCTGCTGTTTCCTGCTAGCCTTGTAACTTGGGGTGGAAAATCCCGTGTGTTCCCCTTTCCTTTCCCTTTCTCCGTGTATTCAATGGACTTGGGTTGTTCGTTTTTACACTGCAAACTACCCCCTCGGCTCTACAGAGCAGCTGCTGCAAAGGGTGGCCCTCTCTCTACCCCTCTCACCTTCAACACTGACTTTGCCCAGCCCTGTGTATTTGCTGTGACTTGGGGTAAGATTTTATATGAACAGGTTTCTGCTGCTAAAGAAATATGAGAACCACTGGGCTCGATGCTGTCTTGCAGCTTTGACTCCCGAGGTTCTCAGCAGGCCCAGCCGGCAGGACCCCTATACCAGCAGCCGGCTGCCTGGTCTGCCTACAGACGGCCTGAGAACCAGAAGGCCAGTGAGGACGAGGAATGGAGACAAACGGGGAAGGAAGAGCAGGCAGGACATAGCCTGGAGGGAAGGGGCTGCAGCAAGAGAACCGGTGGGGTGGTAAACTGGACCGCCGCCTTTCAGGGTGAGCAGGGAGACGGCGGCATGCTGCCCCACGGCTCTGCCTCGCCGACAGCCGCCCTCGGGTGGGCTGCAGAAGCAGGCGTGGTCTGTGTCATGCTGGCCTTGTGAAACTAGCCAACACTACCATCTCAGCCACAAGCACCCGTTCTTCTGGCCCAGGAGTCAGTGCCTAAGCCCAAGGGATCACATTTAGGCTAGAAGCAAGGGAGTCCATGCCTGAGATGGCTTGGAATAGCACTCTGTCCAACCAGAATGTTCCAACAGAATGCTGACAAATCCATCCCAATCAGATCCTCGCTTCTGAGGGGCACTGTGGGAGAGCTCAGGTCGCATTGCCCAGGTTTGGGGGTGCTGAGGTCCTAGGGGGCTCCATGGCTGCCAAGGTGCCCACCCCACAACCCATGGGTCTTTGTAGTATAACCTCCATAACCAGAGATCACCTGGGTCACAACTCAGTGCCCCCTCCTCAAAAAAGGACCACTCTCTCTAAAATACCTTCCCCAGTCACTAATAGATCACTTTTAATTTTTTTTCCTGCATAACCCTTATCACTAACTGAAATTCTCCTGTCGATTTTTGTGTGCTTGTGCCCTGTGCATCTTTCTGTCTGAGAACAGGGATCAGGGCCCGCCTTGGGTCCCGCTAAGTCCCCAGTGCCTAGAACAGAATCTGGCGCACAGCAAGTGCCCAGCATCATTTTGTTGAACAAATGAACCTCAAAGAGCCTAGAGCCTCAGTGAGACATTTCATGCTGCTAAAGAAATATGAGAAACACGGGCTTGATGCTCTCTTGCAGCTTGATGCTCTCTTGTAGGGGGCAGAGTGAGACATTTCAGAGCCATGTGCCCCAGGGACATGCTTACAAGGAAGGTGGGGACACCCCTCCACCTCTGTGCCTGCTCCATAGCCTGCCTGCTCCCTTCCCCACCTCCCAGCACCCAGGCCAGGCCTGGGCAATCGAGGGTGACCTGCAGCTCAGGCTGCTCCAGCAAGGACCAGCGCAGAGGGTAGGTGAGGGCCTGCATCATGTCCACCGGCACCGCGAACTGCTCATCCAGGTGGAAAGTTCCTCTCCGGGTGAGGCTCGGGTCAAACTTGTTCTTCCAGAAACCTGCATCCAGCAGAGGGCGGGGGCCGCATAGACGGGGACCAGGGTGGGTTCTATACCACGAGCCTCCTCCCATTACCACCCAGAACCCATTTGAGGGACAAAATGTGGGGGCCGAGACCACAGAGGGCGCTGTGCCAGATGAAACACAGTTGATCTGAGGTCTTTTTTTTGTTGCTCCTTTGAAATCTGGGTGTGCATTTTTCCCATGCCCTGCCACGCTCCCAGAAACCTCCCCCTGGGTCTTTGCAGACTTGGTTTCCCCCTCGGGTACATCTTCCACAACAGCCCCACCCAGTTCCTGGGCCCCCTTCCCACCACACCATCACCCGTCTCCTACCCTCCCCCAAGTGACAACCCAGAAAGCTCCCTGCCTCCTTGCTCAGCCCTGAGGGAGAAAGAGGGACCCTCAGAACAAAGGCTGCACGGCCAGCTCAGTCTACAGGGCGGGGCAGGAGCTGCCAGGGCGGAGGACCTGAGAAGAGGGGAGCGCACCCTGGAAATGGATGGCATTGAGGAGGAGCAGCACCGTGTCATCAGACAGCTCCGAGAGGAAATCCTCGATCTTCCCCTCCGTGGCCTCCTTCACCCATTCGTTGATGTTCGCCAAGTCGTCCCCCTTCCTTCCCATCAGGTTGATGGGCTTTGCGCCAAAGAGGTGTTCCGATTGTTTCAGGAATTCCTCTTTGATGGGAAATCCTACACAGAAGGGGCCACAAGCTGTTCCTGGGGCTCAGGCACCACAATGATTCAACTGGCTACCTGAGGCCAAGCTCCTCTCCCTCACGCAGTCCACCCCAGGGCGCTACCTGGGGCCCCCCTACCACCAGCACCTACCTTTCTGCAAGTACATCCTGGCAGCCATTCGGAATGCCCCAGGGCCCAGGTCCTTGCAGAGGCGGCTCAGCAGGTGGGGGAGGCAAGGCCCTGAGTCTGCGTGCAGCACCTGCTGCAACCTCTGCAGCGTTTGGTTCTGAGCACCTGGAGGGGACCCCATCGGCTGTGGCCCGGGTTGGGGTTCCTTCCCACCTCCACTGTCCACCCAGTCCCTCTCGAGTACCCACAGTGAGCACGCCCCTGGGACCACACACTCTCCTCATGCCCACTGAACTGGCCTGAGTGACAGGACCCCCAAGTCCCGCTTTCATTTCTGCTGCTGCCGCCAGTCCGGGGGACCACGCCTCCCCCAGGCTGCTGTTCCTGTCTGGACCTCGGTTTCTCACAATGAGACCCTCCAGTCCAGCGGAGACACTGTAGCTATTAAACGCTTGCATAAAAGGCCCGGTCCCTGGAATCTGATTCACAGAAACGTGAGGTGGGCCCAGGAATCTGTATTTTCACCAAATGTCCAAGTGACCCCGATGGAGAAGTAACTCTGAAGTAGTGAGTTCCCACTGGCCTCCCAGCTCTGCTGGTCTGGACAGGTGCTGCCACAGTACCTAGTGCCAGGTGGGACAGTGCCAGGGCCACACTCAGGGGTGACAGGACGAGGTTGGGGCTGGTGGACTTTTGCGCCACCATGGAGAACAGGTCTACGGTGAAGGCCATCATGGCCTTGGCCAGCCTGTGGGTCTTCTCTGGGGTGGATTCCTCCTTGCAGTCTCCCAAGGCCTTCTTCAGAGTGGCCGGGCCACGAAGCTCCTGCAGGAAGATATCAGGGGTCAGCGGGGGCCAGGAGTCAACTCCAGGTTCTGTGTTGGAGATTTCCTTTGTAGCCCCTGTACCTGGGGACAGTGGGGCCTTGTCCCAGTCCTGATACATTCTGGAGACTGGATCCCTTCCTCTGGTCCCTCTCTCCCTCTCCCTTCAGTTCTCAGCCTCAAGGGCACGCCCCCCAGTTCCCTCACCCCTGCAGGTTGGTCCCCCTCCCTTGCGCCCCGTCCACTCTTGCCCAGCCCCACCTGGTTGTACCTGGTTGCTCAACTTGAGAAGGCTAAGTGGGGACAGCTTCTCCTGATTTGGCCACATCACTACCTGAAGAAAGGAGGAAGCAGATGGAGAGGGACTCTTCCTCCATGTCCCTCACCCTGTACAAGTCACGGCAACACCCCTTGGGGCCTTCCTTCAGGTCACGTCCCCTCACTTCCCAGTACCTGCTGGCTCATGGGCTCCATGGCGCTCGCTGGAGAGAGCTGTTGAAAAAGGGATGAGGACAGGAGGGGGAACCCCTCAGACCCAAACCCTCCCACCATGTAGCCCTTCTCTTCTTCCCTCTCAGCTCTCTGGCCTCTCCCATACCCACCTCCCTTCCCCCACAGTCCCAGACCCCCACGCAGGCTCACCACTGAGCAGGGGCCTTGCAGGCAGGACAAGCTGAGCACGAGGAGCCCCTGAAGCAGCGCCATGTTCCTGGAGGGACAGGAAGCCTTGGTTCCAAACTCGCCTGCCCTCGCACTCTGTCACCAATGGTCTGCCTGGCTATCTGAGGCCAAGCCCCCACCCCCGCCCTGGAATCCCACCCAGACGACCACTGGCTGGCAAAGTCCTGAGGGGACAACGCCAGCTGCAGCACCCACCCGCCAAACACATTAGCAGGGGCTCTCAGCTCTGCGGGGTGGGAATTTTCCCCTGAATTGTTTCCTCCCTTATATTTTCTGGGTTTTCGCGTTTCATGCACTGAGAAGGTATGTTCCGGTTCATAGGGGGAAAATACTATCAAAACAAGAACGGCCCTCATTCTTCAAGGCCTGGCACTGTCAGACCTGGGTTTGAATCCGGATGCTGGCCCTTGCCAGAGGAACTTGGACATCTCCCTGAAAACCCCTCTGGGCGTCCTATCTTGTAAAATGGTGGCACAGGTCCCTACCTCCTCCCACGGGGATTGTGAGGACCAAAATAAGACAGTCTTTGTGAGCCCTGAGCACAAGAGCCGGCACTCAGTAATGGCTATTGTCAGCCTAGCCCGCAGCCCCTGTTCTGAGAATCCAGGCCTGCACGTGGGCACCCTCCCCAGATCCCTATCCATCTGGTCCACCTTTTCTGGCTGGTCTCGTCTGGTCTTCTCCACAAGGGCGGACAGGCCAGCGAGGTCCTGAGGTCTCAGCACCGGTGGTGGGTTGGCCCTGAGAGCCGCCTTGTTGACCCAGCAGCCGATCTCAATGAATGACTCTGGCCAGAGCCACCTTTGGACTTATGGGAAACACTCTGTCCCAGGCCACCTCCGGGAAGCCAGGCTGGCGGGAGGGGATGGACAGGTCCAGGTCTAGCCTCAGAGCAGGTCCCACACACCCCACCCCCATCTCATGGCCGGACAGTTCTATCGCCCCTGGCCTCACCCCCATCACACCCAAGGGCCCTTGGCCAAGGTTCCGATCCCCAACCGGGGCTTTTGAATCTTTCTGGTCAGAAAAGACCTCCAGTTTTTCAAGTCCCAGGGGATACTTCTCCTGGATCCCCCACCTTGGCCCTTCATCACCCCAAGAGGCTGGGAAACAACAGGCCTCCTGAGCAAGGTCAGCCCTGACCCCCTCAGCCAGGTGGGCAGCTCCTACCTCCTGTCCTGCCCGAGGAGCAGGCCGAGTCACCCCTCCCTTTGTACCTCTGTGGGCTCCTCTCCTCTGCACACGATGTCCCTCTGGCCCCGCTTGGGTGCTCCCCACGCTCTGCTCGGGCTCCAGCCAGCCCAGCTGAGCCCTCCCCTCCCACCAGGACCTTTGCTCTCAGCCAACCCCTGTTCAGATTGCTTTCTCCTCTGGTAAATATTGACCTGCATATCCGTTAAACATTGATATCGGGCCACAAGCCTCTTTCACCAGGGCATCTGATCCTGAGACAGCCACACAGATTTAGGTCCCACCTGAGCCTGAAGAACGTAGGTTCAGGAGACAGTGGAGGTGGCTGTCCTCATCTAGAGAGCAGACCCAGGAAGGACGGGGATCTTCCAGAGACCCCATTAGGTGGGGAGCTGCCCCTGCTTTAGTTGGGCTCAGAGAGGCTATGGAACCTGCCCCAGGACACAGAGCTGGGCTCAGTTACATCCAGGTTTCCACTCCCAATATCCTTTTCTCTCCACCACAACTGCCTCCACATCCCAAGGGAAGAGCTAATGTGGGGAACCCAGCATAGGATGCCCACACCAACCCAGACATGCCCAGAATCCTGGCTGGCCGCCTTCAGCCTGAGTCAGAAAGCAGGGCATGGGAAGAGATGCTGAGGGACGCAGCCTCTCTCAGCATCCTACCTCACGAGGACCAAAGCCTCCTTCCCCTCCCCGGGGGCGAGTGTCCTGGGAGCCCTCCCAGGACATGGGGCTGCACCAATCAGAAGCCCTGTGCCCCGTGCTGCCTGAAGAACAATGATCAGGCTGCCTCCCTGCTCCTGCCTGACTCCCCCCGCCCTGCAAGCTGTGGGGTCTGAACCTTTCCCCACCTGACACCACTGTCAAAAAAAGCTTCACACAGTTCCATGGCTCTTCCAAAGGATTTATTGGTCATATTTACATCTATTGCAAATCGTGAGAAGGCAGCAGGGGCCCAGTCCCAGACCTCATCTCTGCTCCAGAATGTGAGGACCCAGGGACACCAGGGTCTTCCTGTCCCCTGGGAGAGACCTGAGATGCAGAGATGGAACTCTTCTTGTCCCTTCTCTCAGGGTCTTGGACCCCACCCCACCGGCCTCAGGGGTTCTGGGCTCAGGGTCTGCCTCCTCAGCTCAAGGCACAAACGCTGTGGTTGGGGTAGGCAGGCAAGGCATGGAGTCACCCCTGGCAGGCACCAGCCAGCCCAATCCACCTTCCTTTCCCTGGTCCTGAACTCTTTCTTGTCCTACTGGTCCCACACTGGGCAGGGCCTGGCTGGGGGGACACTGAAACCCCAGCCCAAGGCCCCTACCTCCTGGACCATGGCCAGCCCTCCTCAGAGGCTGGAGCCCAAGCACCACGAGGTCCTGGACTGGGGCAGCTTCCCTGTCCTTGCGGGAAAGGGGCAGAGAGCTCAGCGGGGGGGGGGGGGGCAGGGTGTCTTTGCTGGAAACTGGGTGGGTAGGACCAGTCTCCCTTCCCCTTCTGGAGCCTCCCTGTCCCCATGTGGACCCAGAGGACACAGCTAGGAAAAGAAGGGGCGCGATGCTTTCCCAGCTCCGCCTCTTGCTTTCTGCCAATTAGGAGCAGCGTCTCCCCAAGCCATAAATGAGATCCCTACTGACAGCCTGGGTGGCTCTGGGGGTTCAGGAGCCCAGACTCCCACTCTGCCGAAGCTGGCAGGCCATGGGGCACACGGGCATGGGGCCTGCGTGGAGAGGGTTGCCGGGGAAACAAGGGTGAGGGCTGGACTCCCAGAGGATGTCTGCGTAGCCAGGCCTGGCCGGATCCCACCTCAGCCTATGCCAGGAGGCGAATGACCCCATTGTCTGAGCCCAGCAGGAGGTGGCGTTTGGTGGGCAGCAAGGCCAGGCTGGTGAGCGTGCCACGGAAGTTCTCGGAGCTGAGCTTGGTGGTGGCCTGGGAGGGCGGCTCAAGCAGGGAGCACACCCCGATCTTGTTGGCCACGGTGCCAGTGATAACCTCGCTGCCATACAGGTCGAAGGTGTGAATGGGGTCGGATGCTGACTTGTAGTGGTGTGTGGGCTTCTGCTCCAGCTCCTTCCAGACGGTCAAGGAGTGGTCAGAGGAGGAGCTGACCAGGACGCTGCCCTCCGCGGCCTGCTCAGGGAGAGGAGAGCCTCAGCGGGGCCTGGGCCTCCCGTGTGCCCACCAAGGCCTGGGGCCTTCCCACTTCCTCCCAAAGTGCTTCCCACAGTATCTCCCAGTGTCTCCCAGGGAGACAAGGTGTCCTGAGCAGTTGACAGGCTGCCACCCTCCCATATTATGTTAATGTTAGTTAATATGAATACATTAAAAGGTCACTAACCTACTCACCACACTCTAGTTTGAGCACTCACTACGTTCAGTCATTGTGTTAGGCATGCCGTATCACCACCTTTAATCTTTGTAACAACTCTATGCTGTCACTGTTCCCACTTTACAGAGAAAAATTAAGGCTCAGGAAAGTAACCATACCAACATCACAGAGCTAGTACGTGGCAGAGCCCGGATTAACACCCAGGCTGACCCCAGAGCCCTCCTGAAAAGTCTGGATTGGAAAGGCAGAATTTAGAGGCATCTCCAGCCCAGGGTCTCCTGGTGGGGGCCGCTGGAGGGAGCCGGGGCAGCCTGTGCCCAGCGGCGTCAGTGCATGTGCCCTGGCCAGGCATCCTGCTGAGGATGGGGAGGGAACCCCAGCTGCCTGGGAAATCCTCCCACAAGCAGCCCCGTGCCTCCTGCCCTGTGCCCGCCTGAGCAACTTCCCGAGGTCTGTGACTGAGAATGGGGCGGGGCAGAGGCTGGGGGCAGGATCCCCATGCCCAGCCTGCCCCTGCCCCCACCTGGGCAGCCAGGCAGGGGGCATGGACTCTGCCCAGTGGTCTGGGGGCAGTAAACAGCCTCCCAGCTGAGCTTTATTTAACCTAAATTGGGTCACGGACAGGACCCGACCCCTGATCCTCCAAGCAAGACAAATATGGACAAGGGTTACTCATTAGAACATCTCCTGGGAGCAGCAGGGTCAGCTCGGCCCCAGTGCCCGCCCCCACGGCCTGCCTCCTGCTAAGGCCCCCGCAGTGAAGCTGGCTCCTGACCCTCCCTTACACCTGTCCTTTGGCAGATACCAGGGAGATGAGGTTGAGCCTGTCCTGGGAGGGGCCTAAAGAGAGGTGGGGGCCCAGGACAATGAGGTGGGGAAGGGGCCCTGGTCTGTCACCTTGATCTGCAGGATGTCCCCTTCATGGGCAGGCCAGCCGCGTAGAACCAGGCCCGTACGGGTGTCCAGGAGCACCATGAAGCCCGAGGAGAAGCCGGCCACAACGCTGCGGCCACTGGGACTGACGGCCAGGGAGCGGACGAGCCCAGGGTTCAGCCCGCCACCCAGGCGGAACTCATGCTGCAGGCAGAGGGGGACAAGTTGAGGTGCCACCGCCCGCCCCAACCCGCTTCTCCCTGAGGCCCTGCTCACCCTGCAAGCCCCACACAGCTGGAAGGCCTGAGTTTCTGTCCCCTAATCAAGGGGAAGAGTTCCTCACATCACGGGCCACAGTCCCACCTCCTCCTCCCCTCAGGGTTTGTTGCTGTTGGTCGCCTGTCTTCAAAGAGAAACTACGCCCTGGCCCTCTCTCTTCAGGATCTCTCCCTGCTGCCAGACGCCCGGGCTAGGCTCAGGGAACAGACACCGCTGACCTGCAGGCCAGGCTTCCTGCAGTCCACGAAGCGCAGGGTTGAGTCCGAGCTGGCCATGGAGATGCTGGCATGGGGAGCGGGCATGACGGCCACAGCGGTCAGGGGTACCCGGCTGTCCGACGGCTCCACCGTGCGAAGGGTCTTCCCTGGAAAGGAAAGGCACAGTGGATTTGGGGTCCCAGCCGCTGACGAAAGGGCCCCGACTCCTGCTATTCCCCCCGAACTACCCCCTACCTGCCCCCCATATCCCATGGGATCTGAGAAAATGCTGATTCTTGACCCTCCCACCTGATTTCATGGCCAGGCCAGCCTCTCATCCCCAAAGCAACCTCTTTCTTCACAAAACACCCCCTGACTGAGTGTTCCCCTGCCTACCTCAATGCTATTCTACCCCCTCCTTTTTAACTTCATTTCTTGGCCAAAAAGTAATCGAGCAACCATTTACCGAACACATACCACATGCTAACTTTTAAGCCAAACCTCTGTGTTAAGTGCAACTATTTTGTTCTGATTCCCATTTTACCGATGGAAAAACTGAGGTCTCCATCAGTGAAGTGACTTGCTCAAAGTCACTCAGCAATAAGTGGTCAGGGGCCAACTCAAACTGAGGTTTAATGGCTTCTAAGTCCTAACTTCTCCTCCATGTGGCCTCACTGGGTCAGCCAAAACCACACACACACAATTACACCCCAACCACCCCACCCTCGGGCTCCATTCCCAGAGGCCTAGGTGGGGACAGGGTGCCAGGAACAGATCAGGCCTCATCTGGGCCCACCCACCTGTGAAGGGGTCCCAGACGTGCACAGCCCCATCGCAGCTCACAACATACTGTGGGGCCTCAAGCTGGCCCACAAAAAAGACACTCTTGCGGTGCTGGGCATAGATGAGGCGTGGGGCTGTCTCACTGGTGCCATCCCCAGAGTTGTAGAGTGGCCAGAGGCGCACAGTGCGGTCCTTGCTGCCACTCAGGAAGAAGTCCTCACTGCTCAGGGGTGCCACACACTTAACAGCCCCCGAGTGGCCCGGGAAGCTCTGCAGGCGGATCTGGTGGAAGTGAAAATGGGCGTCCTGCTGGCTCACACCGATCTCGTACTGCCAGTACGCCAGCCAGTTCCCGCTCAGCACATGCGCACTCCGAGGCAGCTCCAGCTTCAGTGCATTCTCCTCGCCTTCGTGGCCAAGGCCCCCGCTGCTGACTCCAGAGATGGGGCCCAGGGGGCCGGGGCTCTCAGGCTGAGAGTCACTGGGGATCTGGATGCGGTTCCCAACTAGGACACTCCCAAAGGTCCCCGAGTGGCCGTCATCCTGGGGGCAGCCCCCACCCTGGGGGTCTGACTCAAGGCCAGTGCTGGGCACATTGGGCTCCACACTGGCAGGGCTGCGGCTGTTTGGGCTGATGCTCTCCAAATATAGCCCCGCCAGCTCTCCCACGAGCTCGTGGTTAGGGATGATTTTCTGGATGATGTCACCTGGATTGAAGTGGAAATGGTCCTAAGATTAGGAAAAGTAACAGGTGGCTGCCACCACCCACCCAAGGGCTGGAGAACCACAGAAGACAGGACAGGTACTAGTTCTGCAACTCTCATCAAGTGATTCTTCATTTCTGAGCCTCAGTTTGTTCCCCGGGAAAACGTGGATTCATTCATTCACTACGTACATGTGAGCATCTTCTGTATGTGCTGGGCATCCCATGCAGGGCATCAAAAGAGTGAACAACACAGGTCATGCTCTCGCTCCCAGGGCTTAGATTTCAGTGGAGGGGTGACAACTTATCTGATCACAGGCGTGCATCCCATTCAGGGAGATGACACCTGTCAGCACTGGGCGCAGCGTCTGGCCTATACCATACAGGAAGCCACGTAAACAGTGGGCTGCTCATTCCTGTCAGGCAGCTCCTAGAGACGTCAGTACGTCAGCCTGACTCTCCTGCGTTCTGCAGGGAGACGCCAGGCCACTCCTGAGCCTCCTTACTGGCGAATACTAAGTCCCTGTTATTACGTCACCTTGGGACTCAAGGATTGAGGCCAAATTCCTTTGCTCTGACCCAGAAAACTGCTTAACACCCACAACTGACTCTGAGCGCAGGGAGAGTGTGGCGCCCTCCCAGGGGAAGAGACGCAGACACGGAGCTTATGTGAGGGAACATGAGGGAGCAGTACCCAAAAGGCAGGAGAAGGGCACGTAGATTGTATATGCCATCTCCAAGGTGAACACCTTCTGCAGCTCATCCAGCAGGGTGGGGTCCACCAGCCGCTGCTGCCCATCAGAGAAGGCCACCTCCAGCAGCGGGCCCTCACTGCGGCCCACGGGATCCAGCCTCAGATCCTGGGGGAAGGAAGCCCAGGGAGTCAGCGGAGTCCACGGCCCTGGCCCAGTTCACCCCAGCCATGCAGGTCTACCCACCTGGTGCCGAAGCTCATGCAGCTGAGAAAAGACTTGAAAGAAGGTGGCCACGGGCTCGCTCAGGTGCTGCTGGACCATCTCCTGTCCGATGCGCAGGCAGATGAGAGCGATGAGACTGATGGTTTTCATACACAGGACAGTCCGGGCCTGGGCTCCACTTGGGAACCTGGAAAGAGCTCATAAGCGCCAGCCTCCCAGACTGGGGAACTTGCCCAGAGTCTATCAAAAGCTGTAAGTGAAAGGAGCTACAAGACCAATGGGTCCAAACCAGGTGAGGAAACTGAGGCAAAGAAAGGTGTGGCTTGCTCAGAGTCGCACAGCTAGGATCAGAACCAAGACATACAGCCCAGTGTCCCTGGACTTTCCCCCAAGCTTCCCAGCCCCACCTCCATAGCCCCCTCAGCAGGGCTGCACCCCCCACAGGGGGGTGCAGGGGCCTACCCTGTGACGAGGGACGTGAGGAAGCTGAGCACAGGCAGCAAGACCTCGTGGCTGATACGGGGCAGGATGTCCATGAGGGTGGTGTCTGAGAGGTACACAATGATCTTCTGGGTCAGAGTCACCGCTGCCAGCAGCCCTGCCTCCTTACGGCTGTTCAGTCGGCCGGGGCTGGACGTGCTACCTGGGGCCACCTAGAGCCACAGAGTTGATGAGGGCCAGGTTGCCTCAGAGACCCCCAGGAACCCCCAGAAATCCCGGCCATCCCTTCGGCTCCCCAGACCCGCTGTCCCCAGCCTGCCAAGTCAGCACTAACCAGGTAGCTGATGTAGGGCAGGTACTGGTAGGTGAGGACGGGCTCCCCGTACAGATGCGCGATGTGGAGGAGGCAGCTGAGCACGGGCCCCGACACTCTGTCACCCAGGACCGGTCTCTTCTGATAGATGTTGCCGGCACTCAGCGGGGGGCTCTCACCACTGCTCGCCGTGAACTGCTGCCGAGCGGACCCTGCCAAAGGCAGGCCAGGAGCCTTGGGTGCCAGCGGAGGGAGAGGGCAGGCGGCATTCCAGGGTCTGTGGCAGCCGCTCCCACGTACTCTAGCCCGGGGTGTGCCCCATGCCCCCCCTAAGGAAGGGAGGAGCTTACAGACCGGGACCAAGGACCTGGCAGGGCAGGGGGGACTGCAGTGGGAGTGGGAAGGATCCCCTAGAAGGGGCTGAAGACGGGCGGGGCGCCTGGGAGAAGCTTCATCTCCAGCAGTGACCACGGGCCTTACCCACATAACATGACGTCAGCAGGCGGAGCAGGTTGCGAGCCACGTGGCGAGAGGCCACCGTTGGGCCAAGCTTGGCGGACAGCCAGCGGACCATCTTGCAGGCTGTGTCTGCAGGGCAGGAGCAGGCCCTGAGCTCATCAGATAACGGTGGCTCGCCGCTCCTCCCACTCCACCCTGCGGCACCCCACCCAGCCAACTCTGGCCGCAGCTCTGCCAAGGAGCCCGCCTGAGCCTGGACACCCCACACCGTGATGTGGAGTGGAGGTGGCCTGAGGGACTCGCTTTGGAGATGCTCCAGGTTGCCCTTCCAGTGAATCTTCTCCAGCTCATAAATGAGGCCCTGGCTGCGCGCTGGCTGCCGCCCCCTCTGGCCTCTGCTCCCTCCTCTTGCCTCCACGCTCTAACCATGCTGGCTTTCACTGATTCTTTAGTGGATCCAGGACTGCCTCCCGGCTTTGCACAAGCTGTCCCCTATGCATAGAATGCTCTTCCCCCTGCAGACCCTGATACTTTTGCCTAGCTGCCTCCTCCTCATTGAACGTCAACTGGCCCTACTTTCAGGAAGTCTTCTCTGACCCACAAAAATGAGATCTAAGCCCCATTTTGTATTCCCTCCTAGCACCCAGCCATGTACTTTATAGCACTACCATAACTTGCACTTAGAAAAGATTGTCCACAATAGGGCATCTCCTCTGTTAGATGTGAGCTCCCGGGGGGCAGGCCCATATCTATGCTGCTGTGGATCTACTCGATCCACTGCTTGGCATGGAGTAGATGCTCAGCAAATGTAGAGTGAAAACCAGATGACTGTTCGACCTACACCTCAGGCCTAAATACTTACCAAGAAGGATCTTCTGCTCTTGGCCCTCTGACTGCTCGTTCAGTGGCTCCTCTTCCTCCTCCCCGTGTGTCCCACCGCTGCCGGCTACCACTGTATCCATGGACAGCACCGTGTTGGAGAGAGTGAGCTCAGATGTCCCAGTGACTTCATCTTGCTCTCCCTCCTCCTCCTGCTCCTCCTCTTCCTCCAAAACCACGCAGCCTTCTTCTTCCTCCTCTTCCTCCTCTTCGCCTTCACTTTGCTTCAGGTCCTGGCTGCTGTCACCTGACCTGAGGCTGCTCTTGTCCATAGGGGCGCCCCCCTCATCTGCAGCCCGGTCCTCCCCCAGGGAGGTCTCACTGGTGCTGCTCTTGTCACTCAGCTGGCCCAGGCTCACAGCCTCAGGCTCCTGGGGCTGTGGGGACTCAGCCACGTAGAGCCCAGCTTGGAAGTCCTCTGTCTCAGAGAGGTCGGCCTGGTCATGGAAGCTGACGCCAGATGTATAATCTGGGAGCCCCAGACCCGAGGAAGCAGCAGGCTCCCCATCCATCTGAATCTCCTCCCCGAAGGCACAGGAGCTGGGCCTGGCCCCTGGGAGCTCGCTCTCCTCGTCCTCGGCAGCCCCTGCCAGGCCCTTGCTTTCCTCCTGGGAGGCCTCCACACCAGCCAGCACCTGCAGGACATGGGGCAGCAGGTGGACGAGGAAGGCTTGCAGGCCCAGCCGCACTATAAGCTGGGCCACAAAGCAGTCAGTGTACAGGTAGAAGCGGCCGTGGAGCCTGCAGGGGCTCTCGTAGGCACCAATGAGAGGCTTCAGAAGGTACTTATTAGCATTTTTGGGGCCCAGTGCCTTGGCAACAGGTTCAAACAGGTACCAGGCCGTATACACAGCCGTGTGCTCCTCAGACATGAGTGACAGCACGAAGGGCAGCAGGATCTCCAGGCCCTCGGGGGTGATGTCGCTCAGCACTGCACCCAGTTGCTGCCACAGAGCAAAGACCAGCTCTCGCCCCTGAGCCTCATCCTCCACGCGCCTTGCCTGGTAGAGGAGGATGAACTTGTGCAGTGCTGGGAAGTATGGCGGGAAGGGAACCACGGAGCTGAAGGGGCTGAGGAGCTGGGCCGGGCAGGGTGGGGGCAACCCTTGGGAGACAGGCCTGTACTCAAACAGTGGGCCCATCTTGTCCCTCCTGGCTACCATGGGGCCTTCGGGTCCTCTCAGCTGCAGAAGCATGTCCAGCACGGGCTGTAGAGACACAGGGACCTCCTTGGAATGGCGTGTGCAGAGCCCCCGAACAGCCTCGAAGCGTACCCACAAAGGCACATCAGGCTGCAGCGTTCGGACCCTGGTGGCAAACACCATCTCAGCCAACAGGATACCCAGCGCCTGCATGTCCCGATGGAAGAAGTCCCGCAGCTGCACAGCTGGCTGGACCTGGGGCTGCTCAAGCACCTCCAACTGGCCCCCTAAGCCTTTGGTCAGAAAGTTGCCGAGTTTCTCCAGCTCTTCCAGAGCCTGTACGGGATTGAAGCCCTCCGGAAGAAGGATCTTCCCTTCCTCACCTTCTCCAGGGTCTGCCCCAGCAGCTTTGTTCCTGCGCCCCGGTCGGGAGGCTGAGGCCACTGAAAAAGACAGGAGGCCTGAGGCAGCTTGATTAGAGGAGGAGGAGGAGGAGGGACCCAGCTGGTCACCTGCTTTCCCAGAGAGGGAGATGGAATCCAGAGCCTCTGTGGCCTGCTCCAAGTCATCTTCCCCTGCCACAGGCCTGTCTCTGGCCCAGCCAGCCTCACAGGGAGTGGCCTCCAAAACTAGTCTGCCCACCCCATTCGTAAGCTGTCCTGGGAAGTCCTCTCGGCCTGTGCTCTCCTGGATGGTCTGGAACAACAGCCTAGGGATGAGTGGGGGCTCGGGAGCAAGGGCGGCAGTCCCAGCCAGGCGCTGGGGGTGTGGCTGATCGAAGAGCTGCACCACGCCATAGTTGGCCAGGTGTGTGTGGGCGTCCACCAGGTGCAGACACACATTCTTCTCCTTTACAGCTTCCTTGCCCTGGAGTTTATAGCCAAAAGTGAGGTCGATCCAGTGGTGCAGGTCCTGGGACACCTCACGGCTCTCCAGCAGCACCTGGTGGGCAGCCACAAACTCCTGGCTGGAGCCACACCAGGCTGGCACATCCAGGTCAGGCATGTCAGGGTGAATGGAGCAGAAGATAGAGGGATCAGTGTAAAATTCAGGGATACACTCGTCGGGTGTCCAGCTCTGCATACGCTCCATGCTGGCAGGGTACTCATGGGGCTCCCACTGGGCCCGAACATGTCCACAAAGCACTGACCGGGGTGTGCGCCGAGCCTTGTACACATAGTATGTGATGTCAGAGAGCACATCTGAGATGTGATGAGGAACATGAGGTGGCTCCCCGCCACCTGCACCACCTGCTACAAACGCCTGCCGCGTCATCTCATATGTGAAGTCCAGTTGCTTATCCCCCTTGTTGAGGCGGAACTTGGACTTGCGCAGGTCTCGGAAGCGCCCGTGGGGTATGGTGAAGTCCACCACCCAGGGCAACACTGGGTGGTAGTTGGGATCCCCCTGCCGCCGACCTGCCAACCGATTCAGGTGCATGAGGTAGTGGAAGTTGCTGATGCGGCCATGGACCCAGTCTAGCACAAGGCCCCTAAGTTCCTCCTGGCAGGTAGGACACTCAGGTCCTCCTCCTCCTCCGTCCTCTTTACAATCAGTGCCTGTCCGGCCCCCCCTTGATACAGGAGTCTCCTCATTCTCATCCTCCTCCACTTTCTCATAGGCACTCAAGTCCAGCCGGAGCTCGCTGCAAAGTTTCTCATCCACAGCGATATGGTGCAAAGATAAGGCCCCACAGGCCAATCCATGGTGGTGACAGGCATCCATGGCCCTTAACACACGGAAAAGAATGAAGAGCACCTTGGCTTGGCTGTTGGTCAGCTTGGCAGGGCTGAAAGTGACTACATCATGCAGGGTGAACTGCACATAAGGGTGCACCACATACAGCATATCCAGCGACTCCAGCAGGGCCTCAGCTCTCAAAAGACTGGGACAGGCTGGGGTGCCCCGAGAAGGGCAGGGGCCATCTCTGGCATATGATGGGCAATGGGTAGTGTCACCCACTGGCATGAAGGAGCAACCATAGACCCTCTGTAGAGCTTGTCTTATTGAGTCCAGGGCAGGCACAGCTGAGGGAGCAGGGCTGTGACTATAGGGTTCCCCATAAGTATGATATGCATGCCGCCACAGATTGCGATAATTCTGGGCAGCCACGTCCTTCATGAAGCGATTGAGGGTCTCAGGGCTGCAGGACCCCTCCTCAAAGGGCAGGCCGCCGCTCAGCGGGTAGGACAGCCTCCGTTTCCGCAGCCCATGCACCTCTACTCGCGTCCAGCCTGGAGGCAGCCGCTGCACTGATCGTTGCAGAAGAGTCCTGACTTCCGCTTCGCTCAGGCCCTCGGCCCGGGGGCAGGGTCCCGGGGGCCGGCGCTCGCGGAGGCTGGCCAGCCAGCGCGCGGGCACTAGGGCCACCACGTGGTTGCCCCCGGGGGCTGGAGCCAGTTGCCGGACATCGATATTCAGGTCCCTTTCCACGCTCTGGAGCAGCTCCAACATGTCAGGACTTGGGGGCGGGGACCAGCCCTCGACCTCGGAGGTAAGAGCAACTTCCCGTCCCCTGCTCCCCGGGGCCATCCCCTCCTGGCTGCCTGGGGGCAACACGGGATTGAGGTCGGCCACGGCCCTCCTCGCGTCAGCTTCAGGGGTGCCAGATCGGCCGGGTTGGGATGCGCGAGGGAGAGCTGCTTAGGCTGACACGGCGGGGTGGGCTGGGGACCGGGGAGCAGAGGGCGGGGGCGCTCTTACCCCTCCGCAGGGTCCTGCACTCCGAACGCGGAAGGGCGGGCGCTGAGGGGTGCCAGCGCTGGGCTGCACCGTGACTGGTCAGCTGACGGGGCTCACGTGATCGCTCCGGCACGGAAACAACCGCACGTGGCTCAAAGGGGCGGGCCAGACCCCGCCTACCGCCCGCGCCACCTCCTAGATCTCCGGCCTAGAGCTCTGCTCCGGGCTAGTGGCGGCTTCGTTTTCTCTGGGGCTGGAAGGGGACCCAGTCGGCCCGATCAGTGTAGAGGAGGGGGATCCTGAACCGCTCACAACTTGCCCTACCTTCCTTGTTTCCTCCTGCACTCTCCAGAACGAAGATCCAAGGAAGGCTTTTCCCAGAGATCCAGCCTTTAGGTGGGCTGACCGCCCCGCCCGGTTTTACAGATAAACCCGAGGCTGAGGTGGGACTTCTCACAGAAAGTCCCTTCGTCGCCTCCATGCCGGCTTCCAAAATAAGGGGCTTTTTAATCTTCCAAAACATGTGATCAATAACATTCCATTTGGCCTCACAACACGTAGGGAGGACGGTTATTATCATTTATATTTTACAGGAGATAACCAAGAGCTGTCAAAGAGGTTTGTCCAAGTGGCAGAATGGAGGCTTAGAAGCTGGCGCACAGACTTTCTGCCCTGGAGTCCTCCCAGCTGGAAGTCCTCTTACAGAGCTTTTTTTGTGCCTCCTGCCCCCCCACCCCCCAATTCTGGGCGATCTGAGGGAGAGAAGTGGCCCAGGTCCAGAAGCCTGGAATTCTTGGGAGGAAATGTTCCCCAAGACTTCCTGTTGAAGATCAGCCTCTGCGGTGCCACAGAGCCTGCTTGCTGTGCCAGAGCCTTGCAGATGCCACAGTGGCTGCGGGGAGGGCGCAGCACAGGATACTGAGTGAAAACCAGAGTGCTGGCACAAAAACTGCATGATTCCCTCAAGGGGTCTCGGTTCTGACTCATTTGCAGAACAGATAAGCCATTGTCTGCAGTGAAACCACTGGCTGTTTTGTTTTTTTTTAAATTGATTTGAAAGAGAGAGAGAAATATCGATTTTTGTTGTTCCACTCATTTATGCATTCATTGGTTAACTTTTGTATGCGCCCTGACTGAGGATGGAAGCTGCAATCTCGGGGTATGGGGCCGAGGCTCCAAGCAATGTGGCTACCCCGCCAGGGCCACCACTAACTGATTTTTGAGTCTCACTCCTAGTAGTTTGGTATAGAGGTGTAGGGGTTCCATAAAGGTACTTAAAAACTAAAGTTCGAATTAAAGAGGAGACAGAAATGGCTGGGCCATGATCTGATTCCACCTGTATCCTCTTTCTTGCAGGGGCAGCTGGAGCCGTTGATTTATATGGTCATAGGACTTGGTCATAAGTAATAACTTACAACCATCATTTATCAAGCACTTATTAGGATCCAGGCACCATGCAAAGCACTTTGCATAACTTGTTTTGTTTAATCCTCACCACAACTCTTTTAAGAAGAAATTAGGATGAGGAAAATGACTTCCTTAAGTAACTTTCCCAAGGTGCCATAGCTAAGAAGTGGTACAGGCAGGATTCAAACCCAGACCTATCTCTTTCTAAAAGCAATGTTCTGTATATTCCTTGGCCTTTGCCCTATTGTTTTTTTCCAGCTGGGAAAAGAGGTGTTCCTTGACAATCTTGCAACCCCAACTTTGGTCTGAGTGCCTGAGACTAGAGGATGAGTTTTAATGGTCAGGAGAAAGTGCCTGCTTCTTAGTGCCAATAAAATTGGATCCACCTGGTCTTTGCTCTGTTCTCAGTTTACCTAGACTGAGCAGGCACCACTTTTTCTTTCTGCAAGTCTGTGTGTGCCCTGCCCTCTAGTGGTTTTGGATTGCAATGCAACAATGACCTTGGGTGTGACTAACCTTACTTCAGAATTCTTTTTTTTAATCATTCCATAAGATTTTTTCTTTTATTTATTTTTAATGAGATAGTGCCTTTATTTATTATTTATTGATTTTTAGAGAGAAAGAGGGAGAGAAAGAAACACTGATTCGTTGTTCCAATTATTTATGCTTTCATTGGTTGATTTTTGTTTGTGCCCTGGCCAGGGATGAAACCTGCAACCTTGACGTATGGGAACAACGCTCTAACCAACTGAGTTACCCAGCCAGGGCCAGATTTTTCATTTTAATTTTCACTTAAGTTATGTCTTTTCAATGCCAAAATATAAAAGGGAATATTCAGAACATTTGGAGGTAGCTTACATTCTAAAATAAATTGAACTGTTCTAATAATATCCTGAATCTGAAAAACAGTGAGAGGAAAGAAGAGAATTAATGATCTGATTAGGATTAATGAATCATACGGGGCTGGATCAACCTTGGCTGCCAATGAACATGTATTTCCAGGACACGGAATCCAATCCGAATTCTTTCCTTCCCTTGAATAGTAAAGTCCTTTCAATGGTGGGCACTGGTGCACTAAGATTTCTGGCACAATGACACCTTGCCCAATCTGAGCCTTAAAACAGTGGTCTTCAAGCTTTATGATGTACTTCTGACTTAATAGTCTGGAATGAGACCCAGGAATCTGAATTTTTAATAATCACCCCAGGTCATTCTGATGCAGGCAATCTGCAGGCCACATCTTGAGATATAATGCTCTGTAACAGATCTAGTCCCAAATTTCCCTTGATTCCCAACCCAAGCACCCTTGGGCTTTGGGGAATCTGGGACCAAATTAGCCTCTCCCCTTCACCAATGTCAATGTTGAGTTTCCTGGAGGTCATGGCTTATTAGTCAGGAAGGCAGGCTGCAGCTGACCCAGCGGTCTGCCCGTGGTGAGTGAGGTTAGCCTTTGCTGATTTGGCAGGGTGAAAACTGAAGGAAGCTAATGTTTAGTGCACCAACTGTGGGCCAGTGGGCCTGGTACTGTACTAGGTATTTTCAAACATAATCCTTTTCTAATTCCTACAATAAACCATGAATTTAGTATTCCTTCTGTTTTGTAGATGAGGAAATTGAGGCTCAGAAATGTTAAGTATATTTATCAGACTCAGAGCTGATGGGAGTTAGAATTTGAATCCAAGTTTGTCTATCCCAGTGACTCTCAATTGAGGGTAATTTGGGCCCCCCGGGACTATTTGGTAATGTCTAGAGACACTTCTGATTGCCATGGCATCTAGTGGGCCAGGAGTGCTGGCCCCCACAGTACAGCCCCACAACAAGAAGTTATCCAATCCAAAATGTCAGTAGTGCTGAGGATGAGAAACCCTGGACTCAAAGCCTGTGCTTCTGCCCTATAGGGTGGATGAGGGGACGGAGACTTAGCAGAACAAAAGAGAGAGAAGAGACTACTACAAGGGCCTTGGGTGGGAAGGGATGGGACTTTTATGCTAAGGGTAATGGGAATGGGTCAGCTGGTGAGATTTCTCTTCCTCCCAAGCTTGACCAAGGCCCTGATCAGTTTCTCCCAACCTTGCCAAGCCAGTCCTGAGACTTCACACTAAGCTTGTCCTGCAGTGACCCTGATTCCCAGCTCAGGGCTGGGGCAAAATATTTACTTAGGTCTTCCTGTAGGACTTCCCAGCCAAAGCCCCTGGTTCCTGGGGCCAGTGTGTTCCACCCGCAGCCCTGGGAAGCTCCACATTAGCTCCCTTGCTGTGCAGGGTAAGAGTATAAAAACTGAAGCAGCCAAGGGCCAGGAGAATCCCCTTAGGAGGTCCCTGTCAGGGAAGGAATAGGGCAACTTCAGCAGGGAGTAGGGGGCAGGTGGCCTGGGAAGCAGGGTACTGATACCCAGGAAGCTTATTTTCCACAGCTTCACTGGACTTTCCCCACTACCCGTTCCTGGAGCTCCCACTCACCCATCCAGCCTCCACTCTGGGCCTCCCCCCAGTAGTGGCCTCCCTTATTAGACCAGGGAGGGCGGGTCTGAGATGACTGTGCTGACAGGAAATACCTCTCATTCCAAGCTCAGGACATCTGAAGAACTAACCAGCAGTTTGGAGGGAGAAAAAGCGGGGGCAGATGGTGACAGTCCTGGAGTAAGAAAGAGAGAAAAGAACATACAAGCAGGTCCCCCATATTTGGGGTTCCATCTCCTTCCTTCCCTCCCTACTGATGGTGGGGGAGGAGGGAATAAGCGGATGGAGTAAGGCAGGCCAAAAGGAAAGAGGATGTGGTAACAGCTGATTCGTCCCCTGAGGTCACACTTTCCAACAATCAGCTGTTACTGGGGTGGAAGGCAGGAAGTTTCCTTAAAGGTACAATATTCTGACCAGAAGTTCAGAATTCTGGAGCTCCTAGGAACCATAGCAATCACCTGGCAGAGCCTGTATTTAATACAAAAGGAACTATCTCACACTTCAGGCTAATCCTTCCAGCTCAGTTATCCTCACCCCCAATTTGGCGCTTATGGAAAAGTCAAGGATCCCTGTTTACACGTTTCTGTTCAGTCTGGGGAGGGGTGAGGGCGGACGAGTGATAAGATGGGGTGGGTCTCAAACTTGCCCCATTTAATAAGCAGTTCAGCAGCTTTTGCCAAGTCACTGGGTTCCTTTCAGTTTTTGCCCATCCCCCACCCCTCTGAACTCCGATTGGTCCCTGGAGGAAGGAGCAGCCTCCTCACTGGCCTCTACCTTTGGAATCTCTTCCCTAAGTAGGTCTGAGTCAGGGGAAAGCTTCTGAAGGGCGGTGCAGAATGGGGGTTTAGGCAGAGGATGGGGTTGTGACCATCTGTACTTTGACACTGCCCATCCCCTAGTTTCTGGCTACAGGTCTTCCTTCTACCCTCAGATGAACACTGTGCTATGAATCTTTTTTGGAGGGGGTGGGGGGAAGGTATCAAACCATTTTATCGAGGGCCTTCGGGGGAGGGTCGAAGGGCTGGGAAGACAACGAGGTCCCAGGTCCTAGGCCCAGCCGGGATCTCCCCAGTCTCACAGCCGCTGAAAAATATGAATCTTTTGTTAGGAAGAGGCTCTGTCGCTGCGGCTGGGACGAGACATCTCCAGGGAAAGAAAAGTCTGATCAGGAAACCTCCACCCTACCCCTTCCCTGGAGGGGTGGACTAGATCTTCCAGTGAAAGCTGGGACTTGGCAAGATGGACAGTCCTCCCTATCCCAAAAGCCCTTAAGGATTTCCCATCCAGTGGAAGAGTCTGCCGCCCTGGGGGCTGAGTTCCACCTTCGGTTCTGCCCAGTCCTGATGCTTCCTTCGCCTGCTCCACCTTTCCTTAGAGAGCCTCCTGCAGAGGTCAGCGAATCCGTTTTGGGGTTGTCTAAAAGAAGCATTCACAGCTTAAAAAAAGGAGGGGCTGTAGCCCTTTAAGGACTTAGCCGGGATGAATTCAGAGATGAGTTTAAAAATGCCAACTCACAGAGCGCTCTGGATTCTGGGAACGATGTGTCAGATCGAGAACTACATTGACCAGTGTGCACTGCAAACACACACGCCTTAACTTCCTTCTGCTCTTTCCCGGACCCTGCTTTGACGTAGCGCTCCTGAAAGCTAGTAGCCTAGGAGGAGGGCTGAGCCACACCTTTCCACTTATTGGCCAGCTCGTGAGCTGGTGGGTGTGGCTTAGTGCAACTCTACTAGATAAAGGGGTGGCTTCCTTGCCAATCAGTGCTTAGACGGCCGGAGAGGCGGGACCAGAGCGAAGGGCTGGCGCCCCCGAGTGGGTGTGGTCACGCTGCCCACCAGTAGGCGGTGATTGGCCCTGGGCGGTGCAATCGCAACTTGTGCGTCACGACGTCGCCAGCTGATCGGAGACTGGAGCCGGTGTGTGCTGGGCGTTGGGAAGAGAGCGCCGCCGGCCGTGGGGAACGGACGCACTGATTTGCTCCCCTACTCTCAGCACCCACCACACACCCAGCACCAGGTGGGTGTGAGCTGGGGTCCTGGCCCCACTGGAGGGAACCATGCTAACGGGGTAATGGGGGCAAGTAGGGTTCTGGCGGCCACACCCTGCCCTTCCGGGGGAGGAGAGAGGGGGCGGCGGAGACAGGGGCGCTCTGGGGGAGAGGGGCCTGGACTGCTTGGAGTAGTGTGTCAGGAGGTTTTAAGAAAGAGTCCGGGACAGGAGTCTTGGCGGAAGGTCTTGCGGAGTAGCTGGGAGGGAGGTGAGGGGCCGGACGGCTGGGGGCGGCTAACCTCGACGCCCTCTGGTCCGAGGATATGGGAGACGGCCACACAGCCTGGGGAGGATTTTGATCGGGCGGGTGGCGACAGAGGTGCTTTACCTCTACCGGCACTCACTGGGTCAGGATCAGCTGAGTGTCCTGGCAGGGAAGGGGTCTCTGGGCGGGCCGGCCCCTCTGATTCCCTCCAGGGGATGTTATGTAAGGGGGGAGGGGAGAGGAGTAGGGGGCGGCGGTACCGGGGCCTTATGCAACCCAAAGGTTTTGGGTTTCACCGCGGTTGGTGGGGGGAGCGGACACGAGGAGGGCCTGGAAACTCTACCCCCGGCCCCAGCCTCACTAGCCGTCTTGGGCCGAGAGAAGGTCACCTCTGCACCTCCCCCCAGCCTGTTCGGTTGTGGGGGCCCTAGCCCAAACCTGGCCCCGACCGCCTGGGAAACCGGCTGGCTGGGTGGGGCGCCTGGGTTAGTCATCACTGGGCTCCCTTTCTCCCCACCTCTCGGCCAACTCTTGGCCCCTCCCCGTGGCCTCGGACTAAGCTGTCGCCCCCACCTCCCTTCGGCCCTAGTTCCTGCCTCCAACTCATTTGGCCTGTCATCCTGGCTGTCAGACCGGGCTGGAAGCTGTCATGGTGCCAAAAGGTTGATGGAGCAGCTGGTCAGAGGGTCACTGCCCTGGACCCACCCCGCCCTGCAGCCAAGGGCACCTGCTTGGCACATACTCTCAGCAGCCGCTAAATCCTATGGGCTGACCAAAGCCGGCTTCCAGAGAGGGGAATGGGAAGGAGCTGGGGACTTGTCACCTGGGGGATGGAAGGTTCCTCAAAGTTCATGCCTCCCAAGAGGGTTTTATAATTTGAAAACCTCCCACCCCTACCCTAATCTTTATTATTTCTGAGTATAAAAATCTCAAGGCAAGACCACCTTGGCCCCTCCCATTGGAGTGGGCATGCCCTTGGGCTGCGTGTCAGCACAAACCCTCCCGCCCTCCCAGCTCACAGCCCCCAAGCCTGCCACGCCCCCAGCCCCCTCCTTGGGCCATGCTGCAGGGCCCGGCTTTTCCTGCTGATTCATGCGTTGGAACTGTGGGGGCGGGGCTTGGAACTTGGAACAAAGTTCAGACATGGAGGGGCCGGCAGACAGCCTGGAATTCATACCAGATGTACCCGGAATGCGCAAGCGGAATGCCTGGCATTTGAGAGTCCTGGGGAGGCTGCCCAACCTCCCTGCCTAACCTCCCTCCCCTCCAGACTTGGGTCCCTTGTCCTCTCCTCACAGTCCCAGGAGCTGCTGCTGACCTTCCAAACTCTAGATCTCTTCCCTTCCTCATTCTTTCCCAGATCCAGGCCCCCAAAACTCCAGCTGAACTCCCTGGGAATAAGTCAGTTGGGCTGATCACTGAACTCACATTTCTGGAACTAAGGTACAACTTCTCACCTAGTACCTGGGTGATGAGTGGGGTGTGTCCAGGGTCCCAGGTCCTGCCTTTTCTGAATACTAAATAGGCTGGGGTCCCCCGTTGGTAGCTGGGGTAAGGGGTTGAGTGCAGGCCTGGGTTTCTACAGCCTCAGTTCTGGAAAGAGAAGAAAGGAAAGTATGTTTAGAACTGTCCCTTGCTTCTCACTGAAGTTAACAGCTTTTGCAAGCCAAGGTGAGAGCCAAGAACCCTCTGTTAGAAAGTTGAGTGCTGGGGCTGGACTGGCATAGCCAGTTGGACAGTGTCCCTGTGACATGGCCCTGCTCAGGTCTTTCCCATTTTTCTTCCCTTTGCCTTTAGGCGCCTGTACCTCCCACACTCTCACCTGGCTGAGCCGCAGTAGTTCTTCAGTGGCAAGCTTTATGTCCTGACCCAGCTAAAGCTGCCAGTTGAAGAACTGTTGCCCTCTGCCCCTGGCTTCGAGGAGGAGAAGGAGCTGCTTTCCCCCTCATCTGGAAGGTGACAGAACTGGGGCCGGGAAGGTCTGAACAGCAGGAGTGATGATGAGATCTTTCAGGAAAGGGAACCCTGTTCAGTTGGAGAGTCTTCACCCTGATTGGCACTGCAAGAGAGAACAATCTTAGATTAGAAAGCCTGGCTGAACTAGGGAACAGATGGCCCTAACTACCCAAGGTTAGTCAGTCTTTGTGTGATAATAGGAGGAAGTAGAGCAAAGAAGACCCTGTCTATCCCTTTATCCAGAATTTTTCTTGACCCTCCTTCCTTACCCCTCATTCTTTCCACCAGCCTTTCCAGGTGAGGTCCAGAAGTAAGCTTTCTCTCAGGGAGAAGTTCATCCTGAAGCTCCCATCTGAGCAGTCATGCCGCTGCTCTTACCTTTCCCTGCATTTTCTTAGACTGGTCCACACTCTAGATTCAGGGATACTTAGTATATGTGGGACCCTTAGACCTCCTGTCTCGGCTCCTCTACCTTCCTGTGAGATGGGGAAATCACCCAATTGAGTGTGCTTGAGGGTATCAGAAGCCCATTTGTGCAGACTCAGAGCTTGGGGTGGGAACAAAACAGCTTTTCACTTAAGCTATTGCTCCTCCTCCCTCCCTGACCATAAATAACCCCAGGAGGTAGGGGTAGGGGGTTGAAGAGTTAGAGGAGCTAGTAGGAGCTCAGTCTCTACATAGACTCCTCATCATGCAAAAGTGGCACCAGGCATCCTCTGCTACCCAAAACAGGACTACAACCCCTGGTGGGGTTCCCGCGACCACTGCTCTCCTTCCTCACTTTTACTTTCCAGGCTAGTGTGTGAGACTCCGCTCAGACCTGCACAGGGCAGGAAATTCTCCCCTCTGGCAACCGGGAGAGCTGGGTTCTGGGATGTGACCCCCACTTTGGAGCACCAGGCAGTGTAAACCTGCCTCCCCCAGCTCCTGACCCAGTCTCACTCTTTGGCTTGGGCTCTGGTGTGGTTCAGCCTTGGCCCAGTCTCCCTGCCTGAAGGTAACTATGTTCTGGGGCTGCAGGAAGCTGTTTGTTCTATTTTGGGGGAGGAGGTGTAGAGGGAGCTGGGTCCTGTTCTCCCTTTATGAGAAACTGAAAGATTTAGGGGAGAGTAGACCATTGAACTGAGCTCTCGCAGCCTAAGCTGGATGTGTGTGGACTGTGGTTAGAAAGGAGCGGGTAAACTGAGTCCACTCATTGACTTCAACAAAGATCACTGCATCCCTGGACGTTGCTTCCATCCTTCGCTCCCCTTCACCTCGCTTCACTGGCCAAAGGGTTCCCTTCAGCCGTGGATATGTGGCTCTGCCAACCTCACCTATCATGGAGAAGACATGAGGAAGAACAGCAGTGAAGAACAGGGCCTGGAGAGCACAGGGACCTGTCTGGGCACCCTGCAGAGGGGGCCTATAAGAGCCAGGAACGCCGCGGGAAGGAGGAGAACAGCCAGCGTCCAGCAAGGGCAAGCTTTCAGCCACCTGCAGTCTTTCTACCTCCTTCAGAGATGTGGGACCATATTAAAGTGTCCTGCGGTTTCATCCTCCTACTTCCACCTCTCCTCCGCCCTATAATTTTTATATAAGCAGCTTCAAGGAACAAGAGCCAGCTTTGAAAGGACATACAGGAAAGTCATAAAAGAAATTGAAATGGAGAAAATCAAGGAAAAATGTGTGCTTCATTAGTAATTAAAGAGAGACAAATAGAGCTATAAGCATCTTTCCCATAGCAAGTTATAACAAAAAATAAGACCCAGTTGTTGGCAAAGGGGTGTGCTACAGTAACACTGCCACACATTGGGGGTACCAATTGATACAGTCTTCCTGGATGTAAGTTTGGTAATATGTATCAAACATTACCGTGGCCTTTCACCTAGTAATTCTACATTGGGGAATTTATCCTAAGAAAATAAAGATTTAGTTAAAAGGGGTTCATCCCAGCATTGCAATAGAGAAAAAAGGGATTGGGAATTCATTTCTACTGTAACGAAAATGTGCGGTAGGACGTTGCCTAAGTAAATCATTGTATGTCCATCCAGATGGGGGACTGCTGTGCGGCCGTTAAAATCATGTGGAAGACATTGGACTGGAAAGACAAATGCTCTCTGAATACTAAAAAGTTTATCAAAATAGTGTATATCATGGGATCTTAATTTTATTTTTTTAAGATATATACTTGCACAATACATGGATAAAGACCGAGGACATACTCCTAAGTGTTAATAGTGGTTGGTTTGGGTGGTGGAATATGGTAATTGTAATTTTCCTCCAGTTTTTTTCTGTAGTTTCTAAATTTACTCGATTAATTTTGTATGGCTTTCATAGAGCAAATAAAATTTTAAAGAATCAGTGCAATTGTTTAAAAACTTGGGGTGGTGGGTGTGGAAGAATGAAGGGATGCCCCTCGCCCCTTGTACTTAATGGGGTTTTGTGGAGAAAGGGGGTTGTGAGAGTGTTTGGGGGAGCACCTCTTAGTTTACGAAGTTCATTCTTTGGGAGGAGCTGGAATCGACCTGCTCCATGTACAGGAAAGGCTCCATGAATCTCAGGCTGGCAGCCAGCTGAAGAAGTAGAGCTGAGTAAGAGGGCGAACAGCAAAAACCCAGGAACAACTCAGGAAACGGGCCGGGAGGAAGACTTTCTTCCCCTGGCTGAAAGGTTCTGGCATCCTAAGAGTCCTGCTGCTGAGAGCATGGTGGGTCTTTGTTTTCCTCTCTGATTTTGTGTGGACCTTGCGGTGGGTGAGCCTGTGTGGTCGACCTCTCCTGCCTCCTCAGATTGGAAGAGAGATTCTATCTGCTCAACAGGTACCACCCTCGGTGGGAGGGGTAACTTTCAAAACCATAGTGCTAAGTAGTTCCCTTTGCCTCCTCTTCCTAATAATGAGGCTCCTCTGTAGGGCACCCAAAAAAGGTTGGGGGAGGAGTCCCCAATGGGTCGCTTCTCCAAAATGGGAGCTGCTGTTCTCTTTGAGAAATACTATGTAAGAGGACAGGACTTCTGGAATTACATGGGTGCTGGGATGTGTTAGAGGCCTGCACACCTCTCGAGGTAGGAGGGGTGGCTCTAAGAAAGTGAAGTGCCCCCTCCCCCGCATCTGAGACTGGCAGGGGAGGGAGAGCAGTGCGGGGTCAGCGAGGTGGAAGCAAGTGCGAGTGCATTTGCCTTGCCTTCTACCGAGTGGATGTGGTGGGAGGGATGATCAGCAGGTAAGATTTGAGTAAGGAAAAGAGGTGAAAGTTAGTGGGGCGGGGCCTCCGGGAGTGTCAGGTGAGACTAGTGACCTATTTCTGAAGCTGCGAAGAGTTCAGGACACAGAGTTCGGGAAGACCTCTACCGACAGCCCGGAAGTCCCCCTGAGAGCTCCGTTGCGCCGCAGGGTCCTAGGAGCCCGTAACCCCGCTGTCCGTTGCTAGGGCGGGACGCGATCCGTTGCCTTGGCTCCAGGGGCGGTGGCTGCACGGTTGCTCCAATCACCGCCCAGCCGAGAGACCGTGGGCGAGCCCTTGGAAAAGTTACAGCAGATTCCAAAGGCCCGGCGGGTCCAAGAACCCAGGGATTCAGCCCGGCCGAACGCGGACTCTCCTTTTCCGTAGGGGGCGTTGGATGCATCGAGGCCGAGTGCGCAGGGGCCCACGCAACTGATCCGGTCCTAGCCCGCCCGCCAGGCCATGGCGCCCTCGGGGCTCCTCATGACGGGTGCCTCCTTCGCTGCCTTCCGGGGGATGCACTAGGGTTGCAGCTGCTGCCCACACCGGAATCTGGGGCTCAGGACCCTTGGAAGTGGCAGAACATCTGTGTCTCCCTGGAGCACAGCCTGCTCACTGGGGCCGGGGTGCTGCTCGGGTGCGGGACTTAGAGCTTCGGGAGGCACCTGGGTGAGGGGAAAAGATGGAAAGCTAACATTAGAGGACCTGGCAGGCACCTTTAAAACTGATGTTAAATCTTGCCAGTCTGAGACCGGGATGGGTGGGCGGGAGTGCCCAACAGGAGAATGGGACCTGGGCCTGCAGGACACTGACTGTGGCTCCCCCAGCTCCTCTAGGCTGTTGCTATACCCTCAGATGGCTGCCGACCCCATTCATGGCCACCTGCCCTGGGCCTTGATGCTGGTGGCTGTATCTGTAGGTGAGCCTACAGGACAGGCTGGGCCACTGTGAGGGCAGGAGACAAGCTTCCAACAGTAATTCCAGGTCCTCTTCTGTCAGCAAGAGAAACTAAAGAGCTGGGGATAGCAGGGGCTGGAGATTCCTCTCCAGGCTGTACACTGGCAGGGGGAAGCCTAACGCTCACCCCCTGCCCCTTCGCCCCTCTTGCATACAGGTTATTTCCTGGCTGATGGAGCTGACATGCTGTGGAACCAGACCTAGGGCCAGGCCTGGGTCCTTCTTTGTCATGATTTGGTGGTGAGAGACTAGACAGGAAAGACTGAGGACCCCAGTCTCTTCATCAGCTTTATGTTCCTTGATTTCCAAGACAGTCTCTGGCACCCCCTCTCTCCTGGGCTTGAGCCTCCCAACCTTGGGCTGAACTGTGGGAGGGGATTGACGGCTGGCCACAACGGGGAGCCTGAGCACTGCCTCAGGAGCTTGGATTCCCACGGGTGTCCTGTCAATTGCAGAAATGTTGAATATGGAGCTTTTCTGAGAAGGCGGAGCCCCAGTATTGGTGGGAATGGGGCATGGAGGCCAGGAATGGAAGTTATTGGGGTGCTGTACAGATGCTGTGGCCTCAGGGAAGACAGCCTCTGAGCCAAGGCTGCTTCCATCCCAGCAAGATTGTTTCGAGGCCATTCAGGCTCCTGACATAAGTGTAAGCGTAAGATTGGGTGTTCAGGGGGAGGGAGTGCCAGGAAATGCTTGGGAGCCCCTCTATGAAGGACCGATATTGGGACTTGATGAGTGATAGGTCTTGGAAGGTCCTCTAACCTTTGACCCTAGCTCCCCAGGTAGTGAGCTACCTCAGCACTGCCATTCTCTCTGGCCACTATACCTGGGCTTCTCTGCGGTGTCTCTGCTCCTAGAGCTGAACTGCGCCTGCCTGTACCTAAGGAGGTTGCTACTGCTTTCTCACCAGGCCCCACCCCAGCCACCCTGGCCCTTTTCTGCCTGGTACCACTGGAGTGGATGAGCCTGCAGTTGATCCAGCAGCACCATCAGGTGCCTCCTGCTCTGGTTGTCCTTGGTGGAACTGGGCTGGCCGCTGCGGGAGCCATGAGCATCACACTGGGTATTCACATTTTGGTCAGCGATGTGCTGTGGCTGCGGCCTCATTCACTCATCCCTGGGCACAAGGAAACCAGGGGCACCAGGACGTGTGATGGTGAGCCTGGCACCAGGGATGATTCCCCTTTCATCCTGAAAGACTAGAGAGAAGCTTCAGGGTTGTCTTCTGCCTGTGTTGGGGGAGGCAGGACCAGGACAAAGAGATGGTGGTCTTCAATGCACAGCCCCCTATTGGGTTAAGGACTGGACTGGATTTTCAGTATCTCAGTTCCTCTTAGCTAATTCACATCCCCCCGACCCCCTGCAATCCTTGGATCTGAGAAGAAATGGTAATGCTCATGGGTAGGAGAGAATCTGGGCTATTGTTCACTGAATTTCATCATCAGATAACTAACCATCCTTTCCAGAAAACTAATACTACAAGAGGTACAGCCAGTGCTACCAGTAAAAGGTGGAAGGAGGCACGAAACTGAAAGTAACTGCCAATGGGAACAGAACCCCTTTACTTTAGCACAGGGACAGATGAGGAAAGGTGAAGTCCTACCCGTGTCAGAGAGATCTGATATGGAGGGAGTAAGGTCAGAGGGAAGAGACCTCACATATGGCCAAATTCTGGCAGTGAGGGGAGTGCAACAGGTGCTGTCTGCAGCCAGTAGCTACTGGACCTAACAGCTGCCAAGAGACAAAGGACCTGGGTCATAGTGACTCTTGTTGTTATTTCTGGTTCTCAAACCCCCACCACATTGTGTTTCTATTTAACCTTAGTTCTACTGTGTCCAGCATCTGCCTTTTCAATTTCTTGAGTATCTCTTGACCTTTTCAAAGGAAATGCATATTTTGAGAGGAAGGAACATGGGGCTAGGTCTCTCTTCTTAGGACAGTGCTGAAGTTCAGAGCCAGAGTAGGGACTCAAACAGCTATTCTGGTGCAACGTGTGAGGTCTTCCTAGGCCCAGACTTTCATGGAAGCATGAGGCAGAGGCAGAAGCAGCTGAGGGAAGCCTTCCTTTTGGCTGCAGAGGGATTAGAGTGTCTGCCTCTTCTGGGAGTCATTTGCAGGTTCTCCTTTCTCCCTGGCCACTTCTGCTGCATTAAAAAAAATTATTTTTAGGCCCTGCCTGGTGTGGCTCAATGGATTGAATGCAAGCCTGCAAACCAAAGCGTCGCCAGTTCGATTCTCAGTTAGGGCACATGCCTGGGTTGTGGGCCAGGTCTCCGGGAGATGGCGTGCTAGAGGCAACCACGTATTGATGTTTCTCTCCCTCTCCCTCCCTTCCCCTCTGTCTAAACATAAATAAATAAATTAATTAAATAAAATTTTAAAAGTAAATAAAAGAAAAATATTTATTGATTTTTAGAGAGAGAAAGGAAGGGAGATCTCTGCATTCACGAGCCCTGCCTGCCTGGGATTGTACCCATGAGCTTGGTGTGTCAGGGCTGTGCTCTAACCAGTTGAGCTGCCAGGCCAGACCTACATTCTTTTTTTCTGTTGCACAAGACCCCTCCCTTCTTCAAGCAGAACATCCAGGTTATGGGAAGTGTAGAGCAGATTAAGGTTGCTACTCTGCTAGACAACATGAGATAACCCTTAATCACCCACAGAAAAGATACATGAGCAAAAGCAAGAAACAGGAAGATTTTTTAAACATATCCTGCCGGAAAGAAAAACTGAACTTGAGAAAGACAAAGGGGATGTTAGAGACAGAAATACATAGATTGAAGAACAGATAGGAAGGGAAAGGATTAGTTGCATAGAAGAGACAGAGGCAAAGGGAGATGGAGTGCATGACAGAGAATCCTTGGCAGAAATATCAAGAAAGACTGTTGTGGAAGCTTGAAATAAACCCAAATCATGCAATTGGTAAAATGGTCATAAACAAAGAGGACAAGAAAAAAAAAAGCTGACAGGAAGGGCCCCCAAGGGTAGAAGGCACAGATAGTCTAGACAGTGATTTATTGAGAGTGACTGACAAGGAGGAACAACCAGACTCAGGAGAGACGGAGGTAATACTGGCAGCCTGAGAGATTAGCAGAGCGAGAGAGGGGAGGTGGGAAGAGATGGAGGGGATTTGTCAAGGGAGCTGAGAAGCAAAAGAGCAGAAGATGGAGGAGGCAAGCAGTGGAAAGATTTATTGACAGAAAAAGAGCAAGAAATAGGTAGTGTTGGAGGCAGGCAGAAAGACAAAGGACAGGCAGCTACAGTGCAAAGCAAAGACAGACCGACGGGAACTGATAGGCAGAGACTGGTAGGAAGATGAGAAACAGTACAAATCAGGGATGTACATTGAGATAGAATAGGGCAAAAGACTGAAAAATCACAGGGAGAAAAGAGGGAGGAGGCAGAATGATTAAATAAACATCCAAAGGAAGGAACAAGGAAAAAGAGGGAACACAGAGAAGGGGAAAGAGAAAATATATAGTAGAGATAGGAGAAAATATGAGAGAAGGATTGTGAGAGATTCCCTCATCACAGAGTCATTAAAACAGGCTCAAATGGGAAGAAATAACAAATAGAGGCTGAGGAGAAACTGCGAAGTAAACAGGCAAAAAAAATAAGAGCAGAGGGTTTAATCATAATTGGACTAAAATCAGAGAAGCAAAGGTATAGAAGTTGAGATAGAGAAATGAAATAGAATCCTGTCAAAGTCTTTCCTTTAAAGATTTTATTTATATTATTTTTTGAGAGAAGGGAAGGGAAGGAGAAAGAGAGGGAGAGAAACAGCAAAGTGTGATTGCTTCTCATGTGCCCCCTACTGGGGACCTGGCCTGCAACCCAGGCATGTGCCCTGACTGGGAATCAAACCAGCAACCCTTTGGTTCACAGGCTCATGCTCAATCCATTGAGCCACGCCGGCCAAGGCAAAGTCTGTCCTTTAATAGACGTAGTACCTTCAACACTCTAAAGAGAATGCCTTGATTAACAAAAACATTGTCATAAGTTTTCCAAAACAAAACAAACCAGAAATGTGACATATGTAGGGAGAATGTCACAAATTCATTCTCCAAGTAAATACCCTTCTTGGTAATACTTGATAATTATCTATAAAGGGTGCCCAAGAACGAGACTGTGAGGGAAATTGGGCTGTTTTCTGTGCTTCACTAGTAGAACCCCTACAGGAAGCATGAGATTAGCTACCGGTGGGTGTGGGACATAAGTGAAAACCAGAAGGGTGCGGGGCAACGCACACACTTCCACCATGGTGACCCAGAGAAACTGCAAGAAGGCCGGACTGGACTGTGGTTATAATAAAGTGGCATTTCATCAACTAGACCAGTTATAGTGTGCACGAGATGTAGGTGATGGGAATCAGATACAGATGAAGGGAATCTCTTCCTGGAAGAGAGAAGCTAAAAAATGCAGAGGTTGACAGATGCTACATTTGGTACAATGTGTTGGGTCACCGTAGCAGTGCTCTGTCAACCCTCACCGTGGCCCAGGAAGGTGGTCCGCAAGACTTGGCTCCATGCCTACCAAGCTACTTGCTGATGAATTATTTGTCTTCTAGCACAGAGGAGGGGGTTTTCTTGATGGGGGAACATTGATATTTTATGGGCTTGGAACACTATCCTGATCATAAATTAATAAATTGCTAAGCAAATAATTACATGTCTTTTGTGAGTATGGTTACACGGAGTCACTTTTTTTTTTTTTTTTTTTTTTTTTTGGCTCCAGTAGTGTCCTGATATATAATGCAATGCTGGATTGCAGAAACTTTATTGTGAGACAATCTCTTGGCACTAATTTATGACCTACAAAGCCCTAACATGTTCTAAGCTTCTCTACAATCAAAAAACAAACCCAATTTGTTTAGTAGAATGGATTTAGAGCAAGGAGTGGGTGCTGACAGTTTAGAGTGATTCTCAATGTTAAGGGTTGAAAACAAAGAATCTTTTAGACAACTTAACAAGAAAATTAATTCAACAGAAAAGTCCATAACAGAGTTGTCAAGGCTTTATTGTATGTAAAGTCTGGATTTGTTAGGCTGGAAGTTAGGAGCCTTCTCTTTGTAAGAAAGTTAGTTTTTAAAGAATTGCTCCTGTGGAAAAGGTGAAGGGATTAAGAAATACAAATTGGTAGTTACGGAATAGTCACGGGGATGAAAGCACAGCATAGGGACTATTATGAACAACACTAGAATAACTACGTGTGGTGCCGGGTGGGGACTGGAAATATCGGGGGAAACACTTTGTAAAGTACGTGATTGTCTGGCCGCTCTGCTGCACACCTGAAACTAATGCAAAATAATATTGAATGTAAACTGCCATTGGAAAAAAAATTTTTTTAAACTTTCTCTGTATTGAAATAAGGTGTTTGTTTAGGATCCTTAAAGTCAGCATCCCAGGCTAGACATATGTTGCACTACTACCACATCAGACACCTTTTATACCTTATTTCATTTAATCCTGTACAATAGAGATTTATCCCTTTATTTATTTATTTTTAAATTTGTATCTATTGATTTTCAGAGAAGGAGAGAGAGACACACATCAATTTGTAGTTCCATTTACTTATTCGTTCATTGGTTGATTCTTGTACGTGTCCTGATGTGGGATCAAACCCACAACCTGGTGGTATGATGACACTCTACCCAACTGAGCTACTGGGCCAGGACCTCATCCCATTTTTGCAATGAGAAAAACCAAGGCAACTTTCTCAAGGTTACCTAGCCAGTTAGTGATGGAGCCTGGGCTCAAACATATATAAGGTCTGTCTGGAAAAATTCCAAACATTGTTAATATAATGAGAACAGTTTGCTTGATATGAATGTGACCTGTCCTTCAAGGAGAGCAGACCGGAATGCTCATGTGTGAACAATGATGACTTCACTGTACTAGTCAGTGGGGGTGGTAGACACTGTCGAGTGAGCATGTGTACTGTGTGGCCATTGCATTCAAAATGACTGAGTGACTAAAACAACGAATATGTGTCAAATTTCGCAGTAAGCTTGAACATTCCTCCTTGGAAACTATTTGGATCATTTAGAAGGCCTCAGCTACGGCTAACTGGTGATTGGCAGATTCATCACGACAATGTGCCTGCTGATGCATCATGTTTCCTGAAGAGTTTTTTGGTGAAACATCAAATCAACCAGGTGACTCAGCCCTGCTACAGCTCACATTTGGCGCCCTGTGAGTTCTGGCTTT